AAAAACAGAAATATAATAGTTTTTTTTTACAAATAATAATGATCTATTGCTTGACCAGTTAAATTATCAAAATCAATAGCTAGAAAACTCATATACTTAGAATTAGTAAGAAAATATTGAAGAGTTTAAGCAAAATATAGAAAATAATGAAAACTACTATGAAAAAAATGGATAAAGTAAAAATCTAGATTTAACATCGCAATCTTTTAAATTAAAAGATTCAACTCATTAAAAAGAATTCTAACATTTGAATTAAGATGGATAAAAACCAAAAACTATTTCAATAACTTGTAAGAATGAATTTTAAGAAATAAAAAATACTAAAAATCCAAAAAAACTAATAAGAGCTATTAATCTGTTAGTAAATGTGAAATCTTTTTATCGTTAAATATCAAGAAATACAAGAGTATTAGAAAAATTGACAAGATATTAGCATTATCTAATAAATGATAATGTATCAATTTTTTAAGCTCATAAAAAATAAAAAAACAATTCATTTTTTAAGTTTTTATCTCAACTTAAAAAAGTTCTACTAGTATCTATTAGAGTTATTGATTGTATAATAAATAAAATACCTATGTTCTAACCCTACAACTTGTACAAATTTCTTTGGGATATTTTTCAAGCAATACTAATAGTTAGTGTTATGTTTCTCTTTAGTTTGATCAATTTCTTTTAAATGGATCAAAAAAATTATGAATTTTTTTTTTAAGCTGTCTTTGTTTTATTCGTTTTAGATATGTTATTTACATTCAATACAGGAGTTGTTGAAAAAGGCAATGTTATTTTTGATAGGAAAAAAGCTGCCATAAAATATTTAAAAAAGAATTTCATCATGGATTAAATAGCATTGCTGCCTCTATTTATGTTTTTATTAGATATAAAAATTGAAGGTATCTATTCTTGGGCTATCTATTTTTAAATATTGATGAAGCTTTTTGTCCTTTCTGATATATTCGATAGACTAACTTATTATTTAAATTACTAAAAAAACATGAAAAACATTGTTGATTTAGTCAAACTTGTTTTTATTATAGCCTGCGTTTGTCATGTATTTTGTCTTTTTTGGCATGGTCTAGCAATTTATGAAATTAATCAAGGTTGTAACACTACTTGGCTATAATATAGAGGAATATAAGATGCAGATGTGTTTACAAGGTATGTTCAATCATTTTATTATCTTTCAGTTACAATGATAACAGTTGGATATGGAGACATAACTCCCCAAACGACATATGAAATACTATTTACTACAATAACTATGTTTGTCACTGGATTTTTCTATGCATTTAGTTTGAATAGGATAGGTAGTATTATAGAAAATATAGAAATGAAAGATAAATCGTATAAAGAAAGTATGCAGGTCATTCATAGGCTTATGAGAGAAGAAAGTGTATCTTAAACTTTAAGAGTTTAAATATCAAACTATCTACAGTATCTTTATAAAGTAAATTATTTACTTAATAACAAAATTTAATTATTGCATTATAATATTTTCTTTATATGGTATCTACCCCTCTTTTCAAAAATAAAATGTTGTATAAAAATTTGATGAGATAAAAGGTTATGAGAGGGCAAATATTCAAAAAAATTTTTACCTTTATACAAATTAAAATCTAAAATATTCTGAAATTGACAAATTTTTAATGTTATAAATATATTTACAATAATTCGATTAAAATTAATTTTTAAATTAAAAAATATATAAAGGAATCGAATGAAGTATGTAAATAACAAGAAAAAGAAATAATAAATAAACTATCAAAATAATTAAAATATGGTCTCATTTAAGATGTTTAAGGAAAATATTTGAAAGAAATTGAATTTATTGACAAGCTAGAATCTAAATCAAAAATTGTTGAAATAATGGAAGAATGTCTATTTTCACCTGGAGAATATATTTTTCAATAGGGAGATTTAGATGATAGTGCTCTGTATTATATAGTTAAAGGAAGTGTCAAAATTACTTATGAATACTAAGATAGAAATCAAACTTAGAATTTAGTAATAGCTCAATTACATAAATCATAGTATTTTGGTGATATGTAATTTATTTAAGGAAGTGTGAGAATATTGACTGCTTAAGCAAGTGATTTTTGTAGAACTTATAAAATTCCTAGGGACAAATTTTTTAATTGCATTAAGCAATCAGAGTAAGATTTTGAGAATTTCTAGATGCTAAGAGAGGCTTATATATTCAAATAAAATCAAAAGCTTTTCAATATAAAATGCTACACATGTAATAAAACAGATCACTTTTCTTTAAAATGCCCTAAAACTCATTTAACACTCTCTATTTAAACACTGATTTAAAAAGAAAACAAAACAAATCCTCATTTGGAAAGATAAAATTTTAAAAGGAGACAATAAAAATATAATTCTCTTACCTTTCATTTCGATACAATAGATGCTATTTTCGAATTCTTAGACAAAGAAGATAATTTTTAGGATTTATAGCATTTAGAAGACCAGTTAAATTATAGTTAAGATGAAGCTTATTTAGAATAATAAATGCTAGAATTAGAAGCATTAGAATAAATGGCTTATGTATCTCATGAATAAAATAAAATAAATATAAATAATTAAATAATATCTGAGGTAGATTAAGATCAAGAGCAAGAAAATTAATAAAACTAAATTATTTCTTAAGAATTAATTAATCAAGAAATCGAAAAAATTCAACCAACATATAATTAAAATAAACAAAAAAAATATTCTTTAATTACTAACAGGCAAAGGAATTTAAGCTTAGATAAAATATAACCTCACAGTGGTTTAGTAGAATTTTAATATAAACTATAAAATGGGGAAGAATAGGAAATTTCAAGTTTTGAATAAAATTCTAGCTTAAGCAATTTTACATAAAGGTCTATAAAAAAGTTCATATAATAAAACTCACTTAAAAGCTAAAATGAAGAAATTAAAAATATCGAAAGTTAGATATAAAATTCACATTAAAATTCTTAATTATCTTTCCAAAACAATGATAAAATAAATTAAAGCTAGGTTTATGACGAAGGAAAAGCTAAAAAACCTATGCTTAGTAATAGATTTTTTTAAGGAAATAAAATAATTAGCTAAAATTTAGAATCAAAAGAATTAAAAAATGATAAATCTTAACAAGATGCTGTAAATTTGATTAATAAAGTTACAACTTATTAAAATAAGAATGCCTAACATCTTTTTAAGAAAAAATCTTAAAGTCTCAATAATTTAAATAATTTAGATGTTGAAAACAAAGAAGAATTGATCTAAAGAGAAAAATAAAAAACTATTCAATTTCAATCAGGATTAAATAAATAAATATAAGAAAATAATGATTAAAAAATAGGCAATTTTAAAGATGTATTTTAATAATAAATTATGAGATCCTAGTCTTTTGATGAATCCTCTTTAAATCATTTAAGCTATTAACTTGCAAATTAAACAAACTCTTAAATGGTTAAAAATAGTTCAAATGATTAAAAAAATACTCATCCCTTTATGTTAGATATAAAAAATTAATAAGTTCAAAAATAGCAAGATGAAAAATTTAAGTCAAATAATTCAACAATTTCAAATTTAGATTAATCCAAATAAAATCTTAACTACACATCTTAGAGCACAATAAAATCTGTTTCAAATGGCTAAAATGTAAGTAAAAACGAATTGGGATGTAACAAATAAGTAGTTTAAAAATAATAGTATTTAAATAGAAGATAAAGTAAGAAAGTTACCTTAATTAGGCAAATGTAATAATAAAACAGAAGAATTTCTTAAATAATTCATTAAGAAGCTTTATAAAATTAGTTTTAAAATAATTAAAATGCAATAATTAGAAAGCCCTTTAAATTATTAACTCAAACAAATCAACAATTTTAACCATAATAAAATTAAGGATATATTTTTAATATTGCTAATAAAAGGTAATCAGTTACTTAAAATCAAATCTAAAATTTAATCAGCTAAAACAATTAAGGTTTGAATATGTTTTCATAAATCGCTCAACAAATGAATAACTCTCCATTAATTGCAAAAAGACGCTCTAATGCCTATAATAAAACTTTTTATAAACTCTATCCTTAAGAATAAAATATAAATAAAAATTAAAACTCTTTAGTATTTGAGAGTTTAGAAAATAGTAAACTTTTACCAGAAATTTTAAAAAACAGATCTTCTCTATTATAAGAAATAAATAGTAAAGATATCTTAAGAAAATAACTGCATCAAGCGGGTAAATTAGAAATAAATTATTAATCTCTCTAAAATAATAATTTATCATCACTTTAAAATAATTTATTCAATCATAATAATATTTATTCATAATAAAATGCAATTTAATAATAATTAATAGATTCTAATTATTTAATGTTACAAATATTTGATAAAGCTAATAATTTTAAATATTACTATCCCAATTTCAATATTAGTTCAGTTATTTAAAAACTAAAAACAAATAAGATAAAACAAAATAAGAAAAAATCTTTGAGGAAATAGCCATCAAGGACACTAGGATCAAATAAAAAAAACCTAAAATAAATAAGTTAAAATAATAAAACAAATGAAATTATCAAAACTTAGTAATGAATGTTTTTTATATTAAGAGCTTAATTTTAACTAACTAAATTTTTATGTTAAAGGTGAATAAATAATAATATATATATATACAGATGTTTGGATAAAGTTACCCAAGTACACTTGTGTTTAATGTATTTAATTTTTTAAAGCAAAAAAATTAGTTTTCCATAAATAATTAAAAGGCATTTGTTTTTAATAAAATCACAGGTAGATTGAACTGATAAATTCTAAAAAACAAAAATAAAAGAAGCAAGAAGTCTATTGAGCATTCAATTTTCAATCTTTAATTCAATATATTTAAAAACTCAAGTGTTATTCATAATAAATAAAAAACTTTCTTTATTAATAGTAAAAATATGAAAACTGTTAATTATAAAAATTATTCAAAATTTAATATAATTCAAGAAAGTCGAAGCTATTTTTAAATTCATCACATAACTCTAATTCTTTTAATCATTTAAAGTAATATTTTTAAAACAGAATTTTTTTTATTGCTATATGCATTAAAAGCTTTCATTTTCAATAAAATTTTATAATAAAGCTTTGCTCATAATAGGTGTTTGGATGTACAATAATTTGTGTTTTTAATAAACTAGTTTGCCTTTAAAAATAATTTAGAAATTAAATTTGTGAACTTTCATGTTAAATAGATATTATTTTTCATAAAGCTATCTAAATAATTGATAAAAATAAATAATAAGAAAAAGAATAATTCTACTTCACATTTAATAAAATTTACTCAAAATAACTTAGCACTTTTTTCAATTAAAGTTGCATAAATGATTGATTTTTCATCTATTAATAACGAAAGTACTTTAATTTACCACATGAAAAGTATTAAACTGAATGAATAAGTATCTTTTTTTGTGTTTTCATAAATACAAATTTGTTTCTTATTTTATATTTTGTCTATTATTATTAGGATCATTTAGATTTACTGAAACTCAATAATAAATAAGGAGAATCTGTCTAAGAGTGCACAAATGATGACTTAAAATCAGAAATATAATAGTTTTTTTTTACAAATAATAATGATCAATAGTTTGAAGAGTTCAGTCAACAAAATTAATAGATAGAAAACTCATATACTTAGAATTAGTAAGAAAATATTGAAGAGTTTAAGCAAAATATGGAAAACAATGACAACTTGTATGAAAAAAATGGATAAAGTAAAAATCTAGATTTAACATCACAATCTTTTAAATTTTAAGATTCAATTCATTAAAAACAATCCTAACATTCGAATTAGGATGAATAAAAACCAAAAACTATTTCAGTAACTTATAAGAATGAATTTTAAGAAATAAATAGCAGATAAAATCCAAAAAAGCTGATAAGAGCTATTAATCTGTTAGTAAATGTGAAATCTTTTTATCGTTAAATATCAAGAAATACAAGAGTATTAGAAAAATTGACAAAATATTAGCATTATCTAATAAATGATAATGTATCAATTTTTTAAGCTCATAAAAAATAAAAAAACAATTCATTTTTTAAGTTTTTATCTCAACTTAAAAAAGTTCTACTAGTATCTATTAGAGTTATTGATTGCATAATAAATAAAATACCTATGTTCTAACCCTACAACTTGTACAAATTTCTTTGGGATATTTTTCAAGCAATACTAATAGTTAGTGTTATGTTTCTCTTTAGTTTGATCAATTTCTTTTAAATGGATTATAAGAATTATGTATATTTTTTTTAAGCCGTCTTTATTTTATTTGTTTTTGATATGTTATTTACTTTCAATACAGGAGTTGTTGAAAAAGGCAATGTTATTTTTGATAGGAAAAAAGCTGCCATAAAATATTTAAAAAAGAATTTCATCATGGATTAAATAGCATTACTGCCTCTCTTTATGTTTTTATTAGATATAAAACTTGAAGGTATATATTCTTGGGCTATCTACTTTTAAATATTGATGAAGCTTTTTGTCCTCTCTGATATATTCGATAGACTAACTTACTATTTAAATTACTAAAAAAACATGAAAAACATTGTTGATTTAGTAAAACTTGTTTTTATTATAGGCTGCGTTTGCCATGTATTTTGCCTTTTTTGGCATGGTCTAGCAATTTATGAAATTAATCAAGGTTCTAACACTACTTGGCTATAATAAAGAGGAATATAAGATGCAGATGTGTTCACAAGGTATGTTCAATCATTTTATTATCTTTCAGTTACAATGATAACAGTTGGATATGGAGATATAACTCCTCAAACGACATATGAAATACTATTTACTACAATAACTATGTTTGTCACTGGATTCTTCTATGCATTTAGTTTGAATAGGATAGGTAGTATTATTGAAAATATTGAAATGAAAGATAAATCGTATAAAGAAAGTATGCAGGTCATTCATAGGCTTATGAGAGAAGAAAATGTATCTTAAACTTTAAGAGTTTAAATATCAAACTATCTACAGTATCTTTATAAAGTAAATTATTTATTTAATAGCAAAATTTAATTTGAGCATTATAATATTCTTTTTTATATGAGATATACCCCCTCTTTTCAAAAATAAAACTTGGATATATTATCAATAGACAAAGGAATAGTAAGTAATATTACTAATAGAAGAATTTATAAAATTAATAATCAAAAAAAGTTATACTATTCAAGAAGAATTTACTTATATAAAAATTAAAATTTAAAATATATTAAAATTGACAAATTAATTTTTAATGTTATCAATTTATTTATTTATAATAATTCGATTAAAACTAATTTATAAATTAAAACATATACAAAGGAATCAAATGAGGTATGTAAATAACAAGAAAAAGAAATAATAGATAAACTATCAAAATAATTAAAATATGGTCTCATTCAAGATGTTTAAGGAAAGTATTTGAAAGATATAGAATTTATTGACAAGCTAGAATCTAAATCAAAAATTGTTGAAATAATGGAAGAATGTCTATTTTCACCTGGAGAATATATTTTTCAATAAGGAGATTTAGATGACAGTGCTCTGTATTATATAGTTAAAGGAAGTGTCAAAATTACTTATGAATACTAAGATAGAAATCAAAGTTAGAATTTAGTAATTGCTCAGTTACATAAATCATAGTATTTTGGTGATATGTAATTAATTTAAGGAAGTGTGAGAATATTGACAGCTTAAGCAAGCGAATTTTGTAGAACTTATAAAATTTCTAGGGACAAATTTTTTAATTGCATTAAACAATCAGAGTAAGATTTTGAGAATTTCTAGATGCTAAGAGAGGCTTATATATTCAAATAAAATCAAAAGCTTTTCAACATAAAATGCTACACATGTAGTAAGACAGATCACGTTTCTTTAAAATGCCCTAAAACTCATTTAACACTTTCTATTTAAACACTGATTTAAAAAGAAAACAAAACAAATCCTCATTTGAAAAGATAAATTTTTGAAAGAAGAAAATAAAAATATAATTCTCTTACCTTTAATTTTGATATAATAGAAGCTATTTTCGAATTCTTAGATAAAGAAGATAATTTTTAGGATTTATAGAATTTAGAAGACCAGATACATTATAGTTAAGATGAAGCTTATTTAGAATAATAAATATTAGAATTAGAAGCATTAGAATAAATAGCTCAGGAATAAAATAAAATAATAAAAACTAATTAAATTATTTCTGAGGTGGATTAAGATTAAGAGCAAGAAAATTAATAAAATTAAATTATTTCTTAAGATTTAATGAATACAGAAATTGAAAAAATGTAACCTGCTTATTATTAAAATAAATAAAGAATTTAGTCTCTAAATAACAGATCAAGGCATTTAAGTTTAGATAAAATATAGCCTCACAGTGGTTTAGTAGAATTTTAATATGTACTATAAAATGGAGATGAATAGGAAACTTCAGGTTTTGAATAAAATTCTAGCTTAAGCAGTTTTACATAAAGGTCTTTAAAAAAATTCAAATAATAAAGCTCACTTAAAAGCTAAAATGAAGAAATTAAAAATATCGAAAGTTAGATCTAAAATTCACATTAAAATTCTTAATTATCTTACCAAAATAATGATAAAAAATGTTAAAGCTAGGTTTACGACGAAGGAAAAGCTAAAAAACCTATGATTAGTAACAGATTTTTTTAAGAAAATAAAATAATCAGCTAAAATTAAGAATCAAAAGAATTAAAAAATAATAAATCTTAACAAGATGTAGTAAATTTAATTAATAAAGTTAAAATATATTAAAATAAGAATGCCTATCACTTTTTTAAGAAAAAATCTTAAAGCCTCTATAATTTAGATGTTGAAAAAAAAGAAGAATTGATCTAAAGAGACAAATAAAAAACTATTCATAATCAATCAAGATTAAATAAATAAATATAAGAAAGTAATGATTAAAAAATAGGTAATTTTAATGATGTATTTTAATAATAAATTATGAGATCCTAATCTTTTGATGAAACCTCTTTAAATCATTTAGAATAACTTAAACATTTAACAACATCTTAAATGCTTAAAATTAGTTTAAATGATTTAAAAAACACTCCTCCCTTTTTGTTTGACATAAAAAATGAATAAGTTCCAACATTAAAAGATGAAAAATTTAAATCAAGCAATTCAACAATTTCAAATTTAGATTAATCCAAATAAAATCTTAATTACACATCTTAGAGCACAATAAAATCTGTTTCAAATGGCTAAAATGTGAGTAAAAATGAATTGGGATGTAGTAAATAAGTAGTTTAAAAATAATAACATTTAAATAGAAGATAAAGTAAGAAAGTTACCTTAATTAGGCAAATGTAATAATAAAACAGAAGAATTTCTTAAATAATTCTTTAAGAAGCTTTATAAAATTAGTTACAAAATAATTAAAATACAACAATTAGAAAGCCCTTTAAACTATTAAATCAAATGAATCAGCATTTTTAATCATAATAAAATTAAGGATATATTTTTAATATTGCTAATAAAAGGTAATCAGTTACTTAAAATCAAATCTAAAATTTAATCAGCTAAAATAATCAAAATTAGAATATGTTTTCATAAATCGCTCAATAAATGAATAACTCTCCATTAATTGCTAAAAGACGTTCAAATGTATAAAATAAAAATGTTTATAAGCTCTATCCTTAAGAATCAAATATAAATAAAAATTAAAACTCTTTGATATTTGAGAGTGAAAATAGTAAACTTTTACCAGAAATTTTAAAAAATAGATCTTCTCTTTTATTAGAAATAAATAACAAAGACATCTTAAGAAAATAACTGCACCAAGTGGGTAAATAAGAAATAAATTATTAATCTCTATAAAATAATAATTTATCGTCGCTTTAAAATAATTTATTCAATCAAAATAATATTTATTCATAATAAAATGCAATTTAATAATAATTAATAGATTCTAATTATTTAATGTTACAAATATTTGATAAAGCTAATAATTTTAAATATTACTATCCAAATTTCAATATTAGTTCAGTCATTTAAAAACTAAAAACTATTAAGATAAAGTAAAATAAGAAAAAATCTTTGAGGAAATAGCCATCAAGGATACTTGGATCAAATAAAAAAAACCTAAGATAAATTAGTTACAATATTAAAGCAAATGAAATTATCGAAGCTTAATAATGAATATTTTTAATATTATTAAGAGCTTAAATTTTAAGTAACTAAATTATAAAATTAATGATTAATATTTAATTATATATATGTATAGTACAATGACATACTACCTTTTTCAAGGCTATACACTAAAATTTTAGATATTAAGGTAATTAAAAATAAACAAAATTTCAAAATATATAAATTGTAAATGCTTATTTTTTATTTTTTGTATATATAAATATTAATTCCTATTTTTTATAATTTAAAACATAAAACTCTCTAAAATTGATAGATAGATAGTTAGATCTAAATTTAAGAGTATATTATTTTTAATTAACCCAAGGTCTCAATCCATATTTTCCTTAGATTAATATTTAAAAACGAAGATCTACTTTTATGAAATAGTGAAAATAAATTTTAAATGAAATATATTTTATATTAAAAACGAAAATAGATTTTGTTAAAAAATACTAAATTAAAATAAGGACAGCTATTTTTTTGATTAATCATGAATATATATATATATTATGGATTAAAATTGAGCTTTTAACAAATAACTGTTTAATTAACTTAAATCACTAAATGAGAATTGAGTTAATTATCAAAAGCAAATTGTATTCAATTGAATGAAATTTTTTGCTAATATTATTAATCTTCTATTTTAAATTGACTACTTAAATCAAAGAAAAATTGTTATCAAAGTTCTACTTTATTAAAATATAAAGAAATTATTTATTGGTAAAAAGATTACTTTGAAGAGTGTTTTTTTATTAAATGATAGAAAATATAATCACTCAAGAGGAAAATGGTTTTAATATTCATATGAATAGTGTTTAATTTAATAAATAGGTATTTAAAATTTCCTTATTTTATTTAATTGCCAAATTTTTTATATTGCTAAAGGATCATTAGGATTTAATCTATCTAAGCATGAAATAAAGCGAAACTGTAAAAGAATAAACACATGATGATCTAAAAACAGAAAATTAACATAACTTTTACACAAATTTAAATGATTAATAGTACTTCAATACAGATTAAGAAATAAATGATGATTAAAGCTCGTAGTTTCAGTAGATGAGTGTAATTGAAAAAAATATGTATGGATTAGATTAGAGCTCTTAAATAGAAAGAAAAGATGAATCAAAAATATAGATAACTAAAATACCCAACGATATTTAATGTTAAGGCTCAAAACTATCAAGAATTTCAATAGAATTAGATTAAAAATAAATTAAATCAAAATTTGAACTTTAAAGAAGCCAATATGAAGGAAAATCAAAGAAATAAATTAAAAATCCAAAAAAATTAATTAGAGCAATAAATTTGCTAGTAAATGTTAAAAGTTTTTATCGACTGCTTACAAAAAACACTAGAATTTTAGGAAAATTAACAAGAGATTAGCATTATTTAATTAATGATGCCTCGTCTATCTTTTAAATTCAATAAAGCTAAAGAAATCTAAAGTTTCTAAATTATATACCAAAACTCAGAAAGATTCTACAATTCTTAACTAAATTTGTGAATTGCCTAATTGAAAATATACCAATATTTTAGCCATATAATATTTATAAATTTTTATGGGATATTCTCCAAGCAATACTTATTGTTAGTGTTATGTTCCTCTTTAGTTTGATAAATTTCTTTTAAATGGATCCTTAGTATTATGTAAATTTCTTTTAGACTGTCTTTGTTGTGTTTGTTTTAGATATACTGTTTACTTTCAATACAGGAGTTGTTGAAAAAGGTAACGTTATTTTCGATAGGAAAAAAGCAGCTATAACGTATTTAAAAAAGAACTTCATCATGGATTAAATAGCACTGCTACCTCTATTTATGTTTATTTTAGACATAAAACTTCAGGGTTTATACTCTTGGGCTATCTACTTTTAGATTTTAATGAAACTCTTTGTCCTTTCTGATATTTTTAATAGACTAACTTATTACTTGAACTACTAAAAAAACATGAAAAATATTGTTGACTTAGTAAAGCTTGTCTTTATTATAGCCTGTGTTTGCCATGTATTTTGTCTTTTCTGGCATGGACTAGCAATCTATGAAATTAAATAAGGGTGTAACAATACTTGGCTCTAAGTGAGAGGAATATAAGATGCAAATGTTTTTACAAGGTATGTTCAATCATTTTATTTTCTTTCAGTCACGATGATAACAGTTGGATATGGAGACATAACTCCTCAAACAACATATGAAATACTACTTACAACAATAACTATGTTTGTCACTGGATTTTTTTATGCGTTTAGTTTGAATAGGATAGGTAGCATTATAGAAAATATAGAAATGAAAGATAAATCATATAAAGAAAGTATGCAGGTCATCCATAGGCTTATGAGAGAAGAAAATGTGTCTTAAACTTTAAGAGTATAAATTTCTAACTATTTGCAATATCTTTATAAAGTAAAATATTGATAATAAAAATTTATGTTCAAAATATTTTTAATATTTAATTTAGAAATATTATTTTTAATTCTTATTTAAAATCTCTCTCTACTTTCTAATACTACGATTAATAAAATTTAATAATTAATTATAAAAGGAGTCGAATGAAGTTGGTAAATAGTAAGAAAAAGAAATAATAAATAAACTATCGAAACAATTGTAATATGGTCTCATTTAAGATGTTTAAGGAAAATATTTGAAAGAAATAGAATTTATTGACAAGCTAGAATCTAAATCAAAAATTGTCGAAATAATGGAAGAATGCTTGTTCTCGCCTGGAGAATATATATTTTAATAAGGAGATTAAGATGATAGTGCCCTGTATTATATAGTTAAAGGAAGTGTCAAAATTACTTATGAATATTAAGACAGAAATTAAACTTAGAATTTAGTAATAGCTCAGTTACATAAATCACAATATTTTGGTGATATGTAATTCATTTAAGGAAATTCGAGGATTTTAACTGCTTAGGCAAGCGATTTCTGTAGAACTTATAAAATTCCAAGGGACAAATTTTTTAATTGCATAAAGCAATCAGAGTAAGATTTTGAGAATTTCTAGATGCTTAGAGAGGCTTATATATTCAAATAAAATCAAAAGCTTTTCAAAATAAAATGCTACACATGCAATAAAACTGACCACTTTTCAATAAAATGCCCAAAAACTCATTTAACGCTGTCTAAATAAACACTAATTCAGAAAGAGAACAAATCAATCCCTCATTTGGAAAGAAAATGCATATAAAGAAGATAATAAAAATACAATTCTCTTTCACTTAACTTGGAAACAATAGAGACTATTTTTTAATTTTTAGAAAAAGATGAAAATATTTAAGATTTACAACAAATAGAAGAATAAATGAATTTAAGCTAAGATGAAGCCTATCTTGAATAATAAATAATTGAATTGTAATAATTAGAGTACAATGAATAATTAGCAGAAGAATAAAAAAATTATGAAATAAACAATGAGAGAATAATTGAAGTTGGTTAAGATGAAGAGTAAGATAATGACGATAAAAGTTAGTAAAAAAATAATTTTGGTAATAATAAAAAGAATATTTAAATTTAAATTTACCAAAATGATCAACAAACTAACTAAGAAGACGATACAGGGTCTTTAGATGATGTAAAATCTGTGTAATCAAATTTTAGCATCAAAGGAATAATTAATTAATTTTAGAAAAATAAATAAAAGAAATTAAGTTTTGAAAAATAATCTCGAGGTTCATTTTTGGAACATTTAAATTAGTAATACAATTTGATTGAGCAATAATTTTAATCGACTGACCAAAACTCTAGTATAAGTAATTTAACATAAAAATCTTTCAGTAAATTAAAGTAATTAAATCCATCTACAAAAAATATAAATGAAGAAAGTGAAAATTAGGTTTCAGTATCAAACTAAAGCAATGATTCATAATAACTTTTAAGTGATTACAAAAAAAAATAAAAAAATTTAAAACCTGTGAGTTACAACGAAATAAAATCGTAACAAAATTTGTTAAAAATGTAATTGATTTATGAAAACAGAGAGAAAAATAATTCTGCCCATAGCTCAAAAGACCCTTTTTGCAGAATTCCAAATAAATAATAATAGGAAGTAATTTTTAAAAGTTAATAAAGTGCTATGGAGCAAAAAAAATCTATTTTTAAAAGAAAGTCTTAGAGTCTCACAAATTTGTAAGATGATAGTGATAGCGATCAAGAATAAATTGAATAAAATAGCTAAAACAGAAACACTCTTACTCCAAATTATTAAACAAAAAGAAAACAATCATAAGCATAAAAGAAAAATAGTATAAGAAATAGTATAAGCTAATAATTTATTAGGTCTTAATCATGTGATGAATCTTCTTTTAATAAAATATTATTTTAGTTAGAATAAAAAAAGTAATCGGTTTTGAAAAATATTCCATCAATAAGAGAAACAGCAAATACTTAAGAAGAAATTTAAAATTCTAACAATAATACCTCTATATCCAATATAAATGTTTCGAAGTAAAATATAAATTATAATTCATAGAGTACAATAAAATCTATTACTAATTACGAGCCTTCTAAAGAAACATCGTCTAAGCAAGATTTAAAAAGAAGATAAAGTAAAAAAATGACACATTTAAGATAACAGAAATAACAAAAGAGAGTTTCTTAATTGATTCATCCAATTCTTTAATAAACATAACTAAATCATAATCAAAATATTGCATAAAAAGTCTAAAATAAGCATTTAAATTAAGTAAATTAATAATGTTTAATTTAACAGAATTAGGAGTAGATTTAAAATCTTATCAGAAAAAGATAATCTTTGGCTCAAATCTAATTCTAAAACTAATAAATCTGTAATAATTAAAACCAAATGACTTATTCATAAATTTTATAACAAATGAATAGCTCTCCTTATATTGTGAAAAGACGCTCTAATACTTATGCGAAAAATATGATGGCAATTAATCAACAAGAATTAAGTAAAAATAAAAATTAAAATTCTATGATAATTGAGAACTTAGAAAGTAGTAAGCTATTACCAGAAATAATTAAAAACAGATCTTCTCTGTAATATGAAATAAATAATAAAGAAAACACTAAGAAAATATCCTAATTGCCATTAAAAATGGATATTAATAAATATATTTAATACAACTCTAATGATAATAATCATTTATCATAAGTTTATATGAATTCACATCAGCATAATCATTTTGCTATCCAAGAAAACGAAATCTAAGCATCACTATAAGATTCGAGTTATATAATGCTGCAAATATTTGATAAAGCAAATATTTTTAGGTTTTATTATCCAAATTATAACATTAACTAAGTGATTGAAAATCTGAATTCAAAAGAATCATAATAGCATAAAAAAAAAACTTTCAAGAAGCAAGCTACTCGTCGCTTTCTTTAAACTAAAAGGACTCTTAATTACATAAACGTAAATAATAAAATTAACGAAAGACTTTTTAGAACAAATATTAGTAAAGACTTAGATTATAATAAAAGCAAATTTTGATTATTTGAATACAAATTAAATTAGTGTAATCTATAATTAAAAAAAGTTCCCATTTACTTTATTTAACTGTAATAGATGATCAATACATATTATCCATCAATATGCATGTAAAAATTAATTATATTGTAAAATTTTATCAAAGTAGTGTAATAATTTACAAAATATCATCTTTGATAATTTTTAATCACTTAACTCAAACATTTTCAGAATTATACATATATTCCAAATTTAGAAATTAAAAGTATTTATAAGAATACCACTTCAAAAAGAAAGGAATAAAAACTAAATATTAATTTATATTTCTTACAAAAGGAAGAAATGAAATATAAGAAATAAGTATTACTTACAAGGGATTAAATTGAAGAATTTAGAATTCTCATGATATTCAAATACTTTTTAAGCATTTAAAAATTTGATTTTAAAAGTAATTAAAGTTAAATATTTACAAATTATTTTTGGATAGAATCAAAAGATTACAAATAATAATAATTTGATTATTTAAATTAAACTAAAAAGATAAAGTTTTTAAATATAAAATAATTAATTATTTCATATTTTTTTTATTTGAAAAAAAAATATTTATTCACATTAAATTTTAAATAGATTTGTTTTTTTATAAGCTGAAATGAATGAAATTATAATAATTGTTTTTATTTTTTTGATAAAAATAATTCCCCCACCGGGACTTGAACCCGGGTCTGAAGGGTGAAAACCTTCTATCCTAACCTGCTAGACTATAGGGGATTACACTTAAATAATAGAAAAGTTTAATAAATAATTAAAGAATCTAGTATATTTAATAAAAATTAAACAATTAATCTAATTTATGGAAATAAAAAAAATGATATTTATTTGATTTTTTAATAGTTAAATTATTAACATAAATATAGATTTATAATAACTTATTTTATATTTTTGATAATTTTTAATGCTGATTGATAAATTTAAATATTTACTAAATTACTTTTATTTGTAATTTATAAAAATATTTAAAATAAATTGATTTATTTTTTAGAAATAAAAGTAATTTAGTAAATATTCAAATTTATCATACAGTATTACAAATTACCAAAAATATTAAATAAGTTATTATAAAATAAATTAAATTTAGTTTAATGTTATTTCATTTTGAATATATTGTTTAGAAACAATTTATTTATATAAGAAATTTAGAAAATTTTACTACAACTTTTTGAATTTGTCAATTAAAAATAAATAGTTATTTTAATTATGTTACTATTGTTAACTACACTATAAATTGTAAAGTAAAACAATTACAATATTTATTATGAAAATAAATAATAAAAATATGATAAACTTTTTCAATTTTTATTGATAAGAAAGTAAATAATAATTGGTTCATAAATAATTAATATTAATTATTTTTATTTGCTCAATATTAATTAATTAATTAAAAGATTAATAGCATATTTTTTACTTTGATTTTTAGCCATTTAAAAATATGATTGAAAATTCCATACTAAACGACTCTGCAACCATGAATACTCACATGAATAGCATTTAGTTCAACGAATAGGTATTCACATATGAAATTCTAAGATTCAAATTTAAATCTTATAAACTTTTAACAAATAAAATTTAGGATCATTTAGATTTATAGATTCTTAATTAGAAGTAGTGCGAAACAGTAAAAGAGTACACACATGATGAAATCAATACTGGAGATATTGTTTAAATTCTTGCCGATTCCTTCAATAATCCTTCTAATGTGCAAACAGATTTCAAATTTTTAGAATATATTAGAAAATAACCTTAAAGATCAATGAATTATCAATTTACTTAAGAAAAGTAGAAGTATTAATAAAACTTGATGAATAAAGATGAAATGATGTTAAAGTTAAAAAATACTAATTAAAATGAATAAAATTAGGAGCAAATACAATCAAAAACGAGCTCACAATCTATTTAATCTGAAGAGGTTATTGAGAGAGATGAAAAAAAGCAAAATAAATTAATGAAATCTATTAGTCTATTAGTTAACGTTAAAAGTTTTTATCGTTTATTAACAAAAAATACAAGAATCCTAGGCAAGTTAAATAAAGAACAGCATTATTTAATTAATGATATTTCCTCAGTTTTTTAAAAAAATTAATAATCTAAAATGTAGAAATTTAATAAATGTCTTTCTAAATTAAAAAAACCTATTCAGCTAATCAATAACTAAATCAAAAACATTGCTGATTGCATTCCAATGTTTTAACCTTATAATCTATACAAGTTCCTTTGGGATATCCTCTAAGCTATCTTAATTTTAACAGTCATGTTTCTGTTTAGCTTAGTAGTCTTCTTTTAAATGGATATCCAAAATTATGTTCCATTCTTTCAAAATATATTTATCATTTTTGTTTTGGATATACTATTTACATTTAATACTGGGCTTGTAGAAAAAGGTAATGTCATTTTTGATAGGAAAAAAGTTGCTATTACTTATTTAAAAAAGTATTTTATCATGGACCAAATTGCTTTGTTACCTTTATTTTTGTTTTATTTAGACATACAACTTGAAGGTTTGTACTCTTGGATTGTCTACTTTTTAATTTTGATGAAATTATTTGTTCTTTCTGATACATTTACTAGGCTCACTTATTATTTAAGCTATCAAAAAAACATGGAAAATATTGTTGATTTAGTAAAACTTGTTTTTATTATTGCATGCGTTTGTCATATATTTTGTCTATTTTGGCATGGGATAGCCATATATGAAATTAATTAAGGCTCTAATACTACTTGGCTATAATATAGAGGAATATAAGATGCAGATATATTTACAAGGTATGTTTAATCTTTCTACTATCTTGCAGTTACTATGATTACAGTAGGATATGGTGACATAACTCCTCAAACGACCTATGAAATACTATTTACAACAATAACAATGTTTGTAACTGGGTTCTTCTATGCATTTAGTTTGAACAGAATAGGTAATATTATTGAAAATATAGAGGCAAAAGATAAATCCTATAAAGAAAGTATGCAAGTTATTCATAGGTTAATGAGAGAAGAAAATGTATCTTAAACTTTAAGAGTTTAAGTTTCTAATTATCTTTAGTATCTATACAAAGTATTTATATTTTTTTTAATTTATTTTAAATCATAGTACATTTATATCAAAACCATCCACTAAAAATCATGGATAATTAAGTTTATAATTTTTTAATTGAATGATTTAACTTCCACTTAAATTTTTATCTTATTTTAGATGAATAACAATAAATTTCCCCCAATACTTTTGTCTTTATATTCATTTTTTTTTACCCCCATTAATTTTTTTATTGTATTTTTATCAAATTCTTTAAAATTTAAATATGATGGTATTTATAATGGAATTATTTTATTTCCCCATTATTTACCTCCCCCTATATTTTTAATAAAAAATCCTTTATTATAAAATTTTTAAATAATTTACTTTTGCATTAAATACTGCTCTTTTATAATTGATTTTGCTAAATTATTCTTATTTTGCTAAAAAAGTTATTTAAATTTAAGGATTGATAATATATTGAGAAATATTAAATTTATTATGAAAAATATTAAAATAATATTTATAAATTTATAAATAGGATTCTAATGAATTAGAAAAGTAGCATGAGATAGAAATTACAAACAAACTTTCAAAATAGTTGAAATATGATCTCACTCAAAATATTCAAGGAAAATATTTAAAAGATATAGAATTTATAGATAAATTAGAAAGTAAGTCTAAAATTGTTGAAATAATGGAAGAATGTTTATTTTCACCTGGAGAGTATATATTTAAATAAGGAGATTTAGATGATTGCTCTTTATATTATATAGTTAAAGGAAGCGTTAAAATTATTTATGAGTATTAAAGTAGAGATTAGACTGAAAGTTTGATTATTACTCAGCTTAAAAAATAATAATACTTTGGGGATATGCAATTTATATAAGGAAATTCTCGAATTCTAACTGCTTAGGCAAGTGAATTTTGTAGAACTTATAAAATACCAAGAGAATAGTTTTTTAAATGTATTAAGTAATCTGATTAAGACTTTGAAAATTTTCAGATGCTTAAAGAAGCATACATTTTTAAAGAAAATTAAAAACTTTTTAACATCAAGTGCTATATATGCAATAAATCAGATCACATTTCTATAAAATGTCCCAAAACTCATTTGACATTATCTAAATAAACTCTAATTTAAAAGGAAAACAAATCTACTCCTCATTTCTAAAGAGAAACATTTTAGAGAAAATAAAATAAATTGAATTCTCTTTTTAAAAATTTAGAGGTATTATATGGGGTTTATTAATTTACAGATAACGAAGAAAACTTTTAAGATTTAGAGATCTTAGAAAATGAAATGCATTTGAGCTAAGATGAAGCATTCTTAGAATAACAATTATTAGAATTGTAGAAACAAGATAATTGTGAATAACCAAAGTAATAATAATAGAACTATTAGTTTACTAATTAGACTATAAGTGAGGAAGAATCAGATTCAGTGACGAATGATAAAAATTAAGAGTGGAAATACTATAATTCAATGAACTAAAAAAATTAAAGCAGTATTGAAATTTAAAGTTATTAAGCTATAATAAATCAATAGGATACAATATTAGATGAAAATACTTAAATTTAATAGAATCATAATAATTCCCATAGTCGCAGAGATTATGTTTTAAATTAGCTATCGAAAACTAAGTAATTAAATATGAGCTTACAAAAAATTTAATCAAGTAATTCTTTAAGAGATTAAACAAAGTAGTAAGATTACTCCTCGAATGAAGAGAGATAATAGACTACTGAAAAAAAATCTAATTAAAGTATAGTTTCTTCAAAACATTTAAATATGTAAATACAGCCAAATTAGGGGTCGGGATAATTACTAGAAACTTAATAAAATATTTAAAACTAAACATAAAACAAAATTCAAAATAGTAATTATTTAATCTAAAATTTAGATGAAAATAAACTAGGTATTTTCAAATAAAATGAAAACAATTTTGAAAATAAATAATCTGTAGTAAATAATTATTAAACATTCTTAAAAATTGACGGTAATTAAAATTATTTATCATCACAACCAACAAATAGAAAATATTAAAGTTTAAACAATTTGAGAGAAGAAGAAATAAATTAATAAAAATACAAAAATTAAACAATGAATAAAAAACTTAATAATAAATAAAATAAAATAAATTCAAATTTCCTAAGATCTCAATCTTATGATGAAATTTTTTGCAGATAAATTAATTAGGGATTAGAAGTTTAAAAAATAAATATACATCCCTCTTTAGCTAAAAATAATATAAAACGATATTCTTTAAACAAAGTAAATAAAAATATATTTTTAGAAGAAAATGCTTTAAAACAGAATTCTTCAAATATAAATTCTAATCATCCTAAGTAAAATTTAATTAATTCTTCTTAAATTTTTAATATACAATTAGTCAATTATGAGCTTAATTAAAGAAAAGAGTAAAGTAGTAAATCAAGATTATAGAATTAACAAGAGATTTCAAGATAGAAGTGCAAAAATAATATTCAATTAAGAAATATATAAAAGACGCCACCATCTATTTTGGGTTCTAATTGTTAAGAATGTCAATTATATTAAAACTAAAATTCAAATCTAAAACTCTTAAATAGTTAGTTCAATTAAAATGATCAATTTTTACAATAAGATTGTTCTTAAAATAATTAATCTACTGCTTAAACATAGAGTCAAAATGAAAATAAAAACTTTTACAATAGCAAATTACTTTTTTATATCTCCCAACAGCTAAAAAGCTCTCCATTAATTTAATTCAGGGGCAAAAACTTAAAAAACATTTAGGCTCAGTTATCTTAAGAAATAGCCAAAAGGAAAAATTCAAGCTCTCTATTTTTTGATAATTTAGAAAAACCTAAAAGTCAACATGAGATTTATAAAAAAATTTATTCTTAGTAATCAGAAATAAATATGAAAGATAGTATTAGAAAGTAATTGTAATAGGGATCAAAGTTTGATATATCTCAGCAGATTTAAACGAATTCTAATTAATAAAACATTTTATTACAACCATAGAATTAGTTTTTATAATAAAGTAACACAATCGGGTTATAAGGATATGACTATAAAGAAGTAGGAGATTCAAATTATTTGATGTTGAAAATATTTGATAAACCAAATATTTTCAAATACTATTATCCTATGCAAAATATAAACATAGTTATTAAAAAATTATAATAAAATGATAAGAAATTAAAGAAAAAATAATCTTTAAGAAAATAAGCCACAAATTTAATATAAAATAAAATAAAAAAATAATAAATTAAAAAAGAAATTAATATTAACAAAATTAAATTTAAAGATTTATCAATTATTGTAAATTAAAATTGAAATATTTTTATCTAAAAATTTATTTATTATTCTTTAGCATTTTTTATATATTAAAAAATAACCTTTTCTAGTATATTATGTATGAATTTTTTATCAAGAAATTAAGGTAGATATGGAATTTTTAATCAATAAAAAATAAAAATAATGGCTAGCACTTTAAAATATTAAATTTAATATTTTGAATCTCCTTGTTATAAATGCGGATAAGGTAAAAATAATTGTTTTTATATTTATTTAATAAATGTAAAAATATTTTAAGTAATTATATATTTAATTAATTTTTATTAATTTAATTTTATAAAATGTTTCTTTTAGTATTTATTAATACTTATCAAATAATTAGTTTATTTTTTGTTCAAATAATATTAAGAATTTAAATTTAGTAATTTTCCTAATAATTAACTCAAAAAAAAAATTTCCCCCACCGGGACTTGAACCCGGGTCTGAAGGGTGAAAACCTTCTATCCTAACCTGCTAGACTATAGGGGATTACAAAAGAAATCAATCAAGTTTAATAGAACTTGTTAAAAATTCTTAAAGCTGAATTCACTTCCAAAGTTTATCTCTACATTCAAGAATAATAATAAAATATAAATATTTGGAAAATTACTTTAAAGAAATTTAAAAAAATCACAAAGTTAATTTTATAAAAAGGATTCATTATTAATTGTCTGAATGCTAGAAAGAATATTAGATCAATTAATGGATGATTTAAAAAGGTAAATTAACAAATAAAATATTAAAAATTATGACTAAATATGCTTTCAAAAACTAATTTAAAAATATTAATTGATATCTTGCTGTTAATATATAAACAGAGTTTTTATTCCTTATTTTTATGTTTTTGATCTATTGCTTGATTTTTAAATTTTGATAATTAAAAAATATGAAAAGACTCGAAATTATTAATATAAAAATAATAAATAACTACAACAAGCAAAATTCTACTAAAAACTTCTGAATAACTTTCACATAGAATTAATAATTAAGTATTAAATTTATTTAAAGACGCTAAAATTTTCTTTTACAAAGCCATATAAAAATGAACGAAAGTACAATGATAAACGATGATACATAAATAAATACTCATATGAATAGTATTTAGTTCAATGAATAAGTAGTTTTATCTTTAATTAACTCTAAATAAGATTATTAACTCATTTTTAAAACTAAATATATAGGATCATTTTGATTTGAAAATTCTTAATTAGAAATAGGCTGAAACAATAAAAGAGCTCACTGATGAAGGTATAAATACTGAAGATATTATTCAAATACAAAGAAAAACTATCAATAATAATGTACATAGTGTACTTTATTAATAATAAGTTTAAAATTCTAATCAGCAAGGAGAATATGATGATAAACAATTTGAGCAATAGAAATCTACTTCAGAAAAAAAGAAGTAGGAATAGTTAACAAAATAGTAAGTCGATATAATGACTGAAAAAAAGAAAAATATAACTCAAGAGTCTAGCATAAGCAAGATAAAAGTTTCAGTTTTTTCAAAAGATTCATTTCCATTAAACTAAAAAGAATCAACACCAAAAACTTGTTCATAGATAGTTTAGCGCAAGGGTTTTATAAGAAATTAAAACCCAATAAAATTAATTAAATCTATCAATTTACTAGTTAATGTTAAAAGTTTTTATCGCTTGCTAACAAAAAACACTAGAATTTTAGGCAAATTAACAAGAGACTAACATTACTTAATTAATGATATTTCTTCAGTTTTTTAAAAAAATAAATAATCTAAAATATTCAAATTATTTTTAATCTTTCCTAAAATAAAAAAAACCCTTCTACAAATGAATAATTGTATAAGCAATATGATTGCTTGCATTCCAATGTTTTAGCCTTATAATTTATCCAAGTTTCTTTGGGATATTCTGTAAGCTATTTTAATTTTAAGTGTAATCTTTCTTTTTAGTTTGGTTATCTTCTTTTAAATGGATATCAAAAATTTTGTTTTTTTTTTCTAGGTTGTATTTGTTATTCTTATCCTTGATATGCTATTTACTTTCAACACTGGAGTTGTGGAAAAGGGTAATGTCATATTTGATAGGAAAAAAGCAGCAAAAATTTATTTAAAAAAAAATTTTATCATGGACTTATTAGCCTTGTTGCCATTATTTATGTTTTATCTAGATATAAAACTTGAAGGTCTATACTCATTGGTTATCTACTTTTAAATTCTGATGAAATTATTTGTTCTTTCTGATACATTTAATAGGTTAACTTATTATTTGAGCTATCAAAAAAACATGAAAAATATTGTAGATTTAGTAAAGCTTGTTTTTATTATAGCATGCGTTTGCCATATTTTTTGTCTATTTTGGCATGGTCTAGCAATTTATGAAATTAATCAAGGTTCTAACACTACTTGGCTATAATATAGAGGAATATAAGATGCAGATGTGTTTACAAGGTATGTTTAATCATTCTACTATCTTGCAGTTACCATGATAACAGTTGGATATGGAGACATAACTCCTCAAACGACCTATGAAATACTTTTTACAACAATAACTATGTTTGTTACTGGTTTCTTTTATGCATTTAGTTTGAACAGGATAGGTAGTATTATAGAAAATATAGAATTAAAAGACAAATCTTATAAAGAAAATATGCAAATTATTCATAGATTAATGAGAGAAGAAAATGTATAATAAACTTTAAGAGTTTAAATTTCTAACTATCTGCTATATTTATATAAAGTAAACATTTATTCAATAAAATTAACCATTTAATTATTTATTTTATTTACTGGAAAATAACAAATAAATAATATTTGCAAAGTCAGTTAGTTACACAAGTAAAAGGAAAATATAAAAAAATTTTATTTTATGATTTATTAAAATATCTTAATATAAAATTTAAGGAATCAAATGAAATAGGAAAGCAATAGGAAATAGAAATTACTAATAAGCTTTCTAAATAATTGAAATATGATCTAACTCAAGACATTCAAGGAAAATATCTAAAAGATATAGAATTTATTGATAAATTAGAAACAAAATCTAAAATAGTTGAAATCATGGAAGAATGTTTATTTTCACCTGGTGAATATATATTTAGATAAGGAGATATGGATGACTGTTCTTTATACTATATAGTCAAAGGAAGTGTAATAATTACTTATGACTATTAATTTAGAGACTAAACTGAAAGCTTGATTATCAATTAACTAAAAAAATCGCAGTATTTTGGTGATATGTAATTTATATAAGGGAATGCAAGAATTTTAACTGCGCAAGCGAGTGATTTTTGTAGGACTTATAAAATACCAAGAGAATAATTCTTCAAGTGTATCAAAGAATCTGATTAAGATTTTGAGAATTTTCAGATGCTTAAAGAAGCATACATTTTCAAAGACAACTAAAAGCTATTTAACATGAAATGTTACACATGTAATAAATCAGATCACATCTCTATAAAATGTCCTAAAACTCATTTAACACTCTCTAAATAAACACTCATTTAAAAAGAAAATAAATCTATACCTCATTTGCAAAGAGAATTTAAGTCAAGAAAATAAATTAAGTTTAATTCTATTTTTAGCAACTTTGATATTATAAACGGAGTTTATTTATTTATTGAAAAGGATGAAAATTTATTAGATTTATAAATTTTAGAGGAAGAAATGCATTTAAGCTAAGATGAAGCATACTTAGAACAATAATTATTAGAATTAGAGAAAATAGACTAAAATGAATTGTTTACAAAGGAAATAAAACATTTTGAAATCACTAATTAGACAATAAGCGAAGCAGAATAAGAAGAAGACTCCACAGATGAAATAAGCCCAAGATACATTAATGATACTCTTTTTAGCTCTAATAAATAAAGAAATAATACAAATTAAAGTAGCTCAGATTAGAATTAAACATATGAAGTTGAATTATATTAAGATAATAACTCTTTAGCTGAACGTAGCTATAGTAATAAAGATAAAATTTTAAGTTAATCTTTGAAAAATAAGTAAGTAAAAAGCATAGAATAAATTTAATCAAGTACAAATAATTCTTTTTTAGATCAACTAACTTAGTAAGACAATTAATATGACTAAAGATATTAAAATATAGAAAAGAATTCTAATATAAGCTTATCTAGTCAAAAGAATTAATATAAACAATATTAAAATAGCACAACATCTGAAGATGATTTGATAGAAAGTTAAGAAAACATTCAAAGCTAAATTTAAAATAGTTAGTTAAATAATGACAATATCATATAAAATTAATAAAAGAAAAAATTAGACATTTCTAGTGAAAAAAATAATAAAAAATGCTTTTCTGATCGTAAAAATAATTTAGTTTACTAAGAGAACTCATTTGAAAAATCTGAAGAATTATTAAATATTGAATAATTCAAACAAGTGGCTAGTTTTGTTATTAAGAACCAACCAACTTTAAAAAATGAAAAAATTAAAATGTTTTAAAAAAAAAAATCTTAGAGTTTAACAGATTTATGTGAATAAATAAAGTCGGAATAACAAAATTCAAATTAAATTAAGAGTCAATTTAATATAAAAACAAAAAATTAAATCTAGCAAAATAAATTAAATCAATTGAATTTGCAAATTATAAGATCTCAATCTTGTAGGGAAACTTCAAGGAGTTATACTGATATTGAGTAATAGATAAAGGGAAACAAAAAATACTTATGTTAAACAGCAGATTATCGTAAGAAAAATACCTAATAAATTAAAGTAACTAATACCATCTCTTCAAACAACCAAATTTATGAAGATTGCTAGCAAAAATCAAATTCTTCAATACAAAATGGTAGTTATTCAAAGTAAAACATGAACTATAATTCTTAAACCTCTTTAAAGAGTTTAACAAATAATGAAATTGTTTAAAAGAGAGAGTAGAGCAGTAAATCACTACAATAGAATTAGTAAGAATTAATCAGATAACAATCTAAAAAAATAGCTCAACTAAGACAATTCAAATTATAAAGAAAACAATCCTTAATTTTATCCCCAAGTATTTTACAATACCAGTTAAACCAAAATCAGAATACTAGCACGAATCCTATTAATAACTAATTTAACTAAAATAACTAATCGCATAATTACTAATACTAAGAAAACAACTAAAACAGTCATAAAAATCTATAATCAATAAATTAAAAGCTTAATTCAAATCAAATTAATAATCATTAAAACCAAATTTTGCTATCTTAAATTTCTTTTTAATTAAAGAATTCTCCATTAATTTAATATAGACACAAACATATTCATGCTAAAAATATGTTAACCTAGAGATCTTAGGAAACATAAAAAAGAAGAAATTCAAATTGCTCTTTATTTGAACTTTAAGAAAACTCCTTAAGACAACTAGATGCTCATAAAAAAAGGCCATCCATAAGTTCAGAAGTAAACTTAAAAGAAAGTATTAAGAAATAATAGTAACATTAATAAGGATCTAAACTTGATATAATTTCCTAAATTTAGAATAATTCATATTTATAAAATAACTTATCTCTGCTCTAAAATTAATTGATTTAACAAAATATTTTGAGTTAAGAAGATAATATTTAAAAGCTGGCAGTAGACTCAAGTTATTTAATGCTCTAAATATTTGATAAACCAAATATTTTTAAACATTATTATCCTAATTATAACATTAATATTGTAATATAAAATTTAAAATAAAGTGATAGAAAAATAAACAAAACTTAATCATTAAGAAAACAAGTTTCGCGTAATATTGCATCAAATAAAAGAGCTTTAAAACAAGTAAATTAAATTAAGCTAACAAAAGCAAATACATAAGGTTCAAATAAAATAAAAAATTTAGATATTAATTTAAACTAAAATTGAAAAAAATAAATGAGTGACTTAATAATTTAAAAACGTTTATTGAAATATAAAATGGAAAAAAAATTTTTTCAAAATAATTATTATGATTTGTAAACATTTTTTATATTTATTTGAATGATATTTGATTGATTAATAATAAGAAGTAATATTTTTAATAAAAAAATAATATTTATTGATTTTGACATTAATTTTAATAATCTATCTATATTTATTTTATGTAACAAAATAATTAATTTTAGAGGTTGGAGGAAGGGAGGTTTGTGGTCTTACGCTTTGATTAGAAGTCTAATCATGTTCATATTTGCACATATATTTGAACCTCTTTTTAAAATTATTAAAAACTAAAATGAATGACAATATACAATGATGACATCCCCCATTTTTTAATATGCTGTTTCGGTTTATTTATTTTAATTAAGAAATTAATTTTCTAAATATTTTAACAATTAATTTAATAAAACATTCACAAAATATAATAAATTCCATTTTACTTTAAATATTTTTAAAATGATAAAATTATTATTTTTAATAGTAAAATTAAATATCTTTTCATTTTTAAAGTAATAAATTACAGGATAACAAATTTCATGATTTAAATATTAATTTCTATTAATTATTATTAATGAATTGCTTTTAAAACTCTTATTTTTGTGTTAATTTCAAATAATTTGAATATTTTATTGCGTTCTTAAGTAAGAATGTAAATAATTTAATTTATCAGCAATTCTACTATTCAATGTGTTAAATTTTATTTTTTATGTTTGTTTAAGTCTAACAATTGGTTCTTAGTTGAACATTTTATTTTCTTAGCAACTTAATAGTAAAAGTTTCTATTTTTAGTAATAGTTCATACACTAAAAAAATATCAAAAGTTATAATAGAAGGAAAATAGGATATTTTTAATATAAAAAATTCAAATATAAGAATTATTAATAACTCAAAATTATATTAAAAGTAAATAAAAGAAAAGTCTATGTTTTGATTGTATATAATGTAAACATTTCTCATAATTTAAATGCATTTGTAAATTTGACTTTAGGATTTTCTTTAAAATATTAATATTTCATAATATCAAAAAATCTTAATTAAAAATAAAAAATACTAATCCAATATTTTTTTACTCTAAAATATGATTCATTTTAATGATTCTTTTTAGGTTCTAGTGATACACAAATCAAAATCTAACAATAAGTATATTTTAGATAAATTAATCATATTGAAAATTTACTAGTCGTCTTTATGGATATAATTTAAGTTGTTACATTCATTTACATTTTTAAATACGGGAGGAATGAAGTAAGCATATTATTTGAACCTTTAAATTTCAAATCTCAATTTTAATAATAAATTTTGAAATACATTAATAAAAAAAATATTTAGTTCCTCCTATATCTTGTTACACTAAAATTTGAAAAAATTTATTTATTAAATAGATTTTCTAAATAATAAATTAGTGTTTATTGGTATATTTTTAATTTGTTTCAATTCTTTTATTTTTATCAAATCTTTGCATCACTCTTAACATTCATAAATAGTTTAATTAATAGAATTTCTTAAAATATATTTTTAGCTATTACAGACAAATCATTAAAAATATGCCAGTAATTCATATCTATTATTGATCCAATACCTTTAGTTATAAATCTCTTTCTATCACAAAGGTAAAATAAGTAGAAATTTTTATGTATTATTGAAATTCGCAAATTTATTTTCCTAAATATTATCATTTTAATATTAGTTAAAAATCTTTAGATTATAATTATCTATTAAATTTTTAGAAATGTTTATTTTTTTACTATTTTTTGAATCTTTGTTTTTAAATAAAAAAAGAAATTTACAAAAATTTGTCAGTAAATCAAGTAAATGAAAGTGATTTTTCATTATAATTTATATAATAGCTTCACATTTTACTAACAAAATTTATTTTAGAAACCTTATTGATTTATTTACTAGCTATTTAAAAAATTTTAAGGTCAATTTTTTTATTCTATTGAATTCCAATATTATACTACTTTTTATCTTTACGAAGTAACAAGATGCAAAAGAAAATAAAGCAAATTTTATGTAAAAATACATTTATAATAATTATTTTTAGTTTAAAGTCTAGTGTTTATTCTTACATTCTAGCATAATTTATTTTATATTCTTCATATTGAATCTTAAAATATCTATAAAATTAATAAGCTTAGTTTTAAAAATATAAAAATTTTTGTAATAGCTCAATGATAACTTTACATCTAATTTAGTATTACCAATAAAAAAGTTAATACTTACTTCTAATATTAATCATTTCAATCGTAGTCTTTTTATTTTTACCACAAAACAAGACTTTTGATTTATAAATATTTAAATTGATAATAGATCATAAATTAATAAAAAACAAGTTAGATAGTCAATAAATAACACAAAAGTCAAAAAGTTATGAAAACTATACAAAACTATCCTTTAAAAAACAAAGATAAACATCAATATGTAAATCTAAATACTTTTTTATAAATATATAATACGAATTTTCCCACAATGTTCTCTTTTAAATCTTCAAAATTTGATAATTAAAATAGCGTTAAAAAAATTTTTAAACTCATTTTAAGAAAATTAATATGACTGAAAGATAATGTGATGATCTAAAGTATATTTTTCTATAAAAAAGGATATTTACGTCAATGAATAAGAGACCTTAGCTTCATAAAACACAAGCTTTGAAGATGAGAAGAGTTTAAATTTAAATTAGAGGATGCAAAGAAAATAGGATTTGGTATATTTGATAAAGAGTAAAATATATGAATTAGTAGTTAAGATCCTTCTTCACATATACTTTTTATAAAATTTTTTTCTTTAAGTAGCACTATTTTATCTAAATATTTAGGTAGATTTTTTTATATCATCAATATTAAATCTAATATATTTCTTTTAATAATTAATTAATAGTATTTCAATCAGAATCTACTGATGTTTACCTTCATATATATAATTCCTACATTCTATCTTTACAATAAGCTATTGAATGAAAAAGGCTGTTTTTACAAAGAAAAATAACTTTAATAAATTATCTTAGTGGTTTTGGGTTTTAAATAAATATAAGATTATAATAAAAAACTAATTACCATCAATTATTAATTAATTATTTATTTAATTTCCCTCTATCAAAGCATACTTCTGATGTTTATGCAACTCATTATAAAAGATGTCATATTCTCTATATTTTTAGCCTTTTTAGTTATTTTAAATACTCATATCTTACTTAACGTTTTTTATGAAGACACTCATAGACCTTTTGAAGATTTTATATTAAAGTACTCAAAAATCTTGCTCAAAAACTTTATACATTGTATAGCTTAAGTGAGTTACTATATTTTTTGTTTTTTATAGATGACTGTAGATTAAATTATTATCATATTCCTGATTAAATTCATTCTTATTTTTGCTTTCGCCTGCTATAATAAATCAAGCTTTTTAGGTCTAACATTTTTTGGAATTATTATTGACCGCAAAGTCATCCAAAAGAATATAAGCATGAATAATTTTATACTATTTATGGTTAAAAACGTAGCCTGCTTTAGCAGATATTTTAAAGTTTAGTATTTTTATTTGCTGCTGTTGAGAACTCTTTAAGTATTCTTCATTTATATTTTTAGATTAGAAGATCTCAGCAGTATATATGATAATTATGAACTGTTGATTATGCCTGCTATTAGCTATTTGCTTATAATATTTTAATCATATTAAGAAATAAGAAAATTATAATTTAATAAGAAAGAAGTAGTAGAAATAGAGTCATAATATGATTTCTTAAATTTGGTATAGAATGAATAAAAATACACAAATCTTAAATAGATTTTTATTACTTCTAATGTAGATTAAAATCAAATACTCAGCTTTTTGATGTATAATTTTAAGTAATGTGCAATTTTTTTAGAAGAAACAAGTAATAATCAAGAAGTAATGTTCTATCATTAAAGATATTTCTTAAAAAATAGCTATTAAAAGATAGTATTTGAGTATATTTCTTTACCAAAATTAAATAATATTCTTTTGGCAGAAAATATAGTACCAAATGTGCGAGAAATAACAATAAAAATGAAACCAGAAATTAACACAAATAAAATATGCTTAAGTTAGTTTTATAGTAAGCTTTTAAACACCATAATTCCAATTAAAGTAACTTTAAAAAAGCTAATACCAAAAAAGATAAAAAAACATTAACTAGTTTATAATAATTATTTCTGCTAATCTAGTTAAGTAATTGCCCATTGCGCTGTTTTTAATAATTAAATATCATAATATTTAATAAACAATCCTTAGTAAATAATGTATGATTTATATGAAGACAGTTTATGATGATTTTTTAAAAATTTGTTTTTAAAAAACTACATACATACAACATACATAATATACAAATAATTTAAGTCCTTTTTTTTAGAAATTAGAAATAATTTATTAAAGGATCTAAAAATAATCAAAATAATTAATTAATATTACTGGTTCTATCTTTAATCAGATATTTTGTTTAAAGCTAACAAAGTGTTTTATTTATTAGATTTGAGCTAACCATTCTTACAAAACAATTTATTATTAATTTAATGTAAATTTCAATATAAAAAAATATTTTATTGAAAAGTTTTATTTTATCATTTTAAAACTAAACAAAAGATATAAATAAATAAATAAAAATTACTGTAAATTCTAAATTCAAGCATACGAATCAGTATATGAGCAGCAAGCTTTTTTTATTTTAAAAAATTTGTTAGATTATTTAAAATAATCTATTTTTTTAAGTGAATAATTATGTTTTTATAATATATACATACTGAAATCAATAGGAGATTTTAGTTTTAAAAATTATTATTTTTTATTTATTTATTAGTTTATTTTTACAGCTATTATAAGCTTAAAACTATTCACATGCTATACAAAATATATAAAAATTTTTAAATATTAACTTACATTTGATTTTTAAGGATTACTTTTATAAATAAATAAGCATATCTAACATACTCTGCTTATCTTATTTTATTATGTTTTTTTATCTCCCTATTTTAGTTTTTAAAAAACAGAAATTTCAGATAGATAATGGTGCCAAAAGTAATTCTTAAATTTAAAATTATAATTTTAATTTGATTATGTTAAGTCATTATACTCCTATAAAAACTCTATTTATTTTATGAGTATTAACTTTATCAAAAAATACATATGACTTAATTTAATATATTGAGACAATGATATCATATATACTATCTATTATTTATATTAAAAAGATATTTTGTGTTATTTTAAAAATATTTATTCGATTTTTTAGTATTATTTTTAAGTTTTTTTATCAAATAATAAATATCTATTATACAAGTACTCAAAACTTTTAAAAAAGAGATATTTTAAAAAAATAAATCTAATTTATTTATTAGAATAATACAAAAATTAAATTCAGTTATTTGTTTATTTCAAATTGCTTTAATTTTTTGTTTTTATTTAAAATTGGAATAGATTAATTATTTATTTATTTATGCCTACTGACGTAAATTCGAATAATTAATTAACAAATTATTATGAATTAACATAAACTAATATTTTAAAAAAGAGACTTAATGAATTAAATTATATCAAATATTAACATAAATAATATTCAAAATATAATCAACCATACCATACATATTGATGTAAAATTTTATTTCAGGTATTTATTTTTAATCATAAAAAGTGAATATGGAAATATTGTTTTATTAACAATTTATCTTCTTTTTAGAAAAATATAATGGAGAGCTAACAATTAAATCTTGGAAAGAACCAGGGTTATAAAAAAATGCTCATTATATTTTAATATTTAAAAAAAAAGCTTTTTTTGATTTTTTGGTATTGAATATAAAATATTACTTTTATTGAATACCTTGGTCATTAATTTTTAAATATTTATTTTTTTATTATATCCATACAATCAATTTATATAATATGTGGAATATGTTTATCTGATAAATATTTTTTATATTCTATTATAAATAAATGATTATAATTTTACAAATAATCATTTTAAAACAAAATATTAATTCTTGAATTTATATTTCTTAAATATAAGTTAAATCACCATAAATAAAATCAGGTGATTATATTAATTAAGCTATAATAAATTAATTATGTCTATATCAAAATTTTAAATAAAGAGAATTATGAAAAAAACCAAAATTATAATTATTTTAAATTTATCAAAGAAATTGCTTCATTTTTATTTTTAAGTTTTACTCATAAATACTTTTAAATGAATAAATTACTTTTAATTACTGCTCATAGATTTATTTTTTTAAAAAAATAGTCTATTTATTTAAATATTTTTTCATATTTCGTAATTAGCTGAACTAATTCAATAATTTAATTAATCATACTAAAACAAATTTCAACAAAATTATCTTTTATTACAAGTGAATATTTATTAGGTTTAAGAAATAATGAAATTTATGAATTTATTTACTTTGTAAAAATGTTTAAAAAAATATTTTTAATTAGTTATTTTATCTTTTCTTATTTGTTTTCATAATTATTTAATAAAAAAAACAAATAAACAAACCAATTAAAAGTAAAAGAAAGATAAAAATAAAATGAGAACTTATACATTGATTTCCTTGCTAATTTTTGTTTCCTCTGTTTTATCTTGCACTAATTTCTCTGATTCCTTTTCTTCCTGTGTATATACATATTGCTAATAAGATTTGAATTGTTATAATTAAGCAATATGGTAGTTAGAATGTGGAGTTAATAAATGTTAAACTATTAATGATGCTACTTTATGGTATAACTGCTTAGTGTAATCTTTTTCTTAAACATGCTAAGTAAGCTACGGTGTTGCTAATGACGCTAGAGACTATTGCCTAAATTCCTATGATTTCAGTCAAGACTGCACAAATGTAACTGATGGTGGCTCATAACCAGGTTCAGGTAGAAATGTTGTTGTAATTACAACTGGCAGTAATAAGCTTTTCATGAGTTTAACTTTAATGACAATATTAATTTTTTTATTTGCTTGAAAAAACCATGTTTGTTTTTAACAAATCTTTTATAGTTGAATTATTAAATAAATTGGCATAATAATTGATCAAATAATCTTCAAAAATAAAGTTTGTGTATATTTATACTTTTTTATTTGTATGGTATTATAGCCTTTTTATATTTGATGATTATGTTAACTAAATAAATAAATTGTGACTATTTAAAATAAAATGCTCTCATTTTATTTGAAGTTGAGCAATAACTTCTTATGATAAAGTAAGTATGTAAGTATGTATGTATGTATGTATGTATGTATGTATGTATGTATGTATGTATGTATGTATGTATGTATGTATGTATGTATGTATGTTTATTTCTCAAATCAATTTAATTTTCAAAAAATTTCTTTTTGAATTTTTTATGAAAGAATTTTTTAAAAATAATTATTTTTTTTACATTCCTTATATTTGAGTACTCCTGGTATTTTTTTAAGTGAAAAATTATGTTTTTATAATAAAGAAAGATTATCAAAATTAACTTTAATCTTATGTTATAAATGTTTTTCTAAATCTATTTTAAATAATTAACCTTCAAAATACCTAAATCAGGAGAGATTTAAGTTTAAAAAATTTTTTTTGTATTCATTTATTGCTATTTTAAGCTTAAAACTATTCACATACTACTCAAAATATATAATTTTTTTTAAATATTAACTTACATGATTTTTATTAGGATTACTTATATAAATAAGCATATCTAACTTACTCTGCTTTTCTTATTTTATTTTGTTTTGTTTTTTCCCTGTTTTAGTTTTTAAAAAAGATAAATTTTAGATAGATAATGATGTCAAAAATAATTCTTAAATTTAAAATTATAATTTTAATTTGATTATAAATAACAAACTATGAAGTTATTATGTTTCAAAAAAAAATTATTTTTATTTTTTGAGGATTAACTTTATCATGAAATACATATGACTTAATTTAAAATATTCAGACAAGGATATTATATATACTAACTATTATTTATTATAAAAAGACATTTTTGTGTTATATTAAAAATATTTGTTTGATTTTTTAGTATTATTTTTCAGTTTTTTTATCGAATAATGAATATTTGTTGTACAATTACTCAAAACTTTAAAAAGAGAAATTTTAAAATATAAATCTAATTTGTTTATTAAAAGAATAAAAAAATTAAATTCGGTTATTTATGTTTCTATGAAATCGCTATCATTTAAAATTTTGATTTAAATTGGAATAGATCAATTAATTATGCACTGACGTAAATTCGAATAAATAACAAATTATCATGAACTAACATAAAGTGATATTTAAAAAAAGAGACTTATTGTAAATTAATCTATATTAATAATTAACATAAATAATATTGAAAAGGTAATCATACATATTGATGTAAAATTTTATTTCAGGTATTTACTTAACTATAAAAAGTAAAAATTGAAATATCATTTTATTAAAAATTTATTTTCTTTTGAGAAAAATAAACAGGAGGGTTAATAATTAAACTTTGGAAGTAGCCAGGGTTATGTAAAAAATGCTCATTTTGATGCTTTGAATGTTAAATTAAATATTTCTTTTATTGAATACCTACCTTGGTTATTAATTTTTAAATATTCAAATGATATTTAATTTTTTATTCTATCCATACAATCAATTTAATCTTTCTTATGGAATATATTTATATGATAAATATTTTTCTATTCTAATCTTAATGATAATAATGTGTTACAAGCCATCATTTAAAAGTTAATTCATGAATTATAATGCTTAAATATAAGTTAAATCACCATAAATAAAATCAGGTGATTATAGTAAGTAATTAAGCTATAATAAATTAATTAAATCTATATCAAAATTTTAAATAAAGAGAATTATCTAAATAAAACCAAAAATACACTTATATTTTATGTATCAATAAATTTGTTTCAGTTTTATTTTCCAGCTTTACTCATAAATACTTTTAAATGAATAAATTTTTATGACTTACTGCTTATAGATTTGTTTTTTGTTAAAAAAGAGTCTATTTAAATATTTTATCATATTTAGTAATTAGCAGAACTAATTCAATAATTTAATTAATTATACTAAAACAAATTTTTTAAAATTATCTATAATATTTTTTTTATACAAGTGAATAAATATTTAATAAAATAGAGAAATTTAAGAATCTACTTTGTAAAAATGTTTAAAAAAAAAAAATATAAATAGTTTATATCCTTTCTTGTTTTCATAATTATTTAAAAAAAAATAAATAAATAAAAAGTAAAAATAATTAAAAGAAAAACAAAAAGAAAATGAGAACTTATAAATTGATTTCATTGCTAATTCTTGTTTCCTCTGCTTTATCTTGCACTAATTTCTCTGATTCCTTTACTTCTTGTGTATATACATATTGCTAATAAGATTTGAATTGCTATAATTAAGCAATATGGTAGTTAGAATGTGGAGTTAATTAATGTTAAACTATTAATGATGCTACTTTATGGTATAACTGCTTTGTGTAATCTTTTTCTTAAACATGCTATATAAGCTACTAAAATGCTAATAATGCTAGAGAATTTTGCCTAGATTCCTATGATTTCAGTCAAGATTGCACAAATATAGATTCTAGTCCTAGTCCTAGTCATAGTTCTAGTTCTGGTGCATAATCAGGTACAAATGTTGTTACAATTACTACGGGCAGTAATATGCTTTTCATGAGTTTAACTTTAATGACAATATTAACCTTTTTATTTGCTTGAAAAAAGCATTTTTTGAAAAGAAATCTTGTAAAGTTGAATTATAAAATAAATTTGCATAAATATTTATCAAATCATCTTCAACATTAAAGTTTGTTAATTTTACTAAAATATATACTTTTTTATTTGTATGACATTATAATCTTTTTATTATTGAAGACTAAATAGAAATATTGTGACTATTTACAATCAAAATCAAATAGTATCTGTTTTTTTTGTATTAAAGCAATAACTTCTTATAATAAAGTAAGTATGTATGCATGTAATTATGTTTATTTGTTTCTCAAATCAATTTAATTTTCAATAAGTTATATTTATATTATTTTATTTTATAAAAATCCATAGAATCAAATTTTTAGAAAATGTTTATTTCGATTTTAATAATATTATTGTCATAAAAACGATAAAATTTTACTTTTGTTGTTAGTTTTTCAAATACATCAATTAAAAATTTTTTTTATATTTCTTTTTAAGTAAATTCTAAATTATTAAAACTAATTTATATATTTAGATATTATAATTTTAAATTAGATAAACTCAAAGTTTGTAGAATTAATTCCTAAATTAGACAAAAAAATTTAAATGTCTATAATTCATTTATATTTTACAAAAATATTGAGTTGAAGATGTTTAATATGAAGCAGTCAAGAAAGATAAAATGTAAGTTAAATATAAATATTAAAATTGATTTATATATATTAAGAATTCTTCTTGAGTTTCATTTATTTTGTTTATTCTTTTGAGTTATAGAAAGTGCCTTTTATAATAAAAAGCCTGCACTCTTTAGTCTTGATTTTAGTTCTTACATTCTAAATTAAAGTCTAGATATTTTCTATCAGATTTAGGTCCCTTTTATTAAATAAATCAAGAAATTCAGGAAAAAAATCTGCCAAAAATTTAATAAAGCTGCTTTAGTTAATATTTATTTATTTTTATTGAATAAAACGGGTCCTGTTCTATAGGATAAATTCCCTCAAACCCAGAGTTGCTGTGATACCATCTTTTTGTGATTTTCCGCTAAGAATGGTCATTTGATCATTAACTTACTTTTTTAGTTGTAAGATAAGAATGGTAAACAATATTAATATTTTTCTTAATTTAATAATGTGCTCTACTTAGATCGAATTAAAAGATGCCCTTGAAATTATAAGCCTTACAATTAAGAATGCAATGAAGTGATATAAAAGCGCTTCCCAGAGATAGAGAATGAAAATTAAGATAGTAGATATTATAAAATTAATAATTATTATTGAGAAACTAAAAATGCGCATTTACAGAGCAAACTTGTAAATTAGTGATCTAAATATACATGAAATACTGAAAAGTATTTTCACAAAAAAAGCAGACACAATATATATAGAACGGCTAGAAAAGTCATCTTCAGTATGGTTCAAAGATATCTACAGATAGATGAGAGCATAAAAGCGGCCTCCTTACTAAATTTACTAGAGATAACTGCAACGCCCAAGTATAATAGATAACTAAAAGGTCATTTATTTTGTAATATATATTTTAACTCAAACATTGATTGATAGGTTTTTAAAATATACAAATACAGATAAGATTAATTTACATCTAGTTAGCTATGCTATTTGCCTTAATAATGTTTAACCTTTAAGTTATTCGTATTCTTACAAGCAACCTCTCTATAAATATAACTACTTAAAAATTAAAATTACTTATTTATTATTTTAAAAATAAGGTAAATTTCTTATTTATGGCTAAAAATTCCTTTTTTTTCATCTGGTTTTGGGAAATAAAAACAAAATATTAGTAATTAACATTAGTTAGTTTTGATTTCTCTATAATTTTTTTTCCCTAAATTCCATAAACTGTTATTATGCAGTTATCTTTTTTCTTCAGATAAGCTTACTAAGCTTGATATTAATAATTATTAGTAAGCTATGCTAATCAGTAAATTATTAATTTATTTACAATATAATCTCTCAAATAGGTTCATAAATAATAACATTTAAACATATTTTTTACCAAAATTAACACCAAAATTCACTTTTTAATTTGGAGAGAAGAATGCTAATTAATGAGAAGCGATTTTATACATTATTTTTGAATATAATAACATTTTAAGATAATAATTATAAAATATATTATGTTTTATTTTTAATAATTTTTTAATGAATTTTGAATAAATTTTGATTTTAAAATAGTAATTAAAGAATATTTTATATTCTATTCTAAAATAATAATAAATTATTAAATATTATTTTTTATATCAAGAGCCTAAAAAAATAATTTTCTGAATGGAAGTATTTGAAGTTAATTTATTTACATTTTATGTTATTTTACAATGAAATAATATTTTAAATAGAGATGGATGGATAATATATTTAAGACAAATTGTAACTTTAAAATTTATGGAGAAAAAGTAAATTAGGATTTTGTGAAATTTATTATATTTAGATAATTGTGAATTACCTTAAGAGATTTTATTAATCTAATTAATAATTTCTATAAGAAATCTCTGCTTTCTTTATATACAGTTGATCCAATTAAGAGTTAAATGATTTCCTTTAATTAATTTAAGCTTCTGAGACGAAAAATAATTACTAATAGACCAAAAAAAAAATTGCTGCTTTATGTGAAGGAAAATTTCAATTTGGGTTTTAGAAATTTTTTTACTAAAATAATCTAAAAAATACAAAATAATATCAGCAAACATTTTCCTTTTTTCCGCATTTCAACATATAAAAAAACTAACTTGAAGAAAAGTAAAAGAAATTATTTCTTAAAATTAGAGATTTAATACTTGAAATTTCTAAATTTATAGTATGTAAAGTTAAAGATGAGTGCATATTTATTAGTTTTGTTCACAGTTTTTGGTAGAATTATATTTATTTTTTATAAAATGAATAAAAATAAATTCATAGATTTTCTTTTAACTTAATCTTAAATTTTCTGTAAAATAGCTTACACAATTAAATTTTAACTTTGGCAAAAACTTAAAAAAAGATTGCAAAAAGAAAGATCAATAATATATTTTTTTGGTGTTTAGTGGACGATGATTATTAGATATTACTAATTTATTGCAACCTATTTTATATTATGTTTGATAATATAAGGTAAATAAACTTTTTAAACAAACAAAATAATTATATGCAGCCATTTGTATTACAAAATTGTTAATACTAAAAAATGCGATTAGAAAAAATTTAATAAATTAAACAAATAAAACACTGTCACTAAATCTGAAAACTATTTAATTTTGATAATTAGTAAATTTTCTTCCTACTTTTAGAGTATAAAAGTTAAACAATCTTCAAAGGTATTTTACTTCAAGTGTCACTTTTTATTCCTTTATATAATTAATTTAGATAAACCATTTAACACGAAAGCCTTAAATATCATAAAAATTTCAAGAATAAAATGAAGATATTAGTTTTATTATTTTTTGATGTAATAAAAGCAAACAAAAAATTATTTTAATCTAGCAAGTTATTATTGAAGTCTTCAAGTTTTTTTCATAGCTAGTTCTATTTACGTTAAAAAATGTTTAGATTTTTAGTATTTATTTATTTCTAATTTAGTTCATTTGATAAATACTCCTATCAAATTGCAAATTACAGAAAAAAATATAGTATAAAATGGAAAATATTTTATTAATTAGCTATTTTCGTAAACATAAAAGCATAAATTGAAAAATCTAAAGGAGCTTCAAACTAAATTTTAAAGTAAAATGAAAAAGATATTTAGAATTCTATTAATAAACACATGATTAATTTGATAAAAATAATTGAAAAAGTTTGTAAATCTATTTGTATGAAGAGGCTTTTTGCTTTTTAACTTTTGTAAGAAGAACCTTTTGCTTTTTATATACTTTTGATTTTAATAATAATTAGTTCTAATGAAAATCAGACCATCATTAGCATCATAATTAATAAATTTATTAATCAATTAACAAAATTGAAAAATTAAAAGTGTTAAAACTTTTTAAATAATTATATTCTTCAATGAGATCTTAAAGCTCATCTATGTATGAAAGCACCTAGCAAATAATTTTTGAGGAAAATACAAATTAGTAACACATAAAATAAAATAATAAAGGTATTTCTAGCTTCTATAGCAAAGCCTCTGATAATGACTACGATCTTAATACTACGCGTGATAGCTTAACTACTTGTAAAAAATATCAAGTCAATGAAAGCATGAAAATGAAAAAGTAAGAGAGAAAATAAAAAAAAGAAGAGAAGAATCATAAAATGCTTGAAAGGCTATAATCTCTACCTAAAAGAATTCTTCGAAGCTAAAAATAAAATGAATGTTTGAAACCAAATTAAGAAGACCCATCAGATGAAATATAATTGAACAATAGCTCAGAGAATCACCATTTGATTGTGAATGAAGATACTAATTAATTAGAAAAAAATACCAAAATTGATTTGTTTTCTTTTGTAAATTTGAATCAGTAATAATAATAAATCGAAATAAACTAGTTGTAAATAAACTTTTTAGAACGAAAATAATACGAAACATATAATGAATAAATTAATTAAAACCCAAGCAATGAAGATTAAAAATCCAATAAAGTTAAGCAGAATAATTAATAGTATTTAAATTATTAATAAGAAGAATAAGAACAAATACTTTTTGAAAAGTAGGAGGATTTAAATAGTATTTTTTCATAAAAAAATTATGAATTTGATTAGAACAAATGTAGTTATTTAAACTAAAATTAAGAGTAAATACAAACCAACAACTAAAATTTGATGAATAATAATAGTATTTTGATAGATTATAACTTACCTTCCTAATAAATTCCTTTTGAGAATTTTAGATTCAGCGATGAGCTATCTTGCTAATAATCCGATAACTATTAAGACTACAATGGTCAGTACATTTATTAGAATGAAGATTTTTTTTAATTATTAGATTATAATTACTCTAATTAGTTTGAATAGGAAAATCAGCAAAATAATAATAATTAAAAATCAAACAATGATCCAACTTAAATAGATGAAAGTTTCTAAAAATAGAAATAAGATAATTAGAAAATTGAATTAGATAATGTAAGCTCCAAAAGCCACTAATGTAATTTTAACTTAATTAAATTGTAAAAAAATAACATTGTAAAAAATCTAATGTCTACTTTTAAGAGGTTCATATTCAACTTATTTGAGATAACACCAATTAAAAAATAAAAAAACGTCTAAGAGGAAGACTTATAATATTAATCAAATAAAACAATAATGAAAATCTACCTTGACTGTAATTCTCAGAATGATAAACAAATAATTTAAAAAACCCGCTAAAGTGTTTTGAATCTTTATAATTAAAATCATAATCATAAATAATGCTTTGATGAAAAGATATTTTTAAAAAGGTTTGAAAGGTATATAAAAAATAAATCTTATAACCAGCATTCAATGAATCTTTTAATTAATCATTCTTCTTTTTCTCAAGTTTTTAAATATTTCTTATAAAATTTTGCTAATAATTGGCTAATGAATTCGAATATAAGTAATTAAAATTCTTATAAAATAGTAATTGAATTCTTAATTAAAGAATGAATTAATTTATTTGATAAAATACAAACTATTTTTAAATTTTTCTTCAATGATTTATTTTAAATATTTATTATATATTTATATCATAACTAAATTACTTAACTAAATATTAACATTAAATTTAAAAATAGTGGGAAATATTTGTAGATAATTGATGCAATTTTAATATTTAATTAAAATAGTAATTACTACGACTTTATTTAAGAAATTATTAATTTATTGATTCTAAAAGAAATCCTACCGTGCTTAAATATACAAGACTATAAATCGCGCATAAAGGTGGGTCAATATTTTTAACAAACATTTTTAATGTAATTTTCAAATAAACCATAAAAGGTATTATCTAAAATGTTTCTTTACTTATTAATTAACAAAAATATCATTTAGAATGTTTACTTTGTTTTTTACTTTTTAATTTTATATTCCTTTTCTATATCTGGATTTTCATAACAGGTAATCCAAATTTTAATTTTGGTTGAAAATAATTGTTTTTCCTTTTCAAAATAAATGTTTTGATTTACTATTAAAATTAATAATTTCTATAAATCATAATAATAAAAGAATATTTGATAAGCTTTTTGATTATATTTAGATGCTGACTGATTTTGTAAGAAATATTTTGAAAATTATTTTCAAAGTTAATAATTTAACTAATTAAAGTTTATTACAAGGTACTTATTTAGCAAATATAAAAATAATAACAGTAAAAAAATTTTTGAAAAATAAAATAATAGTTATTCATTTAAAATAAAAATATTCCCCCACCGGGACTTGAACCCGGGTCTGAAGGGTGAAAACCTTCTATCCTAACCTGCTAGACTATAGGGGATTATGCTTTTTTAGATAAGTTTTTATTATTGTTTTTGAGGATCTTATTATTATGTTTTTTAATTATTATTAATTTTTATTAAATTAAAAAAACAATTTTATATGTTTCAAAAAAGAAAATTTTATTACTTTTCAGATTTTTTAATATGTTTTTAAATATTTTAAAATAACAAATCTTTGAATTAGTCATGTAAATTATATGTAAAAAATTTTGAATTGTTCTACATTTATAACCCAATCTAATGAATAGGAAATATTTTTAAATTATCTCTTTCATTTTTTCAGCCAGAATATTTAGATTTATGAACTTTAGAAATTCTTAACTCATAATATCTTAATACTTCAATATTGGTCTTGAATTTGATAAGAGCTTAAAATTATTTATACTTTAAATCAAATCTTCTAAGATTTAAATTTAATCATAAAAAATAAAAAAATTGAATTAATAAAATTATAGATTTAAATGTCTCCTATTATAGTAATATTTAATAAATTTAATAATTTCAATTAAAAATTAAGTTTTTTTTATAATCAATTTAATAATCGATTTATTAAGGCATTTAAATTGAGCAGTTATTCTTATTTGTCTTTCTAAATTTAATTTTATATTGTAAAAATTAGAAAGAGATTACAAATTTAATCTCAAAAAAAAAGAATCAATTAATTAAAATATAGATAATTTTTAGCAAATCTATTAAAATTATTATTTAATTTTTATTTTAATAAACACAAAAAAATAAGGATTAAATAATATTTCATAAATTTAATAAATTTTTTGTTTTTTCCTAGTAAAATTAAATGATTAAATTTGGAGATAAAGTGTTTTATTTGCTATGTATGAGTAGTTTAAAATTTTATTTAAAAAAATTTATAATAATTAATTTAAAAAGTTAAAATAAAATAATTTAGTTAAAATTTAACTATTTTAATCATTATTAAGGATTCAATTATTAACTGATTTTAAACTGAGTATGTAAAATTAATATTAATTCACCCCAGCTTCTTGTAGGTAAACTTTTATTTTTTCTTTTTTATATTAGAATTATATTAGTAATTATTAAATTATATTTTTTTTATTTGAATGTCTTAATGCTTAAAGGCAACAAACATATTTAAGTAAATTAAGAAATAAAAATATTTTCCACAACAGATAATATTGATTAATATTTATTCTTGCATATAACTTATTCATTTATATTTTACTAAGTTTTTTTAATTTTGAGATATTTTCTAAATTAAAAAGTTTAATTTATCATTTTATCAATTAATTTATAGGTAGGAAAAAACTAATTATATGAATTTAATTGTTTTATAAATTATATAAGGGAAATTAATAAAATTTGCGAGTTGGAATTTTTTTCTAAAAACCTAAGAGATAGCTCCATAAGTGTAATTAATTAAGGATTGATATGTTTCTAATTAATCTTTATTAAAATAAAATAAATAATATCACTGTATGGTACATATAAATCTTCATTAAGTCAACTCTAATATAAGTTAAGACATCTGCCAATATATTATTGTATTTGTGATTCTAGATAGGCTTAGGTGGCCAGCATGAGAGTTTTGAAATATAAGCCATATCCTTCAAATCTTACATCAGTATTAGGTAGAATAGTAAAATTTTGAATTTATGTGAGGAACGGTCATTTGAGAAAATTAGATTTTAACTCCTTAGTCTTTGTCAGAAATCAAGCAGGCACATAAGATGTATGGAGCTTTAAGAGTCATAATACTTGTATATTTCACTATAGAAGTGTTGGCTGTCAGATAGTAATGCAGATAGATCTTATTTTTAGGGCGCTTACTGTTGAGTAGTCATTAACAAAAAACATTTTTTATAATTTCACTTTTTTTGTTTATTGATATGGAATCTTGCCTATCCAAAAATTTTAATTGTTATTAATTAATATAAAATGGCTAATATAAAAAATTAAATAACCTTTTACTTTATTTTAAATTAAATTAAAAATTTTAATTTTAATAATTATGAAGAATAATGAACTCCAAAATATTTTTTTTTTAAATAATATTTTAATAAGAATAAATTTATCTGAAATAATTAATTAAACTGTTGTTTTTATTTGGTTTTTTGATGAGTATTTAATTTTTTCTAAAATATTTTTTTTTGCTTAGAATTATTTTAAAATATTTATTTTCTAAAATGAAAAAAAATAAATAAATAATTAATATTGAACAAATTAAAATATAATTAATTAGAAAGAAAAGTAAAATATAAAAAAATTTTTAACAATATTTAATTTTTCTTAAATAAAATGACTTAAAAAGCTTGAAAAATATAAAAGTTAATTACTAAAAATATGTCCTCATTATTAATGAAATAAAAATTGTAAATTAAAAAATGTAAATTAAAAAACATACAGAAAGGAGAAATAAATAAATAAGTTAATTTCAAAAACTCACAAGTCAATTAAGTAATAAATAAATATACTTTGATTAGAGCAGTGGGTATTATTGATATTTCAGCTAATAATAAAAGTTTTCTAAAAAAGTGTTGTGGAAAGTATCTTTTTGAGAAAAATATAAATTTAGCTGAAAAAAATTTCAGATTTTTGTATTGTAACAAAAATATCCTGATAATAAAAATCCTAAAAATAAAATCAAAGTATGATTTAAATATAAAGTCAATTTTTTAAGCATGCAAAATATAGTAATTAAGAAATTTCTAGATTCTAAATACATGCTATCATCGAAAAGTACTTAATGATGAACACTCTTGCAATAAAAATTTAAATGAAACTTATGTTTCAAAAAGTAGTAATTAATGTAAGACCAAGTGGTACTTATACAATTTCTTTAGAGTTTTTGATTAAATAGCTTTTTGACTGATACATTTAATTTGGTTATTAAGAATAAGCAAAAAACTGTTCGAGCTAAAGAAAGTAATAAAAAATTTTAAGCCATGATGGTTTTGAATTTTGAAAATTACATTATTAAGCATGTAAGTATTTACTATTTCTTATTTTAATTTGTTGATGATAGAACAAATAAGATGTTTATTGATATATTAATGTTTTTACAAGATTTATATGCAAGTAAAATTAAGATTTATGTGTTTATCTTAAAAATTCATGTTTATATTATTTATCCATAAACATAAATTTAATTTTAAATGTCTTTAATTATAGTCAGTTAATTAACTTTTATCATTTTATACATGCATCAAATTAATGAAAAGGGCTACAAATTCTTATTAAAGCAATATATATATATATATTTTGATACTTTTCTTTTCTTAGAATTCTTGGTTCAATTTGCATCATCAAATAAATCTATTTAATTTATTTGTAATATCAAATAATAAGAAAAGGAAAAAATGCCTCTATTAAAATATTTAATTTGGAATTCAGAAGAGTTGAGAATACATAGAATCAGAAAATTTCAGAGTAATGAAGTCTTTATTTAGTCCATTTAAACTAAATTTGCTTTAAAATGGTGTAATAATTATCCTGATTTTAAAATTAATAGAGAAAGGAAGGAAATTGTGGTGAATTTCTATCAAATTAAATTATTAATTGTGTGCTTATCAAATTCAAATAGAATTAAGAAAAGGTATTAAATTTAAAAAATTAATAGTGAGAGAAAAATTAGAGCAATCTGTTAATATAATTTCAAATTTAAAGAAAGCAAAATTATAAGATAAGATTTAAATTAAAACAAGGTTTCTTTTAAAAATAATTAAGAAACAAAACTAAATAATTTATTAAATTTTGAAGGTATCGAAAGTACTAGCTCTATGAATGTTTTTAATAGATTAAATAGAAGAAGTTAATTATTAATTAATTTAAGATGATTTATTGCATAAATATAATAAAATATAGATATGTAATTTTATAAAAATATTCTGATTAGTACATTTTAAAGCAGCTTTAGTCTTTTAGATCAATAAAACCAAGCAAATTTTAAAATATTTCTATTCTTTTAGTAAGGTTGGGTAGTCTCTTTACATGTTTTTATTTACAAATAACAAAATCAAGCTTAAATTTCTAACGGAATGCAAAATCTTAAAATGTTTTTTAAATTTACTAGATTCATAAATAAATAAATTCAAAACTTGTACCTTTTGTTGAGCTAGGCTTTATTCAATTATTTGAAAAAATACATTTTAGCCCAAAATAGTGCTTATTTTAAGTGTTAATGAAGTTTATTATTTTATTGTAAGATTAAAGTCTAAAAATGGATTATTGTCTAAAATATTGGTTAAATGGTGGTAAATTTAATTAATACTCCATACAAAATGTTTTTTAAATGACCAACTTTAATAATTTGGCAAATTAAAATCTATTTTTTGAATAATGATTTGCATTTTTTAAATAAACTCTATTTTAATATTTTTGGCATAATTGAATCAATAGAAAATGCAATTACTTTTAATTCTAAATATACTTATAAAGTTCGAAGAAAGTCGCTTCTTTTAACAATCTAACAAAAGCATATCTGATGGTATAATATAAAATAATATATTTTGTAAAATTTTGGCTTTTTTGGGTTAGATCTAAGCTATTCTTTTCTCATAAACTGAATTAATAAATTAAGTCGTCAGATCGCTAGGAGATAAGTCGCTTTTTTTAATTAATTTTACTATTTTTTTTCTTCTATAAGTAGATGAAATTAATTAGCGAAGGTATAAGCAAGTAATATTTAAATGAAAATAAGGTATTTATGATAATATCCAAAGTTAACAAATAACTAAAGATAAAGAAGTAAAGTAGAGTAAGAACAATTAAAGATGTAAATATATTGATTATGATATATATATTTATTTAATAATTTATTATTTTTTGTATACTATAAGCAACTACTCATTTTTTGTATATAATATCTTGAAAATTGTTTGTTTATTTATATAATTTATTTATATGGTTTATTTGTTTATTTTTCGTAATCTCATTGATTACTATTTTATTTGAATATAATATTTATTACTATTTATATTTGTTTCAATTAAAGAATAAAGAAAAAATTGTTCGTATTTAATAATTTAAAAGCAAAGACGCAGTTCGTTCAAAGAAAAACTGAATATCTTTGCTATTTTTTTGTTTGTTGTTATCAGAATTGATTATTATTTTTTTTATAGGTTTTGATAAAATTAATTAATTCTTTGTTTGCAAAACATCTTTAGAAAAAGACTAGGCAAAGAATGTGACTTTCGTAATATTTCATGTTATTTAGTATAATAACGTCAATTGAGTAATAATTAAGATAATATTCAAGATGAGCACTAAATCTTGAACTATTATATAAAGCGAGGAAAGTCTATTGGTTTAGTTTCTTTTGTTTTATGAATGAGGAGAACTCTTTACGTATTTGGGAGATTGATTTATCTTTAGTTTTGCTTAGAGCTTCAATGATGATGTCATCTCCGCTTGATTTCATAAAATCAATAAAGTGATAAAGAATCGTCTTGATACTATTAGATTTCACAACCTTTTAGTATCTGTTGAGAATTTCTTCGTCGTTCAGCTCTTAGTGTTATTATAGCGACTCATCGATCTTCATTTTCAAAGTTTATTCCTCAAAGATTTCTAGATTTTGAGAACTCATTTTATATTTTTTTGCAAAGTGTTTGATGTGAGTTTTTTATATTATTTTTTATGTTTTTAATTATTATATTTTTATTAAAAGACTACTGTCAACATCAATATTTAAAGAGAGAAAAGCTTTGTTACTCTAGCCTATATTCCCTCAATGGTAATTAGAAGAAAATTATTTGCGTGCAATTTAAATTAGTTAGATTTGAGTGGGACCATAACCTAAATTAATTATTAACCTCAGTGTAATTCTTAACTCAAATTAAAGCATAATTATTGCAATACATTTCTTTTGCTTCTTTTTTAAAAGCGCCATATCTTAAACAGTTAACCAAAATAAATTAGTCATGAATCCTTTTACAGACTAATATTACAAATCAAAAGAGGGTATGCAGATATTAGGATGATGAGTTTTCATGAAAATAATAAATTTGGTTGGTATAATTTGTATATGAATTTTTAAAAAAACTAAAAAGAAAATCTATATTAAACTGTAAAAAGGAAATTGATCATTAGACAAAGGTGCAGAAATTAATTTACCTGGGTATAACTGATTAATCAATAAATTATAATTTGTAAAATTGAATATTGTAACAATTAATTAAGTGTCAGACTAGATTAAGACAAATTAGATTAATTAACATTATCTCCCACCCTACTTTCATTACTAAATTTAATTAAATTTTGCATAGAAAAAATCAATTCACTCATATGTTATTTATTAATTAATTTATTTATTTCTGAGAGATAACACATTAAATTAAAGCAAAGTGTTTTTTTACTTGTAATTTCTTCTAAGCTGATATTCTTTACCACTTATTATATTATTGTTTCTAATCACTACTTTCACTTTTTATTAGTCATATTATATTTTGTAATAAGGTAAGGCTGATTAACTAGTTAAGTTTCGTAGCCAAATAATAATACTTACAAAAATTAATACCTCGTCCATCTTTTTGTCCATTTATACTCCTAAGAATTTTTTTTTCTTTGTAAAATAACTTTAAAACTTACTTATTTTCGTTAATTTCAATCAAATAAACTAACACCTATTTGTAGAATTTTTTTCATAGATGCTTCTACAAGGTCAAAAACACGCATCTTGAAAGTGGTTATTAAATAATCATTTAATATTTTTTTGTCTATAAAAGTTATTAATGTAAAGGAATTTATAAAATTGTGTAAAAAGGAATTTTATTTATTATTAATGATTTTATATATCTTCTTTTTCAAACAATAGCACAATAATTCAATAATCTAGAAATAATAACTCCGATTCTTCTTTAGTAATATCTATCTAATGTATAAATAAATGAAAAAAATTATATTTTGCAAAAATATCTTCTTGTAAACTTAATTAAGGGAGAAAAGAATAAGATATTAACAAAATTGAAGAAATTTTATTTAATAATTAAAAGAAATTATATACCCCGACAGACCTCTCAAATCAAATCTAAATTGACTAGCTCATCTAATTGTAATAACTTTAAAACAAAATCATTTTTTTAAATAAAATAGAGCCTTAAAATAAATTTTAATTGCTCAAAGGTAGTTTAAATTCAATTTTTTATTGAAATAAAAAATAATTTAAGTATTCTTTTACAAAATAATCAGTCCTTTTTTATAATAATTGACAAAATTTGTAACTATTTAAAATATTGATGATTTAAAAATAAGACAAAGAATTTGCTATCAATTTATAATAAGAATTATATTTTTTGGTGCAGATAATTTAATTAACTTCTAATTACAAGTAAGTGATTGCTTTCGTCTAATTAATTTATCAAAAAAGCCTAAATATTTTATTAAATTAATTTCCATATTATAATTAACTTTGAATCATCTTTACTCAAATATAATTATTTGAACATTTAAAATAACAATGCAAGAATACTGATTATTTAGATTTTTACTTTTGGGATATTAAATTTGTGAATAAACGATAAAACTGATCATTAAAATTTACAACATCAGACAATTTGTTTCTTCAATTACAGTTTTAGTTTACAGATTCTTACTTACTTTAAATAACTTTTTATAAGGCGATTTAATTAGTTAAAAGATAAAATACCTTTATCCACTCTAAAATGCGTCAGTGATTTTAAAAATAGTATTACAAAGCATTTTTTATTATAAACATGCAGCTAGAAAAAAATTATATCTCACCGTCAATAGCATAATTATAAAATATCAGAATTAATTGCAAAAAAATATTAAATTACCTTATGTAGCCAAAAATTTTTGTTATTTCCTACTTTCTTCCTCACTATTAAATAGTAAATTAGTAATCTGAATCAAATGAACATTTAAATTAAAAAAAATAGAAAAATTTTATACTTGATAGAAATCTAATATTTGTAAGAATTGAGAAGGATTTAGAAAAAAAAATCTTCTCTAACTTTCTATTTTATAGTTGTTGATTTGGTGTATTTTTAATTATCCTTGTTAGAAACAATTTATTTAAAAACAAACATAACTAATTTCAATCAAATATAAACTTAAAAGTATCTAAATTCAGTAAATCTATAAGAAAATTGACTATCCATGTTATAGACTTATGCTTAGTGCTTAAGTATATCAACTAATAATATAGTTATTTCATAAAATATCACCATTATGCAATTTAGGTAGACATGTTGTATAAAATTTACAATTTGAGATATAAAAATGTATCATTATTTATCAAAAATTGACTAAAAAACATACAAAAAAATGGCTTTAATATTAATTAAGTAAGTATTTTGGCTAGAGCCACATTATATTCAGAGTTAAATTCTATAAAAGAAATTTCTTGAAGTAAATCCTGAATAAAATTTATATTAAATTTGAAATTTTAGCTCATTTTTTTGTAGTTGCCATCATCTATTAGCTTGTTTTTTTTTAAGTATAATAAGTAGAATTTATAAATTAGTTTTATTATATTTGATAATATGTTTCTCATAAATAATTATTAGTTATGAAATATTTGCTTTTATAAAATTATTTTTATTTATTAGACAATTACCTAATATATTGTTTCTCCTTTTAATTCTAAAAAAAGATAAAATAATTACAATTTTAAAATATTAATTAGTTGGACTAGGCAAAAATTTACAAATTTAAATATTTTTTAATATATTTTAAACAAAGATTATGTAGAATTTATAAATAATTTAACAAAAATTCAAACTTTTATTTAAAATAGGATTGTATTTATAGATATAAATATCAAAAAAAAAAGATAATTTACACAAAAAATCTAAAAATAAAATAATATTTGAATAAAAAACATAATAAAAAATAAGATTTATAAAAACTGCTTCATTAATTTGTCATTTTATTTATTAGTAATTTCTTTGTTTATTATAAGGAAGATAAAATCAACCTTAAAATCATAATTATTCTTGAAAATTAATATAATTTATAAGATCCATATTTTTATTCAATAATAATTATGAATATGTACTTATGCAGCATTTAAAAATTTTATACTGTATTTATTTTCTTAAAATTATTCATTACATAAATTTTAATAGTATATTCAAATTTTCTATCATTTGATTAAATATATTGTCTTGACAGCATGTGATAATGATACAAAATGTTACATTTACTGAAAGAAGTTGTCTTAAAATTCGCTTCAAAGCTGTAATAAACAGAGTTCTAAGCCTCAAAAAATAAATAGATAGATAAATTCAAATAAATATTTAATTAAATTAAATATAATTTCAGGTTAGGAATTATCAGATGATTTTAAAAGTTTGAGGAATTTAAATTAAAACAACCAAGTGTTAGTGAATGCTTTGAATAGAAAAATATATTTAATAAAAAATAAAAATGATTTATTGATCGTAGTTAGTATTATAAGCAAGCAATGCAAAAAATTTATTTTCTGAAAGTTTAGAAATTAAGCTTTCAAAAAATTACTAAAATTATAAAAACAAACCCTTCTAAAATTAAACATTTGAAGGTATCTCCTTAATTAACTATTTTTATTTTCAATATTATTTTTAAATGTCACAAAGTGTTGAATGTTTTATCTATTTAGATGTTATTATTAATTATCAAGCTCAAACATAGAGCAAAAGTTAAGTTTTTAGATTGATGTAAATAAATTTATGATAATCAATAATAAGAAAAGAGTTTTTTTATTATATTTGAAAGAAGTTTTAGATAAATTATTAGGTAAGCAAAAAAGGATCAATAAAGTGTATGTGTTTAACTTATTATAATTTATTTTTTATTAATAATAAAACGTAATAATTTTTTATTAAATTAAAATTACTAAAAAAGTTAAAGTTAGATACCATAAAAAATTAGATAAAAAATACAAATTTGATTATTAAAAGATTGGTTAATAGGTTTTGATTAGAAAGGGTTGGTTGATGTTATTAATAATTGAGAAAAATAAAGGATTTATAGATTATGAATATTAAATCATTTTAAAATTAGTTTTTTGGCTAAAATAAGGGATTGGTTAAATTTTGGAATTAATTGTAAATTGATTGCTAATTATATCATTTGTCTTTGTTTTTTTTGTAGAGTTTCATGGAGTTGATGAGTTTAGGGATTGAAAAACACCTTTTAAAGAAGTGTATAACAACAGCATTACTAAAAGCATCTTTTTGGTTTTTCTGGTAGATAATATCAGAGGAATAGTAAGATAGATAGTATTAGAAGTGCTTTTAAAAGCGTTAGCTCTTAAAGATTGATAAGAAGGTCCTTTAGTTGAATTTTTTATCTTTCATAAAGGAGATAAATTCTTTTCTAATCTAAGAGATTTTTTTAGTCTTAGAATCACTGTTAAGGGATTCAATAACTATTTAATCACCATCTTAGAGCATAAAATCATTAAAATGACTTAGAATAAGCTTGATTGAGTTTGACTTGAGAGATTTTTAGTATTTATCTAGAATTTCTTCACAAGTCAACGCCTCTAAAAGTGTTTCATCATTATAAAACTCTTGTTCGCTGCTTTCTTACATATCCATATTTATTAGCTTCAGGTGATTTGTTTTATTTTTCAAGATTTAATTACTTTTAGTGTTCCAAAAGTTTATTAATTTAATTATTATTTCTTTGTTCTTTCTTAAATGTTTACAATATTAAAAGCAAAGCAGTTTATATAATCAATTAAATAAAATAGCTGGCTGGTTTATAAATAGATAATAATTATTTATTTCATCATCATCAACATTCATTTAGAAATGAAAATAAAAACTTATACAACCATATAAAAATTTAAATTAAAGGTAAGCTATTGTAAAATACTAAAATAAATTCAAGTAATAATTTTATGTATAATAAATTCTTACATTATAAAAGCTGGCTGACATTTTTAAATTAAATGTTGTCTAATAAATTTTAGTTTTTATGATGAGAAATTTTTAAATATCCAAACAAGTAATATTAAATTTTATAAAATGTGATATTTTAATCGTAATATTTAAAATATTTATCACATTTTTGTAAAAAACTTGAAAAAATGGTGATTTATTCTTAAGCCTCAATCAAAATAATTAATCAACTTACCTAAAAAAGACAGAGTTGCTTTTTAATTAAATCATTTAAAAAACTATAAAGGGAATTTAGAAACAATATGTTAATTTTTTTTAGTTTTAAATTACAGTTTATTTACATTCAATTATATAATTTACTTTAACTAAGACAATAAATAAATAATAATTTATATTTGTATATTTATTTGATAATGTTTTCAATAAAATTTGGGAGGGAAAATATGCTTTAAAATTTCTTGTTTTTCGTTTACAGATGTTGAAGATTTTTAGCTAGCGCTTGTACCCTAATGTATTACATCATCCAGCTTATATTAGTTTTGAATTTCTTTCCAAAGATTACTAATCTATAAATATACAATTAATATTAATTAAAATAGGCTGATAAATGTTCTTAATTTATTTAAAAAATATATTCAGTGGCTTAACAGATTTTAAACTGTTAATTTGGAAAGAATTAAATAGTTAATTTTTTAATAAGGCTAATTCGTAAGCAAAAATAGTTTATGCTAAAATAGATTGCAAATAGGAGGAACCAGGCTCCTCTTTTAGCCTTTATACTTTGAAATTGTGAAATTAAGTAAAAAGGTAACTTAAAAATGCAATCAAAATTTCCAAAAATATTTTTTTTTTCAGGCATATTTTTTATCAAGTTTTTATCTAAATCAAAAATTTTTTTTTAATCTAAAAAAGTATTTGTCATTGTTAAAATAAAACTAAAGATGAGTTCAAATTCAATTTTCACCTAAAAATCTGATAAAAGAACATATTAAACAAATTATTTACCTCTTCTATATTTTTAAGCTGCGATTGGCTAAACTATTCAAAAAATTTAGAATAGTCATTTGCTTTTTTTTAAAATCCTTTACTAAGATTTTAGTAAATTGATTCACAGTAAAATGCAAAATAATCCTTTAGGTGGTTCTCATAAATTGTTTCCTAAATATTCAAAAATAAGGTTAAGTTAGGCATTGCTTTTTAATATTTATAATAAATACTTTAGTGCACATGATTTTAAAGGCTAATTGCTTATTGTTAATGATATTGTCTGGTTAGAAATGAATATTAGGACCAATCTCCCATTTAGATATATCACCTATATAGTAAAGTAAAAATAATTAGTTAATTTGGACGTAATTAAGAAATCTTTAAGTTAATTAAAATCCCAATACAGGTTGTTTAATAATAAATAAAATAATTGATTACCAAGTGAAAAAAGCTTTTCTTTTTTTGCGTTAAGCCTTTGCTTATATTTAAAATACGAACTTTCTTCTTCTGCTAATTGCTTTAAACTAAATTTGTATTACTCCATTTCTTTCTCTCCATATTTGAAAAGGAAACACATATTTTCATGCACTTATTTCACTTAATTTTACATCAAATTTCCCCAAGTCATCATGAGATTATTTAAGTTTACGTAGCAATCTTTTAGCTTCTAATTTTCTTACTAATAATAAAGAAATTTATTTCATATTTGAGTTTGTATTTGCAATTTAATTTAATTTAGCCATTAATGAATCAACAATAAAAAATTGTTAATAATAAAATATAAAAAATATTATTTACCTTTTTTTCAATAATCTTATTATCAAAGTCATTAAAATGAGAGAACAATTAATGAAATAGTTCTCCTAAGCTAAACATTGTTTCTGAAGTTTTTTCAAAATCTTGCTTGAGAGTCCTGCACAAATTTTTAATCCTTTTTAATAATTAAATCTATTTAATTCTAACTAGTAAACGTTTTAATTTTTAAGATTATAATAGCTCATTGAAAGAATTGACATTTAGTTTAATTTTTATTTTTAAAAATTAGCTAGCAATTTATTTGAACAGTGATTAAACAAAATTTAATTGGAGGTCTCTTATTTTTTTATTTTAAGTTTTTGAATTGCTATTTTATTTATCTATTTTTAAGTATTTTTTTTAGTGCCTTCAAAGGATGAAAATTCTATTGAAACTAAAAAATGTATTTATCTTTGTTTATGATAACTTAATAAAAGCTAAGATTAATATCAGTAAAAATTCATAATTTTAAAAGTATTAATAGCTTGTAAAATTTGAGTTACATTTACTCATTTCTATTGAAGAAATAAATTTTAAATTTGAATTGGCTATTGGATAATTATTTTTTATTCTTATAGAAATTATTAAGGCTGGTTCTTCTATTTGCCGTTATAAATAGATTGTATTAATTTTTCTAAGTTACATCAATAATTATTTCTAGATAATATTTATCTGATAAAAAATGCAAAGCACGTTTATTGTTCTCACGCTAGTTTAAAATTCTTATTAATAAAAAATAATTTAAAATTATACTTTGTATAAATAGAGCTCGCATTATCCACAAATTTAGTAGACTCCTCTGCAAACAAATAATTTGAGTTTGTCAGTTATACCTTTATTTTACCTTCCATATTACTATGGGTTTTAAAACTTCTTTATAATTATATTTTTTCAGCCTCTTTAAACTTTTTTAACAACTTATCAGGGTTTCTTTCACTCAAAAAAGAAATCAGGTATTCATTAGCCCAAATTTCATCATCTCTGTTAAGATCTTCTAAAAACATTTATAAATATCTCATTTATTTTTCGATTCCATATTTATCACTGCTAATATTTCTCTTATTCTTTAAAGGTGGAAGCTTTAATTAAAATAAAAATAATTAAAAAAAATTATTATATTTAAAGGCTATTTCAACATTCATTTTTTAGCCATTTTTAGTTATGAATTAAAAGCTTAAATATATTAATAATTAATTACTATTTTTCCAGGATATATTCTCTGTAAAATTTCTCTTATCATATTAAAGTCGCTATTCTTTCTTCTAACTTCCCAATTATGTGGTTTTACAACTATTTTGTAGGTTAAATAACCTGCAGTGAATCCAAATAGTCCTCCTTAAACTTTTTCAGGTCTATGTCCATAAAAATAAAAATATACTTTCTATATATATGTATTTAATACTAATAAATTACTCGCAAACGTCTATAACAACTTTGCTATAAAAATTAATCATAGGTATTTCTTTCAAGCAATCAATTTCTCTAAAATAAGGAGCTTCACTTAATCCATATTTTGACTTTTTTTAAAAAACAGATTTTTCATTAATACTATGCAGCTTATCTATTTTAATTATAAAGAACTAAAAAAAAATATCTATTACTATCACAATCAATTAGCTTTCTTCTTTAGCAGAAAGAGTTTGTTATTCATGTTACTTATTTCCATCATTTGAAACACACTACTCTTTACCTTTTAATGAATAAATTATTCTTCATAAAAAATTCTCTTACTAAAAATATATTATTAAGTACTTTTGCCTTCTTGCTTTTCTTCTTTAGATTGAGTGTTTAATTTTTCATCTTTTATTCCTAATGTGTTTTCCCTAAATTTTTTTGTATACTTTTACTCATAATGTGAGCTATCAAAAGGGTCCAATGATTTATTTTCATTACTTGTACTGCCATTGTGATTTGCAGTTTCACTGTGGCTATTAAAGTCATACTAGCTCTAATTGCTTGAAATTTAGTTTATACTATTGTGAGTTTGTTTGTATTTCTAAACAATCTTTTTATAAATTCAAATAAAAAATTACTTTTCATGAGATACATCCTTTTAAAATATATTTTACCCTTTAAAGCTCTGTAAATGTTGTATATTCTATATTCATACCTATGTGTTCATTTAAATGAGTAAATTTAATATTTGATATTACACATGTTTTAATAATCAAAGATAATCAATAACATACCATGCTTGCTTTCTTTATTAATAAACTCTGCAAAATCATCTGCATTGTAACCCTACATAACTATTTCATCATATAAGAACTACTATTTAGCGTCTAATGTTAAGTCTGACATCTTTTATTATTATAATCCTTTTTTTGAGTATGGTGAATTGTAAGCTTTATTCTATCTAAATTTATATTGGTTGAAGTTATTGATTAATTTTTTTTACAAAACTATATTTTTTTTACTATTGATCTAATATTTTTCTTGATGACTAGTAATTAAATAGAGTGGTGGTATTTATCATCTAAATTTATTTGAAATTTTTATATTTCAGAATTTAAAATACTTAAAATATGTTAAATTAATTATTTTTTAACAATAATTTTTTATCAAAATTAGCTCAATCAACAATTAAAAATAATATTTTTTTACAAATTTGAAATAGATTTACAAAACCTAACAAGCAAGATATAGAAAGTAGATTTTATATGGTTTTTATTTTTCTATTCCTTATAACAAATAAAGCAAACAAATACTTTTAAATAATTTTTTAATAGAATTTATTAATATTTTTTGAATTTAATCAAATTAAAATAATAGAAATTTTTCAAAATTAATCTGAAAGTTCCATACTATATTCTAAAAGAAATTAATAAATTGGCACATTATTTTATTCTAATAATTTTAAAAATCAATCAATTATGTGTGTTAAATGGTAATTGATTTTACTTTTATACTTTAGAATCTTTACTTTTTTAAATGGCGTAATTTACGAAAAAATTGAATTAAATTTATGAGCTTTTAACAAATAAACTATCTCATTAGTACACCTATTACGAATTTAAGTTCGCTTAATTTTTAAGTTAATGATGTATTAAGCTTTTCTCGATTAATAATAATATAAAGAGTTTATATAGTTAAATATCAAAGATATATTATTTGTTTTTTGATAAGAGCAAAAAAGAAAAGAAAGAAATAAATAGTATAAAATTAGTATTAAAAAAAAAAATGAGTGATTAGAAAGAAGAAATTAAGGAAGTCCAAAACAAACCCACCACTGAAGCCAGCGAAAAGAAAGAAGCTTAAATAGATGATTTAGATGCTGCTTTAGATGAGGGAGATGATGATCCATTAAATATTACTCAAGACGAAAGAAGTTAATAAGGTAATTATTTAAATAGTGATAAATCAAAAATGCAAAAATAAAAATTATGTAAAATAGGTGAAGATGATATCGATCCCAATATGAAACAAGAATACGAATAATTTATGAAAGAAATGGGTGAAGATGGAGGAAAAGGAATGCAATTTATGAATTAAATGTTAGGATAAATGTTTTAGGGAATGAATTTGAATGTACCAGGAGAAGGTCAATAACCAGGTAATGCATAGAATTAGTAAGGAAATGACTTTTAAGGTGGTTAGATGCCTGATTTTAACGCATTTTAAAATCAATTTGGAGATATGTTTAAAAATTTCGAAGACAATCCCGAGTATGATGCCCTTGCAAATCATTTGCTCCAAGAATTTATGGATAAGGATATTTTGGAGGAACCATTAGTAGATTCTCAAAAGAAGTACAAAGAGTATTTAGAATAAAATAAAGATAAGCTAACCGCTGAAGATAAAGAAAGATATTAAAAGCAATAAAAATGCATTGACGAAATCTTAGAGATAGTATAAAAAGAACCTAATAATAAAGATAAAATGATTGCAAAGTTTGAAGAAATGCAAGAATATGGATAACCTCCTGAGCCTTTGATTAATGCATTTGGAGGCGAGTCTCCTTTTGCAGCATTCACATAACCATAACCATAACAATAACAATAATAACAACCTGGATTTCAAGGTATGCCAAACATGATGGGAGGAGATCCTTAGGACTGCAATATTTTTTGAAAATAACTAAATAAAACTTATTTATTATTTTAATTCTTTCATCTAATCTAGAATATAAAACATAGATGTCAATTTATATATATAATTTAATAAGTAATGGTATCTATCTATCATTCATAATTATTGTTTTAAATAATTAAAAATAATTTTATACTAAATTTAGATAGCTTTTTAGATATTTATTTGAGTATTTAAATAAAATTATTTTCATTAAAAATAAATAAATGTATTTTAGAAAAATATAATTTTGAAAACTAAATAAAAATATAATTAATTTAAAATCGTATTTTATATTTTTTTAAATTCTATTTGGATGGATTTAGAGTAAAGATGAAAATAAAAACTATTAATAACAAACTTAATATATTTATTTTTATCAAAAATATTTGAAATTTTGGATATAAATATGAAAATTAATTAGTTAAGTAAAGAAAAAATAATTTACAAATTAAGAGAATATAAAAATACATACATGATTGATTGTTAAGATTTAATAAAATTTAGAAAGAAATTAATTATTAAGAATTTATAAATATCTTAATTTTATATGCAATTGATTTAATTGTTTTATAATTCTACAAGTATTGATTGATTGATTAATTTATGTCTTGCTTTTCATCTAATCATCTTTAAGAATTCTTCTTGGTTTTGGGTATCTTGGTTAATTTCTTGACGACGGTAATAAATAATAATAGAACCTAATATAGCCAATATTATGACGGTTACTATAATAACAATAATTAAAGCGTCGTTTGGTTAAACAAAGATACTGATTTCCCACCTATTTAATTTTTAAAATTAATAAAAACACTATGCTTTCAATTTATATATTACTTTGAAGGATCTAAGGTATAAGGGAAAATAATCAATTGAGAGTTAGGAATGATAGGAGTCCAAGATCTTGTAGAGGTATCAGCCTTTAATTGTTTAATTAAATTATTAAAAACTTTGAATATTTATATTAAAGTTTAATTACATCTGGTTAAGAGAGACCTACTGAAAAGTTTTCGATATAATTGTTGGTTCTTGATAAACCTAAAATAACAAAAGGAAGCTACAATGCACCATTTGCAGATTATGTGAGTTAAGCACCTAATAATTAAAATATTTTATTCTATTTAGACTATGTTAAAACTAATAAATCTTTTTACCTGTGGCAGTTTTATATTGAGTATCAAGTGTAGTAACCTTACATTGGTAAGAAGCACCATAATAGACACTACTTTAACATGAAGATGTGGTGCATTAACCATTTAAGCCTTTGAATTTAAAACAAAAAATAAGTTTTCTATTAAAATAATGAAATAGATTTACCTAAGGCCTTTAAGAAGAAGGCATCATTTTAAATATAGTTGAAGAAGCATCTAATACTATACATACCATTTTCAAAGGTATTAACCATAAAGTCTAACTTACCATCTTCGTTGATATCGAAGAATGCTATGTTTATAGCCTAAGTTTTGTATAATGAATTGAAATTTGAGCTAGTAGAAGGCAAGAACTATCTCTTATTAGAAACACTTAAATTTGCACAATCGCTATCATTACAATCACTGTTAGTTAGAATGATAGGTTAGCCATAATTTGCACCAGCAGTGTTAGTTGTTATAATAATATCGGGTTGTCCATCCCAGTTAATGTCTCCCATTCTTATTTAGACAGGTAAATAACCTTGGTTGTTAGAATAAACGTCTATTGTTTCATCTTAATATTAAACATACTATTATGCATTAAAAATATTTATTAAAGAATTTGTTTCTTTGCTTAAAGTTATTTTACTGAACTTGGAGAAGATATCAACTCATATGGGTATTATTTAAACTTTGAACATAAATTAGAAGCAGATACTCTAAACTTGTTGTACATAGTTACAATTCTATACCCATTATCTTAAACGAGAGCTACCATATCAATACTTCCATCGAAATCTATTAAATAAATAAACATTTTTAAGCTAAACAATATGATATCATCAAATTCTTACTAACATCAGCGAAAGTAAAAGAAACAATAGATGCTCCTGCTCTTTTCATTTGTTAAATAGCGACCAAGCAAAAATTTTTATTATCATCCTTTGCCCAAAATTCAATTCCTTGTTGAGTTTAAATAACTAAATCTGCTCTACAGTCACCATTAAAATCTACAACAGAGCTAAAATGTGGCACTGAGAAATCAAATTAATTAGGATAATCTTGGCAATTATCGTCTTTAGAATATAAATCTAAGAAGTGAACGTTGACACTAAAATATTTTTTTTAATTTTTGAATTTGATAAAAGTTAAAAACAAATCAATCGTACATCCTATCTGGCTAGAATTCAAAAATCTCTCTTTTTTGAGTTAAGGAGTTGTATATCATTAGTTAGAAAAAATGTTAACCTGTAAAGTCACCAGCTATAGGTTAAGACTTCATTTATATTGGATTGAATGTTGCAGAAAAATCTAAACTTTCAAAGGGACAGCCAGACATCATGCAGTTATTTTATTTAAAGAAATCCAAGCAAAATTATCCGTTACCTTATGCAGTTACAACAACCATATCAAGTTAACCATCAAAATTGATATCACCTGTTTATTTAATAGACAAAAATCAGTTTATTGAAATGATATTCTAGTAAATTAATAGAAATTATAGTATTTTGAAATATGTAAGTTTACCTGGAATAATATTTTTAATAGCACCCTTGCATTTAGGAACAGGAAGATCATATTCTACGAAACGACCTATAATATATAAAAATTTAATTTTTAAAAATAGATAAAATTAATTATCATGTTTTGAATAAATTTTTTATAGATTTACCATCTTGAGTTGACCATAAATTAACTGAAATTGTTTATGATGAACCTGGATTTTGCAAAGATGTCACAGTAATCATATCAGTACTATTTAATTAATAATATTATAATGATATAAGTACTGTTTTTAATGTATTTATTTGCTTTGAAAACAATAAAAAGTATCAATACTGTATTATTTTATTGTTTTTGAATATTTAAAAAATATTTTTTACTATTTATCGCCATTGTAATCTCCATATGCCATTAATATCCTATTAGTAAAATAATCTCCTATTTCAATTTCATAAACACCTTTTTATTTTAAAAGTAGTGATCAATAACTGTTTTTAATGAATGTAGATTTTTTCGGAATGTTATCTATCGTTTTGTTATGATGAAAAAATAACATAATATCCTAAAAATATAGTACCACTGGGTATCGAATTAAATTTAAAGAGGCTGCTCTTAAAGTCATTAGCATTTTTTAAAGCTAATACCCCAGAAAATATAACTGAGATAACTAAAGCTATGCTCAGCACCTTATGAATTTTGATCATTTATTTATTTATGTTTTGTCAATCTTTTCTTTAATACCTTTTTGAAGAAATAATTCAATTTTTATATCAATATTTAATTAAAATTTTGATTTAATGAGTGAATAAATAAATGAATAAATAAATACTCTCAATTAATTAATATCTTATTCACTAAAAAATTGATTAACTATCTTTCTAACTTAGATTTTCTTCATATAATTAACTTCTTTAATTTTTTTGAATTTTCAACTCAAATTATAATAGGATAGAAAAAGTGAAAAGATCAATGTAATCATATTGATTGAAATAGATGAGTGAATGGATCTATCTATCTAATCACTGATACATATTTCTGGCGTGATCAAAATCAAATTTTGTTTATTAATTATATAGCAAAATATGTAATAGAATGGAATAGAGTATAATTTAGATAGAATTTAATTTAATAAGCATAAAAATCTTAACAAATATAATAAAATTTCATATCTTCAAAGTAAATTAAAAAGCAAGAAAATAAATAATATTCTATTTATTATAAATATAACACTTAAATATTTTTAAAACTATCAATCAATAACTTTTTAATCAAATAAGGTTTTTAAAACAATCTAATATATTTAACGTATGAGAACCTCAGCTATTTATCATATAATCTGCTTTTTAAATACATATAATTAATTAAATTAAAAAAAATGTTTACTTTAAAATATTAATGTTAAAAAATATTTAAATATTTTTACATTTATTTGTATGTGCTTTTGAGTTTAGTATAATTTTTTACAATTAAATTTGTAAGAGGAGAGATAAAATTAAGTACTTAATCGTTTAATCACTGAAAAATGAAATTGAAAAATAAAACTATTCATTCATAGATTTTTTTAAAGAGAATAGATAACATTTAATAAAAATTAATTTGGTTATTAACAAAGTTATTCAGAATTGCTAATTTTTACTAAATCTTTTTTTTCTATTTTAAAAATATTTTTTCTTATTCAAAATGAGTGTAATTAACTATTTTAAATGAATGAAAGTAGAAATATTCATTTTTAATTTTTGAAAAAGCTTAATTAAATAGAAATTTGCAAATATTTTCTAGATTTTAATTCAGACACAAAGATATAAATTAGATCCTTATACAAAAATCTTGACAAACAGTAGAAATGCAATTAATTATATATCAAATACTAAAAACACCAATCAATAATTTATTCTTTCTAACTCTTCTTTACTAAGGTCGTATGTTAAGGAAAATTTATCTTTTTCAATCAAGTCTTTCAAACTATGATAATTTCTTTATACTTTTTTTTCTTCGTACCCTATTTAGTATTACTTATATAATTTGTTAATCATTTCTTGAATTATTTATTTAAAAATTTATTTTACTAACCCTGCCACAACTATTGTGCTATAGAAGTATGTCATAATTAATCTATTAGTCTTTTGATGCTTTTTTATAAATAAATATATTGTTTATTTTAAAACTTAAACCCAATCATTAAATAAATAGTTACCTTCTAAGATAAAAATTTTTGTTAATGTCTTGCAGCTGATGAAAAGTCAACCATACTATTTCTAAACGTTGTTACAATCTTAATTTTAAATATTAATAAAAATGCAACTTATGCAATTGAATATATAGATATAAAAAATGAGCTATTTATTTTTAATTCAAATTACATTTCCCATTTTTAATTGCTTCCCTATTAATTTTTGCTATATAATGAATAGTTTATATTGTATGTATTTTTAGATAAAAAGAAAGATAGATGTATAATAGTAGTATTTATTATTCAATCAATCAATATAGTAAAAATATATCTTTATTAATTGAACTGATTATGTTTGTTTTTGATATTTATTTATTTGTTAAGTTAATGATTAAGATTATTGATTAATTAAAAGAAAATTTTATCAAAGTAATTAATTTGGATGTTATCACTATTAGTTATAATACAAAGATTAATAAATTTATAAAAAACTATTGAATGATAATATTCTTATCCAAAATTTATTATATCTTTTGAATTCGAAATATAATATCAACTTTTATATCTATTTATTTATTAGTTATCAGATTATTTCATAAATAAAGTATTAAAAAACATAAATAATCAAAATATTATAAAAATTATATTTACCTTTTATAAATAAAAAAATGGAAATACAAGATATTTTAAATCCTGAGTTTAATATTCAAGCCCACATCGCATTGTAAAAGATGATTTTGCTTGGTGATGGAGTTAAGCTCACATCACTTGATGGTTAAAGAATATATGTTGTATACTTTATACTTAATTCACTTGATGCTCTTGATAAGATTGATGTAGTATTAACTCTTGAATAAAAGCAAAAAATTATCACTTGGATATACCGTTAACAAATTATTAAAAGGACAAAACAAACAAATACTTTAATAGGAGGATTTAGAGGAAGTGAATGCTTTGGATACCATACAGAATATTTGAATGAGAAGGCTGAAGAAAAGGAAGTAGAAGAATAAGAAATCTATCAAGATATACAGACAATCGTTTTCACCTAATGTGCACTTTCTTGTCTTAAAATATTAGGAGATAATCTTCATCTTGTAAGTCGCCCACATATTCTTGCCACTCTAAAACGTTTATAGAATTCGAATGGTTAAATGAGATCATGTGATGATTCTTAGGAAAGTGACTTAAGGTACACATATTCTTCACTAGTTGTTTCTTAATTGCTTTAAGATTTTACTTGGTGCAACAAAGAATAAATGACTTAATATATTCTTTCATGCTATAACCATGAGCAAGGTGGATTTGGATTGAACCCAAATATGGAAAGTCATGGTGGTTCCACATTTTGTGCTATAGCTGCATTAAGTATTTTAAATAAGCTGCAGTTAATTCCAAATAAAACTAAATTAATCCATTGGTTAGTATCTAGATAATAGTTATTAAGGGAAAGTAAAGCTTCATTGGAAGAAGCATAATAAATTTAAGTTGAAATTATATCAGAAGCAGAGTATAACGAATAAAAGAAATTGCAAGAATAGAATTAAAAAATACAAAATGATAAATAGCAAGAAATGATAAACGAAAATGAAGAAGAATGCTAATAATCTAATAAATAAAATTAATAGATCCTAGATATTGTGGGTTTTCAAGGTAGAGTTTGTAAATTCCCTGATAGTTGTTATACCATATGGATAGGAGCCAGTCTTTAAATATTAGGCTATAAGCAATTTATAGCTTCTTAAAATATTCTAAGATTCTTAAAATTATGTGAAAATGGAAAAGGAGGATTTAAGAAATCTCCCTTAGAATTAGAATTTTGTCCAGTCCACACCCACTTTAGCATTCTTGGATTAGTTTTGCTAAACAAATTTTAATGTCAAGGAGAAATAAATTTCTCATTACTTATTAGAAACATCAGATTAAATTGAAAAATCTGTGGTTAAATAAATTGCCTATCACTTGAAATATGTGTTTTTTATTATCTCTAATTTAATTTGTATAAATATTTGGTTTTTTTTTTCAGTAAACATCATCCAAAATAAAATTTAACCATAATAAATTATTAATCTGCTAATAATTAAGTACTATTTTTATCAAATTTTTACGGGAAAAACTTAAAAGCAAATATTATCATTGACTAAATATCTAATTAATTACAGCATAAAAAAAATAAATAAAATTAAGTTTAGAAACCATAAAACCTCATGAATTAGCAAACTCTCGTCTTTTCCCATTTGTCCTAGGCTGAAAAGATATGTTAAAAATATATTACTTATAATATTATTAAAATCATATTAAAATAAGAAAATATAAGGTGTATAATTGAAATTTTCTTAATTTATTAAATTTGCTTTCTAATGATAAACTATTTTTAAATTGAAATAAGTAAAAAACGAAGTTTTAATATTTAAAAACATTAATAATATATAAATATAGATAATTTATTATTTTAATTTTATAACTAAAAATTAATAATAGGTAAATATTAATTAATGCAAGAAATAGCTAGCTTATTATAATTTGAATTTAATATATATATAATTGTTTAAAATTGAAATGGTGAAAGTAAGTATTTATTCATTTATTTATTTCTTTTTATTGAATTTAAATTTTTATTTTTTGAACAAGAATCTATCTTAGGATATTCAAAAAGTTATTTAATGATAATTAGTACTAAATTCTGAGTCTATATTTTTACTTTTGAAATCTTAAATAGCAGATTTTAAATCCTTATTTTCAATACACTTTTTAAAATTAATTTGTGCTCTAGTAGTTGGATCTACATCTCCATTAACTTTTACGTGGTCTTCTAGCAAAGATTTTTCATAACTTAACCCACTACTAGTTATTACTGGATTTACCATTAAATCCTAATCAATAAATATTTAATAATAAGAAATTAATTATATATTATCCATAATTTACTAAAGTAAAAATGCATGTAAATGCATCTGGAGGTCTTTAATCTTTTTTTTAGAATTTTCTTTCTAAAAAATTTTCTATTTCTGACCTGTCTATGATTAGAGAATTATCGTTTTCAATCAATTTATTAATTAGATTTTTTGATTTATTCTTCTTTCGTTGCAACTTTTCTGCTCTTTTAAGGTTTAATATTTGATTAGCCTTTGATATATTAGTCTGAATGGATGATATTAACTAAAAATCTTAGTTTTTCCTAATCTCATTTATGAGGTCTAATGCTAGATATTTTAAAAAAAAGTAGCTTAAAATATCAATTCGAGAGAAACAACAATAAATAAATAAGTGTAAGCAAATTGATATTTGATTTTGTACCTTTTTACATGCTTTTAATCCCTTATACATTAAATAATTCCCATTAATCAGACATTATATCCATTTCTTTTGATAACATAACCTATGACATTCCTTTCAAATTGTAAGCCTTATAATTTTCATGATCCAATCTAATAGCTTCACATGAATCTTTTAAAACCTATTAAAGATAATTATGCACGAATAATTCTTGCATGAATTAGCTTTTTTAAAATTAAAATAACCATAAAATATTACTTCTGCCCAATTTGAGAGTTAACGAAAACACTAAGCTCTGTTCGAGTAGTAAACTGAGTCAGGAAACAGGCTCTATTTTTTTAACAAGAGTGATAAAAATAAAATAAATATTTTATTTTTATGAATGAGGATTTTAATTTTTGATTAGTTTTTATTTATTGATGAAAAATAATTACAATAGCAGCAGAATAGCACTTGATGGCTTCTAAAAATTTATTCTACTTAAAAAAGTTGTTTCCTTATTCCTTTAATACTGTGCTTTCCTATTTTTTCTGAATTTCGATTACACTTGACGTCTTACTCTATCTTCGAGAAATAGATGCATTAGCTACTTCTTAATTGTCCTCGTCTTTAAATGGATGTGAGTTTTGCAAATTCTATATCTTCGAATTATTATTCTTTTAAGTATCATTATATTCCTAATTTATTTTATACTAAAGTTATACCCTGCTCTTTTTTTTACTATTGATAACTCCTTCAAGGCAGCATCCCATTTTTTTTGACACCTTTTATTTAAATTTTACAGTAAAATAGAACTAATTCTATCTTTCTTTTGTTAAAATACAACAATATATAATGCTTTAATTTACTAATAACTTTTAAAATCTAATAAGATTTCAAGCCATCTAAAAATGATCTAAATCTTACTTAATTTTCACACAAAAAGATTATGAAGTACTTCATATAACTACAAACAATTCACCTAATTTTAATTAACTAGCCATTTTAATATCAAACCTATTACTATTTTTCTTTTAATTATTAATTAAATTATTTATATTTGCTTTCAATATAAAATAATCAATCATACATAAATGAATTAAAAATTTTTTAAATAATATATTTATTTATCCTTATTATCAAGCAAATTTAAATTAATTTTATTTTATCTAATTTCATTTAAATTTTAAAATAATAATTTATTGATCAATCATTCATTTTTAAAAAGTTATCTTGTTTAAAATATTTATTTTATCAAACACTTAGATTTTAATAAGTTTTATTTTGAGAAAATATACCTATTTAAATTTTTGTTTCTACATTTTACTTAAATTTAAGAAAGTTTCCATTTTAAAAAAAAAATTATATTAAGCCTGAAATAAAAATTTAATTTTACATTCAATATTTCAAAAATGTATGGTTAGTAATATAATAATAAAATTACTTGAAAAAAGAAGTATTTATGCTAAAATTAAGTAAAAAATTTGATAAAAATAACCTTTAAAATTTAACGAAACATTTTGATTTAAATGATCAAAAATACATAAGTGTAAATGAGAAAAATGGTATTTTTCGAAGGACTGACTGTAAAGTAAATTATTTTTAATTATTTAATTTAAGACTAAATATCAAAAATCTTAATCTTAATAAAGTTAAGTAATAGCTATTAAATAAAAAGCAAGTAATTAATAATTATAATTGATTAGTATAAACAATTTGCAGTAAAAAACTTGATTTTAATTTGCTTCCTATCTGATACAAAACTTAATTATAGGGAGCTACTATAAAGATAGTCTGTTATTGCTATATCAAATTCAAATACAAATAAAAATATAAATAATGAAGAAGTAGTTTAGAGAATACTTAAGCACTATTTTAGAAATTATGGAGGATAAGCCATCCTTTTTGATTCCAAAAATTATTTATTATGCTATCGTCATTATATATTTTAACTAAATAGCTGGATACTTGTTTTCTACTCAAGAAAAAAAGGCTTTAAAAGAAGAAAAAGCAAAATTTATAGGTAGAGTCAATGAATTGTCCACAGGGACTTATTTACTTTATTATAAAGGAGAAGATTTGTTAACTTTACTTTTTTTTGGAATATTTTAATTGAGTATGTACTTCTACTACATTTACGTTGGTGTTTACACTTATTTAAGAAAAAAGAAATAATTATGGTTTTCAAAAAACAAACGGATTTTCTAAATTGTAAATCAATACCTCAATATTTTTTTTACATTTTATTGGTGGATATTTTTCTCTCCATATTTGGAAATAAATATCACTATGCTGAGTTGTAATAATTATTCCTTCTTGAAAATTATGAGAAATAAAAATTGCTCTAACGTAAGCCCTGTTATATTTGTCCTTGGATATATTGGATTTTTCTTTTCGATTGCTACAGCTACAGTAGCTATATTTCTATTCAGGAATAATGAATTTGGGAGTAAAGATTACCTAAGAAGAAAGTTTAACTTTATATAAATTTTAGTTTTAGTATGTCGTGCTTCTGTTATATTTCTTTACTATTTAAATTTGAATAAAATATTGTTATTTAAAGAAATATTGATGTGTTTTTTAATATTGCTAATGATAGTAGATATATACTTATATAAACCTTACTATAATTAAGACATAATGAAAATGTACTCTTGTTGTGTGGCAGCATTTACAGTTGGAATAATTACAATCATTATTTTGAATGAAACTGACTACATTTATGACACTGATGTATTTTATTACTTTGTGCTATATTTGGTCATTCTTAGCTCAGCATTTATTGTATTCTTAAATTTTTCATATGAAAAAATTATAAGAATCAATTCAACCAATTTCAAAGAGTAAACATACATTTTTTTATTATTTTAAAAAATTTAGTGAATAAATACTAAATTTAAAATAACTATGAAGAAATGATTCTATCAAAAACGATAAAATTTTAGTTAGTTTTATATAATAAAATACTAATTAAATGTAAAATAACCTTGTTAACTTTATTTAAATAAAGAAATATAAATTGGATAAATTTTAATTTTTACATTTGAAATGCAGATTTTAATCTTTTTCTTATTGTTCATCATATCTTAACATTATAATTTATTAACAGACACTACAAGAAGATAGATTAATACTTAGAAGAAATATTCAATCTCTTAGAAAACAATAAAAAGAGTGAAGAAGCATAATTTAGATTGTTCGAAGTGTTAATTTATCATAAATAATTTTGCTAAAATTACAATTGCTAGTGTTAATAAACTTCCTTTAAAAATACTGAAAATAGCATAATAAAAGAAGATGTCTTAAAATTTATTGAGAGCATGTTTTTATTTAGTTTGAAGTAAAAATAGGTTAGGGAAAATCAAGATTTGTTTGAGCATTTATCTCTAAAATACATTTCTTTTATAGCAAAGTACAGAAATAACCCTGTAAAAGCATATTATGAGTTAAAGTATTTAATGTCGTAGCATACCAATCAGATAAGCTTTTATTTTGATTGTATTTAAAATATTTTTTCAGCTAGAATTGAAGAAATGATTTTACTTCACTAATAAAACAAATTGAAAGAATTAAAGGATCAAACACAAGTTTATTCAACCAGAATTGATGAAGATATAACCAAACTAGAACTTTCTGATTTCATTTATTCAGATAAAATTAAAACCAAAATATTACCACTCATCTCATAATTTGTTGATCTAAAAGCTAACCTTTATGAATAAATGAGAGCTGGCTTTGAAAAAATATCTTTGTTTGGAGATAAAATTACACGCATGAGTAATATTGCTACCAATGTGACAATTAAATTAAAAACGTATTTAGGTAGTAATATTTCTTTTAGCTATTAGACAAGTCAAGGCAAAAGGACATCATAAAATGTTTATATTTTAAAAGTAAGATAAATAAATTTCCAATTTATAAAAACTAAATAAAAAATTTTAACAAAAGATTCTATCTATCTATGAGGGTATTGTTTTAAACAGGATTTAAGAGTCAACAAAATACGAAGAATTGATTTTAGAGTTAAAAAAAAGAGATTATCTTTTAAATTAAGCTGTACTTAATACCTTAAATATTTTGAAAGGTAATATATTATCTGTGATAGTCAGTTACTCGAAAGAACGTGGAAAGATTATAAGTCTAAATAGTAAAAGAATCAATAACTTTTTTGGTTATTCATAAAATACTGATTTAAATCTTTAGTATATCGATTAATTTATGCCTTAATTTTTATAGCAAATCCATAATAGCTTAATGCAAAATTATATCAGGCGAAGCTACTCGCCACTAATTAAATAAAGTCATTTTAGCTATGCCTTAAATAGCGAAGGATTTATTTTCCCAATAAGTATTTCTGTAGAAAACATTTTTGAATATAGAGATGATTTTTGTTTATATGGATCTATTTTGAAGCTAGAAAATGCTAAAGAGTTATTTGTAATTAATATTAAAGGATAGATTCTTGGGTTAACCCAATTAATTTATGAAGATGTTTTCAAAACAGCTGAATAAAATAAAAGCTTCAAATAAAAAAAGGTTTTAAAAATTATATTTGATATTTTTTTTAAACAATAAAATTATATTTAAATTAAAAGATAAACATAGATGCTTTTGATGTTATGCAAAAAATATCCTTTTACATGATTTTACCTGAAGTATCAGATATTATATTAAAGCATTAATAATAAATTAGTGAAGAAGAAGGGTTAGAAAAATTTGATTTGAATTCTTCTATAGAAACAATTGCTCAAAACCAATAAGGAGTAATAAAAATACCTGAGAGTATTTTTGAACTCCAAAACCAGTTTAAGGCAAATCAATATTTTATTTCAGAAAAAAGTAAAGGATTATCTTAAACTTCTCTCTAGACTTCTATCTTTTAGCATTAAGATACAGAAGAAATAATTGAATTATATTAGAATTTCTATAAAGAAAATTTGATTGTAATAAAAAAATAAATTTATTGGTTTTTTCAAAGTATTTATAAAAAACTTTTTTATTTTAATAGGAGTGGAGCAAAGAAAGTTTAGCTTCAGAAACTAAAATAAAGTATAATATAATCAAATAATCCCTCAAGCATATGCAAGATAAGAAGAAAATTACTGAAGAATTTTACATAATTTAAATTAATGAGTCAAGTCGTATTACTTCTGAAATCGATAGAAAAGATAGTCTTGAAATAAATTCCCCTAAAAAGCAAAGAAAAAGAAAAGGAGATGCCCTATCTCCACACAAGGCTTTCACTAACCGAAGAATATCATTTTATGATGTATTTAAATTAGCAAGTAAATATTTTTTTACATATAACAACTAACTTGGAAAAAACTTAATTTAAAATTCAGAATTTTAATTATTTTATTTATATAGCTTAACAGTAATCTAATTAGAGATTGATGATTAATTAAGTAAATACTCCTAGTAATTCAACGCTGTAAGGTACTCCTTATATGAGAAAGAGAAAGTTACAGACAGAGTAAGAAAATGATCATTTTAATTAAAGTTCTACAAGTTTAGATAAGCATTTATCATAAAATTTAAATTTAAGCCCTGAAATTAATAATAAGATCGGAGAAAGAAAATCAAGATATCTTTCGAGTTTCTCTCACTTATCAGATAAAAATCATGTCATATCTTAGTAAAATATTTATGGTGTCGAAAAGAGTTTAATCAATTTAAACAATGAGACATATATGACTTCTAATTAGAATATTGAATTATCCTCAAAAATAGAAAATAATAAACTTTAAATTTCAAAGATTACTAATAATATTCATAATTCTAGCCATAGCTATGAAGTTCTAAGCCCATTAAAACGTTTACTAGGGCCACAATTTAGTAAAGATAATAAACCAATAGTGAAAACTGCTTCTAAAGATTTTGAACCTAAATTTTCGATTGATGAATCCGAAAGACCTGATGAGGAAAAAATCAAAATAAAAAATTTATTTTTACATCAAAATAGCTTAGCTTCATCCTCGCTAACAGCAAAATCTCCTTCTCCTAAGCCAAAACTTAGTCTTTGGTAACGAATAAAAAATAAAGTATCAACAACAAATACTTAATCTAATTTACAAAGAGGCATTGCTTTGTTTTTAAAAGAAAGGCAAGAAGCCTTCAACGAAGAAAAATAAGATAAAATTTTTTAAAATCCCGAAACTATAAGCAGTAATATAGCTATGGATATGGAATATGAAGAAGATGTAGTTGATGTAGATCAATCTTCAATTACTAAAAAAGGAACAACCACTGTTAGAAAAAACGGCAAATCAACTCAAGAACCAAAAACTAATAATTAAATAAGATCTTTTTCTCACATCTCATCACAGAGTTCTAAGAGTTATGGTGTGTACCTATTCTAAAGTATCGCTTATTCGTTTCACTTGCCCAGCATATTTTATAAATTAAAAATATTTTTTGGTAAATTATTTAATTTAATAATTTAATTCTTAGTTTTATTCTTTTTATAATATAGTTTTCTTTATTATTATATTTATTTCATTGCAAATTGCTCTTAGCCTTGGAATAATCACTTAATATTCGAAGTTAAAGGATGATTTAACTTTCAATTAAATAGCTCTAATAGATGATACTTCAGTATAAATTTAAATATTAAACTCAATAAATTTATATGCTATCCAAATTGGATTAATTAGTGGATAATATTCAACTAGTGTTTAAAATTAAATTACTAATATTTCAAATAATTATGGGCAAATCTTTCCAAGAATACTTCAATAATATCTTAATTTTTAATTTAGCTAAAACTCATTGTATGATGTTGGCATCTTTTCTTTTAAGTAAAATTGTTTTTTTTTATATTCTAAAATTTTATTTTTATGTTTATAAATTCAGTAATTAGCAGATGGAGCGCAAATCTTTAGCAGAATTAAAATACTATAATTTAAACAGTGTTACTCAAGTGCTTTAATTAGGCAAAAATTCTAATAAATTGCAAAATGATTAATTCTTTTATTTATCTAAAAACTCTATAATAAATTAAAATTTAGATAAATCTTTACTTTCTAATTCTTTTAGTAACTTTAGAGACCTGTCAAATACTCTAGATTGGAGAGTTGATTTCTTTATTGGTTCATATATAATAGTATTCTTCTTTTTTATCATCTGCTTTTTCCCATTTTTAAGGTAAATAAATAGCTATTAAGAGAGAGTACTTATTTTGATTGCTAGAATGACAGAAAGTGAATGCCTATAAGAATCTACAAAATTAAGCGATGTACTGAAATACATTTAAAGTAAAAATGAGTAATGGGTCTATAAAAATTTTATGATAAGCGATTAGCAGACTTTAAATGAAGCTTTAAAGAAATCAATAAAATCAAGTAACTTCCTAAAAACTTAAAGACAGCCAATTTCATCAAAGATTAAGAACTAAAAAATAAAGAATTATAGACAAATCTGTTATTTCATTATTATCTCTTTATTAGGATTTGTTTATTTTTCGATTTTTACTGTGATCATCAAATAATATTCAAATCAGTCAGATAAATATTTGCATTTCTTTGAATTCTCTTAATAAACCCTTCCCTCTTTCAATAGTATGCTCATAGACTGGTCTCTTTTGATCAACTTTCCTTTATTTAAATCTTAAAATTAATACTTTCCTAATCTTGATATTGCTCAATTAAATCAAGACTATCAACTGAGTTTCAAAAATGTTTCAAACTTCTTAACTTAATTTTAATAAGAGTTAAATGAGCTTTCATCAATAACAAACTCAAATAATGAAGCTATGAATTAACTTTACACTAAGAGTTTATGCTAATATTACTCAAAATAATAGTTATGTAATCAAGTATCTGAATATACTTAAAAGATATATGATAAAGGTCTTGCAAGCTTAATTTCAAACTATTTATAATTTTTAAATAATAATGAATTTCTTTTAGGTAATATCCCTTTTTATCAATAATAACAAGTACTAACTTAGTATTACTCTACAACTTTATTTACTGAGCTTGTTTTGATGAATTATTTAAACACTACTAATTTTATACAAGAAATAGTCAATATAAGTATCAGTGATTACAACAATTTTTATAGCGATTTTTAAAAAACTCATTTACTCTACTTTTTAATTTTTGGTATCTTCATGGTATTTCTATTTATAATCATGGCTTTTTCAATGTATAAAATAAACATTATGAGATTAATGAACATAAATTTTGGCTTGACATGCTTTCCTAATAGTAAAATCTAAGAAGAGAGTACATTGTAAATGTTAAAATTCATAAAAAAAATATGAATTAGAATTAATAATTTATTCAAAATATATTTTATCATATTGTTTATATATATTTTTATCTTCCTTATTTTTCAATTTTTTTAATATCAAATTAAAAATTTTATATTAACTTTTTTTGATTGTATTTAATCTTTTTTATATTATTAAATAAAAATATACCACAAAATGATCAAATCAACAATTAATTTTATAAAATACATAATATACTAATAAAAGACTCTTTAAAATACAAAATATTTATTTTATTAACCCTTTCTCTTGGCTTCAGTTTTAAGCTATCCTGGAGAAGCCTAGGTTTTAAGGAAATATACTTTTTTAAAAATTAATAAAGATATGAATAATTTTTACTTTAAAAGACTTCTAAAATTATTTAAAGTTTTACATTTTTCAAAAAAAATAAAATAAGATTGAATTAAATTATATCAATTTATTTATTAATACATTTATACTTATTTTAATATTAAAAAAAAAATATTTTTTGTAAGTCTGCAAAATTTATTTTTTCTCATCTATCTTCATATTTATGTTTGATATTTTTTATATTTAATAAAAATCTTTATTATTCTTTATTTGCAAATTAAGTTCAACTAAATATAAATAACAATTAAGAGATTGGTGAATTAGTAAGAGATGTTTTGGATGAAATTATTTCATATAGTATTAGGGATTATATTTCCCCTAATATCTAACAAATGTTTACTACCAATTGATAAAGTTATAACTTTTTTCTTGCGTATGCTTCATATCTACAGTTAGTCAGACTTCTAAAAGGAGTTAAGTGGATTATAAATAACTGATGAATGTAAATAAAAATAATATGGAACAATTAATATAGCTGGTTTCAAAAGCTTTATCCTTTTAATGATTGTGTGTGGAGCTATCCATATGAATAAAATTTTAATAGAAGAATTTTAGTTTAGGTTTAAACAATATTATGATAAAATATCTACTTTCTGTCTTTGGTTTGCTTTGATTTTATCGTCATTAAATATTTGCAATTATATTTATGAATTTTATGCTTTTATCCTTTACTATATTGGGCTTTTTGTCTTAATTATTTTTGGTTTAGTCTTCAGAAGCAAATTGGGTTTTTCTGAAGCTATTTTCAATCTGGTAGTTGTACCTTTAGTTGTTTTGATGAGTAGTCTTATCATTACAATGGAATTTAATATCGATATAGTTGTAAAATTTTCTCCTTTAAACTTGTTGTTTATAGTTTATTCTATCACTCAAACATCATCCATACAAGTAAAAAAGCCTAAACAGTAGAATGATTCAGATAAAAAGTAAACTAATGATATGCAAACACAATAAGGGAAAATTGAAGATACAAAAGAAAAAAAAACCTCAACAAGAGTGACAATTTTTGAACTTTTAGGAAAGCATGATTGCTTTAGAGTAATGGTTTTAATTATGGCTTACATTTATCTCTATTCAATTGTAGAAGCTACAAAAGCAAAATCGATTGTGTAAATTTTATTGACAATTTAAAATGATTGGTGTATTTAAAACATTTGTTTATAAAATTATCTAGGTACTTACTCCCTCTCTTTATATTTAGTAAGACTTTTTATACAACTGCTATTTTATTTAGGTAAGAAAAATATAATAAGGCTAAGACTTAGGGATGCTTTCTTTACCTTTTATATGTCTTTTTTTATATTGCATGTCTTCACTACAGTTGATCTTTATATTAATTTAAACTAATTTATAAAATAATTTCTTAGATAATTCAGTATTTTTAATATAAAAATGCTTTAATTTGTTTATTCAAAATATTATTTATTTATTTTGTAAAAAATAAGCGTTTTTTCATTTAAAATATAAAATATCTTGTTTTTATTGAAAAGAATCTGATATCTTTAATCTATATTTAATTCGCTTTGTCTATCAATGTCTATTAGAAAGAAAAAAAAATTTTTTGATGTTTTAATATTGATTTGATAGATCTGATGATTGTTATTGATAGAATTTAAAAGAATAATATCAAAGATAAAAATTAATCTTAACTACAATTAATATTATAAATATTTTCAATTTTTAAGGTCTTCTAATAAAATAAAATATCTGTATAAAAACTTTAGCAAAAAGAAGAAGATAATTATCAGAAAGCATAGGTAAACAGTTGAATTAGTAATAAATGGATTTAGAATTAGAAGCAGATAGATCAATCCCTTTTACAGTAGAAGTAATAAATTTAAATAGAAGTTATGATCAAAATATTTTTAATTAATTCTCAAAAGGGTTAGAGTTTACTAAAAGAATTTGAATGCACAGTGTGCTAGCTGTACATTAAGCAAGCTCATATAACTAAATGCGGTCATGTTTTTTGCAAAGTTGATAATATTTATAATATTTAGTTTGGTTTGACTGTAAATGTTTTCATTAATTATTTTTAGGAATGTATATTTGAATCAATTAATAGACATCATAGATGCCCATTCTGTTCAACAGATTTAAAAGAAAATGAAGTGATAAAGAATTATCATTTTGATAATTTGAAAAGTATTTAATTAGATAAATATTATTTTATTTTATGTTAAAATATAAATTTAAGATGTGATTTTGAAGGCTTAAGAGGAGTACAAAAATAGCATAATAAATAGAGCTTTTAATAAAAGAGACTAAGAAAACTAAGAAAGTCCAATATTAAGTGTAAATAAATTCTAATCAATCAAAAAAATTTTTATTTATAAATTTATATTTACATTTTAATAGATTTTCAAAGATAATTTGAGGGAAATCATTTTACTTTATGAGTCTAAATTCAAAGAAATAAATTAAATATTTTAAGAAAAGAAAAAAATAATTGAGAAGTAACTTGAAAATTAATTGTAACTTTAGAATTAGGTGAGAACATTTATTCATTAGTAAAATAATTTAATTTAATAATTTAATAAAATATTTCTTAGTTATCTGACTAAATTCGAGCACAGAGTTAGCAATTCGAGAATTAAAAAATAATAAAATTAGATTAAGAATAAAATGAAATCTAAAATCATTTAATAGAAAACTTAAATAAGTATCTGAAAACATCTTTACCTAAACCCGATATACTAGATTTAAGAGTCAAATTAATTATTCCTAAAAAGAACCTTTACTTAGAAAGCTTTATTTTGAAACCTTATGATTAGATTTCAGATTTTAAGCAAACATTAATTTAAATATTTAAAAAAAATAATGATCCAATTGATGAATAAAAATTAGATTTAAGTAAAATTTTTGTTATATGTTTACCTTTGGCTGCTGATAATGAAGAATAGATAAACAAAATAAGCAAGGAAAATTTTAAAGATGAGTAAAATTTAATATAATTTGTTTAGTAAAGTGGAATTACTGCTTAAGTAAGAAATCTTACATCTTAAGAAGCTTTTGTTCAATTATAAATATAATAAGGATCTACTATTATTATTTAAGGAAATATTCCAAGCAATTCTGATAAACCTCCTACCTGCTTAACCTATAAATTTTAATAAAATACTACAGTAGATTACTACACATGTGTATAATGTAATTTAAACTGGATTTGCTAGTCATGTGCGTTCTTTTGCCATAAAGAACACAATACAGTTATCTAAATTAAAAATCATTTAGCTTCATGGGCTTGTTGCTATTGTGTTACTAAAAATAAATGCAAGTAATCTTTTTAAGTTTAGTTTTATTTCTAATAATTATAAATATTTTTATATTATTAATAGGGCACTTAATAAAAATTCAAAATGAAATTAATTTGTACATACATCTTAAAAAATCTTGATAGTGACCAATTCTATTCAAATAAATAAAACACTCCTCCATATTTATTTAATTTCTGTGAAATATATTTAAATATTTATTTTTATAAATAAATTGATCAATAAATATTAATTAAGATTTATTAGTATAAAATAGTTATACTTATAATTAATTTTTTCATATATAAAATGATGCTTAGAATAAAAATTAACTTTTTAATGCTTTTGCTAAAATGAAAATAGTTTATAATTTTTTAATTAAATTTGTACAAATATAAAATAAGTATATTACAAAATGATATTTTATTTAAGTTATTATAAATTAATTTTAATTTTAATTTAAATTCCATAAAAAGATGATGTATGGTTGATATTTGTATACACTTATTTATTTATGTATGTTTGTATGTATGTATGTATGTATCTACCTATAAAAACAACCATCTTCAATTAGATAAAATCAGAAATAAAATTTCTGAAAGTAGAGCTATCTATATGCATTATAAACTATTTTGTTTAATCATATTTTAATAAAGGGAATTAAAATTTTAGAAGATATTTATGAAATCATTAATTTATTTTTTAAGTGTTTCTGTTTCAAATATTTATTTTTATATAAAATAAGACTCATTCATTATATTTAAACTCAGTATATTTATTAAGAATGTAGCTGTTCAATATTTTTAAGATTGATATATTTTTATAATAGATTTATATCCTCTTTTAATAAGTGCTTCAAGCATTGAGCGAAGTACTTAGGATCGTTTTTAGCAAGGTCATTAAAGAATTATTTAAGCATTTCCTATTTATTAAAATTAAGTATTATTTTATTTATCACTTTAATACAAATTTAAATAACTTACAGCTGTATTTACTTATATATATTGGTCTTTCAAATATTCAAGATCTTCTTCAGTTGTTTCATCACATTCTTCGCCATCATCATAACCAAATTCAAAACCTTCAGTCATATAATTTGTTGATCCTGTTTCAAATTCTGCTAATCCGCCTGCTTTTTCTCCACCAACCTTGATTTTTAAAAAAAATTTAATCTTTTTGATTAAACTTAAAAAAAATTTATTTTACTGCAAACTGTCTTGGTTGATTTTCTTCTTCATCGTGGATAATATTCATATCAACTTCAACTTTTCCTTCATTTTCTTCTTAGAATTAGTCATTATAATCTCCATTTTCGTCATCATCAACTTCTAAACGCTCGTCTTCACCGTCTTTTATGTAATTTTAAGCATCTCTTATATAGTCCTATTCTTTTCTTTGAGGGATCATCTCGTTATCTAATCCTCTAATCAATGTACTTAAAATTTTAAGTGGAGCACTTACATCTAAATCATTAAAAAAAGTTAAATAAGTTTCAAAAATCTTAATAAATAAATTACCATGTCCAACGTTTTAATGAGAAGGATTGTAAGCAATAGCAACTAAAGTTTCAATTCTATTATCTTTTAACAAGAAAAGTTTAGTCAATGCCAACAAAGTTGTGTTTTTAGTATATTTTCCTCTAAAAGCAGCCTATTGTAATAACCACTTGTCAATTAAAACTTTCAAAGCAAATCTGTTTTCAACACTGAATGAGTAAAGGAAATTAACTGATTCAATGGGATTGTTAATAATCATACGAGCCCATACTAAAACTAAACCTTGAACAGTAGTAGCTAGCTTTGACCTAAAAATCTTATAAATTACTTATTTTAATATTTCAGGATCAGCAGAACCACCAAGAAGCTATTTAATAATTGATTTGGTTAATATTTAATAAATAATATAATTAGTTTAATACATTGTGGAATGCTATCATGCAGAGATTTCCTGAGTAAGTTGAATTACTTTCAAATTAAGAGTTTGTAGGTACTTATAGTAACTTCATAATAACTTAAAGAACATCCTTTACTAATTGACTATATTTTAGAAATAAAATATTTAATTAATGTAATTTATTAAAAAGCAATATTTTTTATTGTTTAATCTTTTAAAAAGCAATATTTTTAAAAAATATTAAATCCAAACTGCATTTTAAAAAAATTAAGAAGAACTTTATTAAGTAATTAAGGTAAATTAAACAATAAATATCTTATAATAATTACTTTTTAATTATATATTGGTCAGCAACTTTAATGAAATTTTTTAGGCAAATTGAGGCATGTTATTATAATGTGCATTCTTCGTTGACAATCATAAGGTTAAGAAGAGGAGGTAAGAGTTTGATTAAACTTTCCTTTGCATTGTTATCTTAGCAGTTCTTGACAAAAATGCTGGTTACATCAAATATACTCTATTAAAATAATGATTGAATGAATGAAAAATTTAGATTTAAAAATAAAGATTTAAGTTTACAGCCATAAGTGAGAGATCTTGTTGTCTAATTTAAGTTAAATTTGAGTTTTCGGCAATGTGATGCTTAATGAGATTAAAACTATCAAGAATAAAAGATGAGAAGGCATTTTAGAAGATAATATTGAAAGAGACAGGATCTTCAGAAAGTTAAGTAATAAGCTCCATAGTAATACGATTAATCATTTAATCATTATGCTACAAAGTGAAAATTTATAAAATAGATCTAGCACCTAGATTAGCTATTTCAGGAATATAAACTTTAGAAAGCTTATTCAAATATACAAGAGTATCTAAAATAATGTGCACAGTTTCAACATTTACATAAGTTAAAATATCAAATACATCTACTAATATAGAAACGTCTTCAATACCATATTATACCCAAGTGCTTCTGTCAGGTAATTGTTATTGATATTATTTGATCTTATGAGCAATTCTATTTATTTTATTGTAAAAAGTTAAATATTTGTTTTTTATTTATGAAAATTCTTTAATTACACTCCAATCGACTTAACAGCAGTCAAACGAACTGGGAATTAGTGAATATTTGAAAGACAAGACATTGCAACTTTAAAGAGAGGAAGGAATAATTCGGTGTGCTTTTAGGCAATAACCTCTGAAAAGCGTGTAACACACCATAATGATTTAGCTATAAGGATAGGATTAGAATTAGGAATTTGAATATCAGAAATAAGATTTTGGATGAGAGAGGAAATGTCAAAAGAAGAGGTATGCTTATATTGGAAATCGATAATATCATCGGAAAAGCTACCAAGAAGGAGGAGACCTACTTCTCTCTTTTTCCAAGCGTGATCGGGAAGAGTGCAGTCAAAGTTAGAAGTTTTGATGAATTCCATAAGTCTTTCTTTGGTGAAGTCAAAGCTTTAGCCCATTTTAATTTCACTTGCTAACCCCTTATCGTAAAATTCTTAGATAACTTAAACTGTTTGTGCTTGATCTTGGTTTGTCATGAACTTTTCGGCAACAATCATAAGAGCTTGAGTAGTTTAATCTTAAAACTTTTCAATTAGTTAGAAAATTAAGTTATGTGCAAGAGCCCTGAGTGACTTCATATTTGCTTCATCTTCATCATCAGTTATAAATTGATTTGGTTCATGAATCCATAATTTTTCCTATTAGATAAAATGAATGAATTTTTGTAAATAAAAATAATTTTGATGAATAAATACTTACTTGTTACTTAGAAAGGAGAATAAAGTGAGCAAGAGCATTGATAATTGGGAAAAGAGCATGCTTTACTAACATATAAAGATCTTCTTTAATGACTAATGTTGCAAGTAATTCAATAGCATTTAATGTTAAACCTTCAATTTCGTTCAAACATTCATCTTCTTCTTCTAAAAATCTAAAATCTAAATTATCTAATCCAGCACTCTATTATAATTTTATATAAATAAATATTTTGTTATTTATTCAATTAAATTTTGCTTTATTTCTTAAATTAAACATTTATAAAATATTACTCCGTATTGATCCATCTATTGAGCTCCTTATTAAATCAAAATAGTAGCTGGATCTTGAATTGGTTATGCATTATTATCAAGATTTTGTAATTAGATGCCATACACACAAGTCCAAATGTAGAGGGGAAGAATGGAGTTCATGAACTTCCAAATAGGGAGAATTCTAATTGCAATAGCATTTCTAGCATAATAAGTAAAATCTCTAAAAATGACATTCATAATCTATAAGCATATTTTAAAATAAAAGATTAAATTAGAGTTTAATAGAATATTAATTTATTTATTTTTTTTTTATTTTGCTAACTTTGAAAAGCAAGCAGAAGAAGTAGGTAGGTAGAAATAACTAAAATTAATAACTAATTAAAATATTCTATTATCATTTACTTTAAGAATATATCTCTTAATAGTGATGTGAGATTTGAGGTCGGTTTGTAAGGTAGAAATAAAGAGATTCATCCAATCTTTGAAAGTTTCATCAAAACACTATGCGACTAAACGATTATCAGATCCATCAGCGTAAGCAAATGAAGTAATAGTTAAATAGAGCAAAACAAATAATTTTTCTCTTTAAGTTTCATTTAAAGTCTGTTTATAAAAAATTGTTAGTTTATAATTATATTTTTTATAATGGCTGCAAATTAATTAATTAATATAACTCAATTAAACATTTCTAGTTTGGTTCAATAACAAACTTAATTATTTCACTATGGAAAATGAATTGAATTATTCCTGACTTATTATGTTAGATAAAGAATTTAATTAAGTAATTACTCTTAGGTTAACTAATATTTATAAGAGAGCTTGCATTAATTTAGGAATCAAAGGAGTGAGTGAGAAACTTTCAGGAAGAATTTTCTCATTTCTATATTTTTCACTTACTTTGGAGAATATTGTACAAAACAATTCTAATCCAGTATTAACTCTTTCCAAATCTTCGCTTTTCATCCAATCTATAATTTGCTTTAATGAACTTGCCCATAATTCTACTCCATCGAAAACCATAATTTCAGTGATAATAAGGGCCTATTTTTAAAAATTATTGTTTATTGAAGCTAATTGGTAATAATTTTAACTATTTCTTCTGCTGGTTGAAAATTTATAAAACCTTTATTATTCAAATTCTTTTTTTTAAATCAGCTTTGCTGCTAACTTGTTCGCCTTATTCATTCTATCACTTTCATTTATTTCTTGGTTTAAAGCGAAAATTAAAAAATATTATTCATTTGCTCATTATAAAAATAAAATAGCTTTATTTATTTATTATTTTGAAAAGCTAGCTAGCTATTTTGCTGACTTATCACTTTTGACTTTGCTGAATAAAACTGGTTTATAATTTTGAAAAAGCAGAAAATTTTCAAAAAAATATATTGAAATTTACAATAATTTCTATAATTCTCAAGTCTCCGACATTCATTAGCAGACCATGCAATAATATTTCTCTTATTTCCTAATTTTTTTATTGAACAAAAGATTAATTTTAACCATTATGTTGAATTTTAATAATAATTTAAATCAATAAAAACAAGGGAGTTTATTTAACAATTATCATTTTTTCAAAGATATTTTATCTAGCTTTTAAAACAAACTAATTTAAAAATAGAAAATTTGTGCAGTTGTTTTGCATCTAAACCTGTAATTTAAATTGCTAGTGAATAACTATTTAGTGAGATTGTTGAAATTTCTAATTTATTAGTTAGTTAGATGCAGGCTTTCTAAAATCAAACTAGCTAGCAAGCAAGTTTTTATATGCAAAATGTTAGATGAAGCTCGAAAATGATATAAAATTCAAAATAAAATGGTTTTCTTTTGCTTGTTCAAGTAAAAAAAAAAATTAATCAAACGAAATAGTAAATTTAAACAAAACCTTTTTCTAATCTGCAAGAGCCTGATTGCTTTACCAGTACTCTCTGAGCATATTTTTGATTAAAGCACCTATGTAAATACGCATTTGCATGTTTTACTCCTTCTAAACAAAAATCTTGATAGAGGTAGATGCAAAATTATTAATCTAGTTGAGGGCTTACTCTAAAAATTTATCACCTTGAGCTAACTTTGTACTATCTGTGACTAATTGCTGATATACATTTAAAACTGTTAGCATGTCTTGCTAACTAACTGAATTGGAGTCCATACTTATTAGTTTTGTTTAATTATTCTTCCTTTGTTAACTTAAAAACTATCTTGATTTATTTATTTATTTCTTTCTTTCTTTTTTTAACTTTTTAATTTGTTTTATGAAATCTCTCTTCTTTCTTTTTAACTTCTTTTCTAAAACTTGTTTGTTTTATTGTTTGCTTGTATGTATGCTTTTTTGATTTCTTTTTTGTCAAGCTTTATCTATCTATCTATTTATCTATCTACACTTCTCTTTCTATTTTTTGACTTTTTTTATTGTATATTTATTTGTTTGTTTGTTTGTTTTGCATTTTATTTATTTATTTATTTTCACTTCTCTTTCTTTATCTGATAATTTTTTTTTTTAACTTGAATATGAATTTTTCATGTAAATATGTATGTATGTATGTATGTATGTATGTATGTATGCATGTTTGTATTTGCATGTTATTATATTTGTATTAATTTAATTTTCATAAAATTTACTTGTTTTTTTTATTTATTTATTTGCTCTTTTGATTTAATTAAATAGGTCTGCCTGATTCACCAAATAATTTAACTTGACTCGCATTTAATTTTGCATTTAATTTTTTTATCAAATTAAAAAATTTTTTCTACTCTGCCAATTCAAAAATTAATTAGCAAAATCAAATATATATTTATTACACTTTTATTTTACATAAATATTCCAATTAAAATGTTAAAAAATATAATTATCAGGTTTGTTAGTTGTTATTATTTGAAATTTCAATTTAAATTGTTTCATCTATCAATCTATTTTTCTTGTTATAGTCTTAAATGCTGTGTTTGTTTTTAATAAGCAATAAATAAACAAATCTTTATGGAAGGCAATTAAAATTTAAGTTATTTAACTATACTGAACTAATAAATTTTTCAACTATTAAAATTAAAAATAAAATTTACAATAATTATTTATCATAATTAGTGTTATTAATAAGCCTAATTATTTAGATTAATTTCTATTATCCTGTTAAAAAAAATATTCTTAAAATAAATGATAAAATTATTAATTAAAATTGAATAAATATTTTTCATATTTAATATTAAATTGAATATAATAAATTAAAAATAATTATTTTGTAGTTGAACTTACATTACTTTGCTATAAATATTATTATTATTAAATAAGACTATTAAAATTAATACGCATATTCTCATAATGTAAATAAAGATAATTTATGTTTATTTAAATAATTTTATAAAGTTAAATTAATTTACATATTTTGATAATAATTGTGTTTCTAAACTATTTTAAAATGTTTTGCTTGATTTATAGATAGTTTAAATGACCTTTTATGTTAATGAGTATGTCTTTTTAAATAAAATTAAGTACTATATATTTTATACAAACTATAATTTAATTATTAAAGCATGATGCAGGAGATTTAGTGATTAAATGTTTTGTTAGATATTTATTTATTTATTAATTAGTTTATAGAGTTGGAATTTCTCATATCTTTTTATATTAAAATAAAAAATCTAAAAATTTCTAATTTAGAAGTAAAAAAACTAGAAGAAATAAAGAATAGCAAAATCTATTTATTCAAATAATAGTATATTTTGAAAAAATGACATAGCGCGGTGATTTAAAATAATATTTTGACGAAAAAGAAGTTTAAAGTGAGCTTTAGGGAATCATTTCCCAAATTTAGAATCTTTAACCAGAAGCACAGGAAATTATTACAACGTAAATCTTGTTAGAATTAAATTTATTTATTGTCTTTATTATTATTTAAAGTGACTGAAATACTCATAAAAAATATAAATTTATCAAATTTATAATTTATTTTTAACAAATAGCTATTGCATTTAGTGGTTCTAATCATTCTTCGACTCCCAATGTGAAGTAGAAGACTTTTTGGGTGAAATCAAAAAGCTAGAAGAAGTATTTTAAATTATTTCTTTAATTTTTAGACACAAAATTTATAATCAATGAATAAGTGTCTCTCAAAATTAAAGAGATAAAAATTTTAACTTTTATTTAACTTATAAAAAGCCTGAATGTGAATAAAAGTTGTTGGAATTTATCAAAAAGAAAATATCTCAAATGGAAAGCAAGTCTAAGAAAGGTAAAATAACTAGTTTATGACACTTTAGAAATAAATTTATTTATTTAAAGTAGTCAGTCAAGCAAATACATACTTAATATTAATTTTAAATAAACAGCAAAAGAGGAGAGTAATACTTCTGCTAAGGTATACACTACTTAATAATAATTAATCCATTGATTTCCTTCATCAAAATGAATCTAGATTTACAAATTAACTAAGATTCTCTGATTTAAAACCATAAATAATTACAAGCATCTTCTATTCGCAATTAATTTTGATTGATTAAAAATGAATAAATAAGTAGGTTGATTGATTGATTGACTATGATGAATAAGAAATTTATTTATCAGTTAATGATTTATTTAGAGTAAATCTAATCAAGTAAATAAAAATTGATCGATTAAGCAATAGAAAATAGCATCCATTAAACGAATAGCAGTTTCTTTTTGGCTGACTAAAAATTAAGTCAATTTAATCTGCAGACTGAACTTACAAGAAAGAAAATCTATTTTTATACTTAACCAAATTATTCACCTCTATTATTGATTAGTTTCTTTATCTTTGCTAAAAAAAATTTAATCAATCTAAAGCAATCAAACAAACATCTACATACATACAAACAAACATAAAATAAATCCTAATAGATGAAATATATGAATGAGATGATAAATTTAATCACTTATTTATTTGAGATTGATCACCATAAATTACGAAATTTAACTGCTTTACTTACTTACTTACATACATACACACTGGCTCTTTCTCTCTTCAAAATTCGTGGCTGACCTCCTCTTTCCGTGATTCCTACCACTGCTGAATCGAAGAGAGACAGAGCAAACCCCATAAAAAATAAAAAAATTTCCAAAATAAAATAAAAAGGAAGAAGTAAAAATAAAAAATGGAATAAATAAAATAAAAAAAATTTTAAATAAAATACCAAAAAAAAATATTAAAAAAAAATACTTCCTCCATCAAAAAAAAAATAAAATTTTTATTTCATCTAAAACTTATTAAAAAAATTAAAAAAAAAATAAGCAATAAAATAAAAAACCTCCTCAAGAAAACTAATAAACCTCATTCTAAATTATTATAAAAAAGGCTTCAACCATCCATGACAGAATTAAACCAAAGGGTAACAGCAACAATGCTAATTCTGGTGCTAAAAATTAAGAAAATCCTCAAACAAACTAACCTACTACAAAGAAATTTGTGTAAATTAAAAATATATGAAAACTCCATAAAAAAAAACATTTTCTTACTTACATATATCAAGAAAAATATTAGAAAAAGACGAATAAAAGCTAAAAAAAGCAAATGAAGCTGTTGAAAATAAAAACAATGCAAATAACAACTAAAATAATAACTCATCCAATGCTAATAACTAAGAAGAAAGTGATGAATATTTAATTAAAGAACTAGAAGACAAGAAGAAACAAAGATGTAAATATTATCCCAATTGTAAAAATGAAAAAACTTGCCCATACATTCATCCAACTGAACCTGTAATTCATTCTCAAAAACTATTTATTTTTATATAAACAAATAAATAATTTTAATTAATTAGTGCACTTTCTTCCCTACTTGTAAGTATGGTTCTCAGTGTATAAATAAGCATCCTGATTGCAAATATGGTAAATCATGCCAAAGACCTGATTGTTTCTACGAGCACCCTTTCCCAAGTAAAAATAAATACAATTTTGAAGAAATTCAATTAACAATATTTTATTAAACAGAAAAGCAAGCCATAAATCCTTTCCTATAAATGTTAATGATGCCTATGATGAATGCCTCTAAGAGAAAGATTACTAATAAGCCAAACGGTAAAAGACCTTTCCCTGGAAACACCCCAGGATAATTACAAGGTGGTGAAGATTAAAAATCTGAAGATAAGCAATAATAACCTTGAAAAAGATCGTTGGTTTCAATAAAATAGAAATATAATTAGAATAAAAAATTAATTAATTAATTAATCAATCAATTACAATCCCAGTATATTAATTAATACAAGTCTCAATATAATACCAAATATTTATTATTTAATCGATTTTATATTTTTTATATTATATAATTGTATCATCTTCTTTTTGGGATTTTCTAAATATATATATATATATTTCTTCATAATAAATTCATAAAAAATAAATAAAATTATAACTAATCAGCAGATTGTAAAGGATTTTTTAAAAATTAAATTCAAAGACTAGCATAAATAATTTATTTCACATTCATTATTGAATAAGAACAACATTTATTTATTATTTCAATAATTTACTGATAAATATTTCATTTTAAGAGCTTCAAACATTTAAATTTAATTAGATATTTAACATAAAATTCACAAAAACAATTAAATATAAATATAAAAAATAATTTTTTGATAAATAAAATTATTTATTTGTAAAATTTATCATTTTATTCTAATCTATTATGCGAAATAATAATAATAATTTTATTTATTAATTCGTAAAATTAAAAATATTTAATAAATGAATTGAAAAATAAAAAAGATTGTTTTTAGACTTTTAGAAGATCTATCTCATGTTTGTCTCTTTTGATTTATAACTATTGCTCAGTTTTTTATTCAAATAGCATTTTTATCAAAGAATATCATCAATATTGGTTTAAAATTTAAAGGAAAGAGTTAATATGTTTTTGATGTTTTAATAACTGATAATTTAGTTGTGAAATCCTTATTTAGAAAGAATATTTTTCTGTTTTAATTATTAAATCAATTAAATCCATCAAAAAGTCATAACTATTAATATAGTAATTTTAGCTATTCTTTAAATTTTTTCAAAGATAATTAATTTATTAACAAAAAGATAAATAGACTAGGTTTGTTAGGAGTTCTTAAGTGTTTTATATTTAAGTAGAAATATTAATTGATTGCCAATCTATACAAAAATAGGATTAAACCATATAAATGATATTGCCTTTTGAATACTATTTTTTAAATGACGCTGATAACAGCAGCAAAAGCAACTATAACAATATATAATTTATTAATGAAAATTAGAATAATAATTTAAGACAAAAGCCTAAATTTTATCCAAACAACCAATTTTTAATTGAGCAAGAATAGGATAAATATGAGAATAAAAAGATTAAAAATTACATTTCAGATTAAATTCAGTTACAACCTAAGAATACGCCAATTAATAAAATGAATCATTTTGCAAATATAAACAATTATTAAGACAATAAATTTTCTTTAGAATCTTTAAATTAAGCTTAGTAAGATAATCTTTAGAAAGAAGAAGATTTATCCATTCTTTCTTTTGATTCCTAAGAAGAATTAAATTATTTATAGGAAGGCGAAGAAAATAATTAGTTTTTAAATGAAGGAGATATTTTTGGCTATTAAACTCGATACACATTTTTTGAAAATAGAAATAATTTATTAGTAGAGGATGCAACAAACAAAAACAACAACAACTACAACTACAACTACAACAACAACAATAGTAGCACTTAAAGAAATTACGATTTTAATTATTAGAACACTAATGAAATGCTTTAAAAAAAGAAGAAAAGTAATTTTTAAAATAAAAGTCAAAGTTAATTAAATAATCATAAAAATGAAGAAAAAAAACCTAGTTAGTAGAGAAAGGAGCAGTTAATGAAAAGATTTGAAAGTTTGTCTAGAATTTACAATAAGGAACTATCATAAACTGTCACTAATGGATGGCTAAAACCTTCTTAAGCTAAAACAATAAGTTAGGATAACAATTTAGGGAGTTCTGCTGCTAAGAGTAGCAAGGTTTTTTACTAATAATAGAAACCTTTTTCTGCTTAAATTACAAATTCATCTCTTAAATATGCAGCTGCTTCTAATGGTTTTCAAAATTTAGATTTTTCGTATAAATAAAAACAGTAACTTATTTAACAAGAAACTAAAAATAAGATCAAGGAATAATAAAATGTAGAATCCAATAATAGAATAAGCATGAAACCTCCTAAGTCTGCAAATTTAAATAGCTATAAAAATATTTCTAATCTAAAAAACTTCAAAGAAATCATTTTAACGAGACCAAATAGTAAATAGGTCAAATTTTAGCAACAAAATTCTGTTAATTCTCAGCCTTCTTCTTTGGTTTCCTAACCTCTAAAAATTTAAAGTATAGAAAAAAATAATTTAAATAGCAACTTAAATGATTAAAATTTTTATGATGATTTTGCTGAGTTAGGCTCAACTGAAACTACTGGCTTTTCTTTTTAGAATGTTTTTTAGTTGGCAGGTGTTCCTAAAGATTTTATAGCTTCTCCTAGAAGTCCTGTACAAGAATTAAACCAAAAATAAGAAAACAGGGAAAATGAACTAGATCAAATGTTAAATGATCATCATATTTATGTTGCAAGTTCTGTTACAAATTAAAATTAAATAAGTAAATTTATATAGAAATTCAATATTTATTTTCTTAAATTTTATTTTAATTGTTATAGAAAATGAGCAAACAGAAAGGAAACCAAATATGTTTGGTAAAACTCTGACAACTTTGGCTCGGCCCTTTTCAAAAGAATATTCAAACAGAAAGGATATTCTTAAAAGTGCTTAGTAGAACGTAAGGTTCAACAAAAATTTAGATTATCTTGATAGTCAAAATAAAGTTGTAGCCAAAAACAAAAAAAGAACAATTTTTAAAATAAATTAAAATAATCTGTAAGGAAATCAAAAAGATTTATAGTCAAATCAAACTTCTTCAGTGATCTCATAATAAAATTCGATTCAGTAATATGGTGATGATAATTATCAATAAAATTAAGTTTTAAATGATGATCAAAGCCCTTTGATTAAATAAAATTCGATTGATTTAAATGCAGCTGAAATAATTTAAAATGATGAAAACGAAAATACTTAAAAGGAAAATGTGCTCTAATAAAAAAAAAATTAATCCAATTAAATTGTAACAAGTTAACAGCAAAGCAATAACTATTTTAAATAAGAAACCACTACTAATACATCAAATTTTTCTACCACAAGCAATAGAATTATTTCTTTATAAGCTTTAAGATAAAAAAATAATTCTACTGTTAAAAATTCTGACAACAATAATCAAAATCAAACTAATCCTTAAAATTAAAACACTAATTTAAAAGAGAACAATGATAAATAAAATTTAAAAAAAACTAAAATATAATCAGCAAGTGCAAATTAAGCTGGATAATCAAATAATTAATTACAAAAAACATTTTTTATCAACTCATAAGATGAATATGTCAGAAGGACACTTCTTAGAATGGGCTGGAAAGAAAATAAACTTCTTTTAAATAATAATTTTGATTTAAAATGGATTTATATAGATTCAAATGATGACTACAAGTTTTTAAATGATAACTAATTTTACAACCACTTTAAAAATAACACTGAGCTTACATAAAAGGGAAGACTGCTCTACAACTTGAAAAATAACACACAATTTGGTGTAAATTAGGAATTATTTTTTCCAAGGTGCTACGATCTTGGAAATGATCAGGAAAGAGGAGAATTTTCTAATGAATTTAATGTAAATTACTTAAAAAACTTTATTTAATATTAATTATTTTTTTTAGAGAATGAATGTGATGAATCTGTTGAAAAAGCACATACAATATATAAAGCTAAGAAGAAGTCAAACGTATTAGGAAATCAAGCAAGCTTATTAATAGAAGCAAGCCAATAAATTAAATGCTTAAGTAAAAGATGGGATATTCTTTGCAAAAGTAACGAAATAGAAGTTCTTTAGTCCTTTAATGTACGAAGATACGAAGAGAGATAACAGATTTATTTTTAACATTACTGTGATAGCTGAAGCTGTGGAGATACTCAAAAAATTAAAAAGATAGTAAGAGGAATATATAGATGAAACAAGATAATCAAGAGATTGCTAATTATATATTTACTAAACAAATTTTAAATTGGAGTCTATGATTTCTCAGTATGTTAAAATTAATGTACCTTTCGATGAAGAAAAGTTTGTATTTGAAAAGATCGTGGGTATGTCAAAAGAACATTGGTCATCTCCATCTATGAAACTTATGAAAAAGCTTTACTCATTGTATAAATATTTCAAAGATGCTGACCCATAATTTAAAGTTTCTGGAACAAAAAATATTTGGATAATTAAACCATCTGCTAATTCAAGAGGATCTGGGATATATTTAGTAGATAAATTAGACGAAGCTATTGACAGTGGTTTAAAAATGTAGGCGAGAATAGTTTAAAAGTATATTGAGAGGCCTTTAATATTTCAAGGAGCAAAATATAAGAAACTGAACAATAAAAAATTTGACATCCGATAATGGGTCTTGGTAACAAGCTTTAAGCCTCTCAAAATTTATTTTTTTACAAGCAGCTATTTAAGAGTGTGCAGCTAATCTTTTGATTTGGACAATATTAAGATTCTTTCTAAGCACTTAACAAATTTCAGTTTAAATAAAAATAGTCTAGCCAAAGAAAACTGGGATGAGACTGTAGTTGAGCTAAAAGATTTCATTAGTTATTTGAAGGAGTTTAAAAATATAGATTATCAGGAAGATGTAAAGCCTAAAATAAAGGATTTAGTTATAGAAACAATTAAATGTGCAGCAGACAAAATTGTCAACAGAAAAAAAAGCTTTGAGTTATATGGCTTTGATATTTTGTTAGACGAGTATGCTCATCCTTGGTTGCTTGAAGTAAATTTAAGTCCAGCTTGTTCAGAAAGAAGCTCGTTTTTGACTGAAATGCTTGATGCGATGGCATACAAGATGTTCTAAATTGTTTTTAAATAAAACAACTTATAAGAAGACTTAGAAATCAATAAAGAAACTGCAATTTCTACTGCACCTGCTTCTTGCCAAAATCCAGATTATGATTGGGAAGAAATTTATAATGAAGAGTAAAAAGAATATTTTTGTGAAGAAGATAATAATATGCAATTAGCCTTTAATAATGATATCCAACTTATGGTTATAGGGTAAAAAGCAGATTTAAAAAAGGAAAAAAATCTTGATAAAAAATACTTCTAATATTGGTAATTAATTTTGTAATTTAATTTCTTTATTTGCCTTAAAATAAAAATTTTATTATTAGGGGAGCGATTAAAATTCAATCAAAGATTAGATCATTTTTAGCCAAAAAGAAGCTATAAAGATTGAAAAATTAAAAGTTTACATTTGCAGCCATTAAAATTTAGTAAAAGATGAGACAATTTTTAGCTAAAAAGCAGTTAAATATTTTGAAAAAGCAATAATAAACAAATATAAATATTCCAATAGAAGATTTTAACTAAGTTAGTGTTATTGAAGTATGAAAAAATATTTAGAAAATTTAAAAAATGACATAAATAAATAAATAAATAATGATTTTAAATCACTCATTAATTAAAATTTTATTAAAATTAATTAATTAATTATTAGATTTATTTATTGAAAAAAGTTTTATTTAAACATAAAAAATAGTAATTAAATTAAGTAAAATAAATTATTTTAATAAACAAGTATGTATAAATTTATATGGCACTAAATAAAATAAAAAATAATAACTAATCAATTCATATTTATTTGTTCACTTTATCAATTCATTTTTTCATTTAATTTTTCCTTTAAAAATATTTTTTTAATTTGATTATGAAAAGTGAGTGATATTTGATTATTCATTTATTAAATTCATTCTTTGATTTAATCAATCACTCAATCAACGATAAATCAGTGAAGACATATTTTGGATTTACTGTTAAAAACTCATCAAAATTTTTTTTAAATACTATATTTTATAAAATTATGACTTTATAATAAATTGTATGATATTCGTAGTTATATTTTCTAATGTCTTTGATTAAATTTCTTTCAAAAACATTTTTATCTGAGGTTAATTTGATCAGTTAATTATGATTTCTTAATTCGTTAATCATGTTTAAATAGGTTAGATCATCTAGTATATCTATTTTTATGGATATAATTTAATTTAATACTTGTTTGTTTTACAATTATTGCTATAATTATTACAAATTAATATCATTGTTTAAATTTACTTTTTAAAAATTATAAGATTTTTTATTTACTCTTTTATAATTGCCATTTACATTAAGAATTTAGCAACCTTCAAATTCATGCAGTAGACAGTTCTAGATTGAAATAGAGGAGTTATTTCTTACGAAGTCTATTATGATTATTTTAGTATTTTTAAGATTTTAATTATTATAATCTTTTATGGATTAAGCAAGCTAATCCTCATTATAAATATGCAAAATATACTGTCCCTTAAAAATTGTAATCAGTATGTTTTTTTTAAATAAGTAGTAGTATATAAAATTCTAAAGAATCAGTAAGATGAGCCAAGGATAAATGAATTCTTTTTGTAAATTGTCATAGTTGAATGTAATATACCAAATATAAAGTATGGTCATAATAATAGAAGCAATTGTAAAATAGTATTAAATATACTTATCTAAGTCTACTAGATAATATTTAAGCTTATTTACTGATTTTTTTGTGTATAAATAAAGTAAGTCGATATTTATCCCAAATATTATTTTGAAGAGGAACAAATAATTCAATCTTTGAACTACCTTGCGATTTCTGTATCTAAAAATTAAATAAAAACTTATCACATAGCCACTTAGCACAATAGCTGTCCATAAGTAATGAATTTCCTTTGCATTTCTTTATAAATAATTAGAAATACAAGAAAAAACTAGAGACTAAAAGGATGAAGTAAGTAAGTTTTTTAATTTAATTTGAGATATTAGTTTATAAATCTGCAATTCTTATAGAGTAACAGCAAGTTAAAACATGTAAGATAGAAAAGAAAAAGAAATTATAGGTAGAATCAGATATAAGCAACTAGTATCATATGGATTAATAGTAAATAATATGGCATAAAACTAAATAAATAAACAAAAAAGCATAGTTGTATACCTTAGCAATAACCCGTTATTCTCATAAGAAGTATAATAAGATTTGAATTTTTTAAATCTTATTAAGAAGTATAAATCTTCTACACTAAATATTTTGAGTAAAGTCACTAGTAAAAATTCAAAGACTCCAAAATTAAAAACTCCCTAATAAGCTATCATAGAGTATATGGAAACGATTAAAAAATATATCAGAGTAAACAACATCCATGGTATTAATTTGTACTTTTAAAAATAAATTAAATGTTTTAACAAACAATTATTAAAAAAATAATCAATTATTTATTACAAATTCATTATTAATAAGCCATAATAACCAATTTATTTAATTAGCTCTTACAAATAAAATGTAGAAAATCTTAAAATAAGAGAAAGAAGCTCTGATATCTCCCATTCAACAATTTTCTTTGCAAAGTAAGTATATAGGTAGGTAGGTAGGTAGGTACCTTAATATTTTTTTAAAAATTATTAGATTCCCTTTTTGATGGTTTTTTATACTATATTGTTTGATCTACTTAACAAATTGATATTTAAATTATTTATTGAGAATTATCTTTTTTTTACTTTTTTGATTTCTTTATTATAAATTAGTAACAAACTAATCTTATTTTTTTTGAAATTGGAGTTTTTAGTAAAAGATCAAATCCTATTCTCTGATTTATGGTTATTCATAATTCTTTTTAGAAAGTATTTTTTGAGCCTACTTCTGATAAGAAATTTAAGTCACGATTTAGATACTATTAAAAGTAATTAATTTTAAAAATAATAAGAAATAATTTTTTTTGTATTAGTAATATTTTTTATTTTTTTCATTAAATATAAAAAGCTTAGTTGCAACTTAAATATTTTATTTTTTTTAAATTGGAGTTTTGAGTAAAAAGATCAAATAAATACTCTTCTCTGATTTATGGTTATTCGTAATTCTTTTTCAAAATTAATTTTTGAACCTGTTTCTGATAAGAAATCAAATCCATGGTTTAGATATTATTTAAAGTTATTGATTGTAAAAATATTAAGATATTAATATTTTTACATGTTTTTAATAAAGAGAAAACTAAAAATAAATAAATTATTTTCAAAAAAATGAAAGAAAATTATTATTATTATTTTTTTTCAAAGTTAGCCAATTCAACTTAAATATATTATTTTAGATTATCCATAATTACTTAATAGAGTTAAGAATATTAATTTAATTGAATATTATTTCAAAATAAATTGAAAAATCCTTTAAATTTTTTTAATTTTATAGCATCATTTTATTTTTAATTTCAGTTAATTCATTTAAACTTTTAAAAATATAAATAAATATTTTATTTTTTTTGATGTAAAATAACAAAAATTAAACAAACAAACATCTAAAGTTTATTTACATAAAAAATAAATGAATTTGAATTAAATTTTCAAAATGTGTTTATTTATTTTCTTACTAATCTTTTAATCTTTTATACTTTTTTGATCAAATTCTGCTCTCCTTTAATTTTATTGTAGCTTTTCATGTTTTTAAATTAGTTTTTTTTAAAAAAAATAAAATAATAATTAATTAAAAATAAAATGATTATTTATTAATAATTTATGAAGTTAAAAGAGATAAAAAATATTTTTATTTCAAATAATAATTTTTAGCTAAAGATTTAGATAATTCTTTCTTTAATGAATGTTTGTTTGCTTCCATTAACTATGAAGTTTTTTTTATAGCAGATAATTTATAAACTTAAAAATTGAGAATTTATTATATTAAAAACTACTTTTATTAAAGGTAGAGTGCCAAAATCTAAAGATTATTGCATTATTTTAAACCTTAACCTAAGTCTGATATACCTTGAGATCCAATATTATTTTCACTATTATTTAATTGTTATATGAGTAATTATTTTATTATCTTCAAAAATAAATAAACTATTAATTTAAAAATTTATTGTTTTTATTATTTTATTTCATTAACTATTAAAGAATTAGTAAAATTTTTTGTAATATATGAAAAGGGATCTATCTTTTAAAAATTAATTTGTTCAAGTAAAAATTGTTTGTTGATTATATTTTTTGCAAATTAATTGATTTAAAATAAAGAAAATTATTTTTTAAGCTTTTGTATTTATAAGCTTTTAATTATTAAAGAAAGCACTTATTTTATAAAATTAAATTTTAATTTCTGGCTTATTTATTATTTCAAAATAAATATTCCTTTTTTATTTAAGAAAGTGGCATTTTAATTTTATTAGAAAAACAAAAAATTTGAAAATTAAATGTTTTAAAAATAAATATTATCAATATAATAGTGATGCTCAATACTATCTTTGTTAAACAAGATACTTACTTAGTTATTAATTAATGAAAAAATAATAACGTATGAGTTAGTTACCTTAAGTTGAGAACTAGCATTTTGAGATTAGCAAATCTAGATAAAGAAAAACCTAAGCCCAAAGCACCCTCATCCTTTATTTTATTATGTCTGAAATAAAAATATTTTAATTTTTTATGAAAATAATTATATTAAATAATGCTACTAAAAATGGAGCATCAAAGTAGTGAGTTTGCTGCTTTTTGCTAAAGAATTACCAAAGTCTATGGCACCTTATGGTCCAATTTTATTATACCTTTAACCAGAATAAAAGACTAAATTAAAATTTTTATAAAACTAAATAAAAGATAAAATTTAATGAAAATAAATTAAATTAGTAAATAAATATCCTAATTATACATACCCTAAAGAAATTGTTAAATTTTATAGATTTGTGCAGTTTGATAAAGCTAATCCTAATCCAGAAGCTCCTTAAGTACCAATATTATTGTACCTACAATATAATTTATTATTTATTTCAATAATGTAAAGTCATTTTATTAATTTTTAAAAATATTTTTCTAAATAAAGAATAATTAATTTTTATTAAAAAAAACTAAAAATGAATGAATAAATGATATTACATCAAAGAAATTATTAAATTAGATAGATTTTTACAGTTTGACAAAGCTGAAATTAATCCTGAAGCGCCTGACGCTCCAATACTATTATGTCTTTTTAGTTGCATCAAAAATAATTTTAATATTAAATTTTTATTAGAATTTGTTTAAAAATATCTTTTTTTAAATAAAAATAATTTAAAATATCAAATTCAATCTAAAATCTAAAATGTTTATTTACTTTAGATCAAGAGATAATGTTTAAATTTTACTGCTATCAATGAAAATGGAACCAAAATTAAAAGCCCCATCATCACCAAAATTATTGTACCTTTTTTAGTGTTTTAAGAAAGAATAATTATAATTCAAATAAAACTACTTTCAACTATTATTTAGAGCTAGCTATAAATTATTTATTTGTTTCAAAATTTAAACTCAAATAAAAATTTATTCCAAAAATATAAATTTACTAGAGCTAAAACTTTAAAAATTAAAGATTTTTGGAGTTTGCTAAAATTTAGGCTAATCCTTATGCGCCTTAAGCTTGGATATTATTGTACCTTGATTATATTAAAAAATTAAATTAAATTCAAACCGAAGCATAATAAAATAGTTTATAAAATGAATAAGCTAAAAAAATTTTTATTTAGATTTAAGGATAAAAAGTTGATTCTAATGAAATTATTGATTGAAGTAAAAAATTAATTTACTATAGAAAAAGTGTCAAATTTTAAAGATTAGAACACTTAGATAAGCTCAAACCTAAATCTTTAGATCCTTCATCACCAATTTAATTACTACTTTTATTTTAATAATTCCCATGTTAATATAATATTAAGAATAAATCGAATATAAGTAAACAAATTTCAATCTTAAATTTCAAATTGCATCTATTTGTTTTTTATGAAGATAAACAAATATTTAAAAATTAAAATTAATGTATTTTTTTGTGAATATAACTTAAATAATTCATTTACCCTAAAGAAATTACAAGAGTTGAAAGAAAAGGACAATTTGTCAAAGCTGATGCCAATTAGGATGTACCTTCATCACCAGTATTATTTTACCTTTAAATAATGATATAAATAACTTTATTTAATTTTCTTCTGAAGATTCTAAAACTTAATTTTATTTATTGAAGTAAAAGTAGTCAGTTACTATAAGAAGAGAGTCAAATTAGATAGATTAATGCAGCTTTAAATACCAAGGCATAGATCTTTAATACCTTCTACTCCTATTTTATTACCACTATTTATTAAATTATTAAATTAATTTACAATTATAATATTGGTTATTTAATCTTCTATTTAATTTAGTTCTATCAAAATAAAACACACTTAGATCTTAAATAAATAAATAAATAAAATTTGTCAGACACTAATTGAATTTATAATTATATTAGAAAAAAATTATATATCAAACTAAAATATTTAAATAGAAATTATAGTTTAAATATTTTGCTAATAAAGTACTAATTAAATATTTTGAGTTAGATAGTTTTAATTAAATAAATAAATGATTGAAGAGATTATGTCTGTAGTATTAAAAATAATTTATATATTTTTTGCCTTAAGTCGATATAGAGAATTTTGTGGCATGATAAATTAGAGTTTAGAAACTTTTATTATTAAAAATTGTTAATAAATAAAAGAGCTTTTAATAAATATTAGTTTACATCTTCTAAATTGTAATATTCAGAATTTTATTATATCATTTATTTTTTTTTTTTTCTAAATGTTTTTACTATTTATTTATTTGTTATATTTAATAATAAAAGCTAAAAATTATATCTAAAATTTCTTTAAAAGAAAGAAAAATCTAGAATTAAACTTCTAAACCCATTAATAATTTATAAAGAATAATATTTTTATTACAATGTAAGGTCAAGTCTTAATGCAATATTTATCTTTTTTACATGCAAAAATTAGTTTGTAAATCTCAAAACATCATAAAAAAAGCTATTCAAAAAGTTTTTTGTAAATCAAGAAAAAATATCTTTAGTATTTCATTTGATTTTTATAAGATAAAAATATGTATGATATACGGAACCTTCTGTATCCTAGTGTCTCAATTTTTCAACTTTTTTTTAATCCAATAAAAATTTAAAAAATGAAGGTAATATCTTCAAAAAAAGAAATTATTTTTGATTAATAAATTAAAATATAAATATTAAAACATATATAAAATAATAAATTTAAAAATATTATAAAATTATATGTTTGTTTGATATAAATTAACATATAAATGTATCAATCAATTTGTTTCTGTTCTTTCTTACTTTGATTTAAATATTTTTAATTTTTAAGTAATTATTAGTAATTATTTGCTTTTTTTTAATTAAATGTTCAATAAAAATAATAATTTAATTAAGATAGGTACTACGAAATATTCCCTTATTCTCAAAAATGCTTTAGCAACATTAAATTATTTTGTTTACTTTTTGTTAAAAAATTTTATATAAAAATAGCATACTTTAGTAAATTATTTATTTATTGGCTTAAAAGTTGCGATCAGTTTTCTATCAAATGTTTGTTTATTTTTTTAAATAATTTAACAAATAAGTCTTTTATTGATAATTTGATTTTTTTTTCTTATGGAAAACAGCATGAAATAAATGTTAAAATTAGACTAATTTATTTTATAAAAATTAATATTTATCATAAATTAAAAAAAAATAAGACAAATTCATAAAATAAATGCTAGAGGAGTACTCAAAATTTTACTGCTTATAAGATGTAAACAAACATAAACCTAAATACATATTTACAATTTCTATAAAATAATTTTTATAATTAAAGTTGCTTAAATATCATAAAGATGAGAAAAATTTGGAAGTCAATTTGGCGTAAAAAGAAATTTTGAATTTACATTATTTTTTCTGTCTCCATTTACTAAAATGATGTTAAGCTAATTAATACCTTTATAAAAAGTTCAAATGGACTTAGTCAGTAGGAAGCTAAGGAGCTTGGATCAATTTTATAAAAATCATAACAATTAACTAATTTAAAGCTATACTTAAGGTAAAATTATAGTTTATAAAAATATTTGATTATGACATATTTAATATAAATAACATAAAGGTTTATATTTGTTAATATTTTGATAATTTCTAAAAGCTAATTATTTTTTAAGTAAAAATAGTTTTGGAGATGAAGGAACATAATTTATAGCAAATTCATTGACATGTATTAAATATCTTGTTAAATTAGAGTTCTATTTATAGTAATAATTCATCTTTAAATCAGCCATTTTCATTTGTTATTAAAATTAACTTAGTGCAAACAATATAACTTTCTAAGGAGCAGCTAAAATAGGAGTAGAACTAACAATGTGCAAGAATTTAACAAGTCTATATCTTGATTTGAGGTAGCATTACTATTTATATCATTATAAAAAATAAATTAACTAGCTTTTATTTGTGAAAGCTATAACAAAATAAATGATGATGGATCTTGTTCCTTAGGAAAGGGCATAGAAAACTGTAAAAATATCAACGAATTGATGGTTAATTTAAAGTAGTTGTTATATTTATTTATTAATATATCAAAATTATCAATTAACTTATGATTTTTGATTAGTTTTCACCTTATAATAAAAGGTTCAATAACATTAGCTCATTCGGTGTAAATTAATTTGGTAAGAACCTATCAAAAATACAAAACATGGAAAGTCTAAAACTTATATTAAGGTATATTTTTACATTTTAATAAGGCGAAAATTAAAATTATTTTATTTAATAATATTATGAATAAAATAGCTAAAATAATATTGACCATTCATGTAATTTAGGAGACAGCTTATCTAATCTTAATAAACTTAAAACATTATCACTTGATTTGAGGTATAAATTTTGTTTAGATTTTTAATATTTTTTCTTACTAACATAAATTCTTTATTCACGTGAATGTGAATATATGCTGAAATTTCTTAATTTTATTTTTTCATTTACTGTAATAAAATTTGATATATGGTATTTATTAATTTTGATTTTAATGGTTATTAATTCTACTAGTAAGTACATTGATAATCAAAAAATTATCTTATTCAATTTAAAGAAGCTGATTACATTTTCTTATATTATAAAAATGCTATTCCATTTACACTTAACATAAAATATTTTTATAGCAAAAATAATTTGGGTGATGTAGGATCTTCTAATCTAAGTGAAAACCTTTCAAAGAGTCATTCTATTGAGAGCTTAACACTTAACTTAAGGTAATATTTATATTCAAAGAAACCAATTTTAAGATTATTTTTTGAAAATGAATATTTTAATTTATTGATTTTTAAAATAGTCTAAATCATATCGGCGTTAGTGGTGCATCTTAAATATTCGGTTCTTTATCAAATTTTGAAAAACTTAACAAATTAGATCTATAACTCAGGTTGAATTATTCATTCATATTAAATAAAAGAATATGAAAATATAATTTAAATTAATTATAAAAATTGATAGAGAAAACAACATAAGTAAAATAGATTCTACCCTAGGTTAATCTCTTTCTAAATGCGCTAATCTTACTAAATTCTCTTTAGATTTAAAGTAAATAATTTTTAAAATTAATGATTAAATGTCTAAAAATCTAAAATATTTTATCATTTTCTTAATAATTTAATTATTTAATTTTAAAAAGTTAAAACTCTTTTGGAGCTGAAGATGTATTTTTTTTAGGAAATGCTTTCAAACAAAAAGAAATTAAGACTTTAACATTAGAATTGAAGTAATATTTGATTTTTCGTATGAACAAAATAATTTATGCATATAATTATAAAAGGAATAATCCGATTAATTCACATGAAGTTACTTAATTAGGCTTGGGATTAGCGAATTGCAGAAACATTTTAAACTTAACTCTATTTTTAAAGTAAAAAAAGTTTTGCGAATAAATCTATTTTATTTTTTAATTATTAAAATCTAATATTTATTCTATTAAAAGTTAAAGCTCCTAGAATTTAGATTTTGCAAATTTAGTTAATGATTTATCGAAATGTGCTCATTTCAATTCTTTATAGCTCTATTTATCGTAAATTCTTTAATCTAAATAAATAAAATTAAAATTTTAAAATAAATCTTAGCTTTTATAAAGTTAGTAGTAATGTTAGATAAAAATTTCTCAGAAAATCAATTAGATTAGTTAACCTAGATGTTTAGCTATGATAATATATTTAAAAATTACCACTTAAATTTATATTCATTATGTATTTTTAATTTATATTTTACAAGTATTTATTATTATTAAATTATTTTAAAGCTTATATTCTGTCAATTTTATTCATTATAAATAGTTTATTTATATTTTTTATATAAAAAAATTATTGGTAAATATTTTAAACTACTCTAAATTATTTATTCAAATTAAAGCAATTATTAAAAAATAAAATTAATTTTAGTTGGTTTTTGAAATAGATGCTTTGATTATAAATATTTGCATATAGAAGAAAAAAGAGACTTTTCTTAGATCTTATCAGAAAATGATAAGATTCAAAAAAAAATTTTCTTTTCAATCAAGTTTTTATTAATTTTTGATTGATTGATTAAAATATATCTTATTGATAAATAGAGTTGAGAAATGAAATATAAAATAGATTTAAGAATAAATGAATAACTAAATATAGAGAGACATATTTTATTTACATGAAATTTATTAATATTTAACTCACTCTCCGATGAGTTTAACTTTGTGTAAAGAGAGCCAGTGATCATCCTTACTATTTTTTCTGATGACAATAGTTACTTGATTTTCTTTAATTTAAATTTTTGATTTGTTAAAATCAATTTTGTTTGATGCTCTAGGAACGGAAAAGAGATAATTCTTTCCTTTGAATTCGTGAATTTTTAATTCAAAGCTGGTTTCTAAGAATCTGCATTGAATTTTGCTGATGTCATGATTTTAAATTCCAGGTAAGTCAATGTTAACCCTATTTATTTATTTATAAAAAACTTCTAAGTAAAAAATATCTATTTTATTTTCTCGTTGTTTTTTGAAGATTAAAGCTAGTTAATTTATATAAATTCTAATTATTACTTAACGCTCCAATCACCAGATTCGAAGAAGGAGAACTTCTTAAGAGTTTCGTAGTAAATCTTTTTCTCTTCACTAACGAGAAGGGGTTTGGGGGCGTCTATTATTTTTATTTTATAAATTTTGTTAATAATTTTCTTCTTAATATTTGATTTTTTTTAAAGAAGAATTATTTACCACAAATAAGGAAAATATCGCTGCCATCTTCGAAGAAGTTGCTGAAAAGCATATCAAGGTTTGAAAGAGCCTTAGAGCTATTTATTAAAAATAAAAAAAAATAAGTTTTTAATATAGAGTGCTTTGTTATTTAAGACTTACTTTTCGTGAGTCAAAACTTGCATGTAAGTAGGGTTGAGATCACCACGGAATTTAGAAACATTATATAAGAATTGCTTAAGAGTCAAAGTATTTTGATAATTAGCTTCCTACTCAGCTGGTACTTCAAACTTGTAAGTATAATAACCCTTATCATGTAAGTTAGGGTACTTCAAATGCATATAGAACTTCATTTTCTTCAAAGGTAAACTTGCTATTTATTTATTTATTCTTTTTGATGCTTAAAGATATTTTGATTTTTGTTGCAATATTAATTATTTTACAAATAGCTTAATTTTCTATTTTTTCTTAGAAGATTTGCAAAAACACAAATATTAATTAGTTTTTGATAGAATATTAAGAAAAGAGGCTAGTTAGTTGTAGTTGGTTAGTTAGTTAATAAACAAAAAGAATAAATAACAAATTAAACAAATTATTTTAATGCATAGAAACGAGGAATTGTTTTTGATATTTGAAATAATTAAATTTTGATTAATTGATTATTAAACGAATTTATTAGGTCTTGTTTAGTTAGCATAATAATCAAAGAAAATTAAGAAATCTTCTATTTTTCTATTATTCTAGATATTAAAAGATTGATCGATCAATTTTTAATTAAATTTGATTTTTTTATTGTTAATTTCTTTATCAAATAAATCTTCATTCATAATTAAAAAAATTCTGAAATATTCTTTGTTTCTTACTTAATTCATTCATTCATTTATTAATTTAATTAAATTAATATCATCAATTGTTTTAAACCTTTAATAATTTTTAATTAATTTCCATTTCCTTGATAGCTAACTCACTAACTAACTAAATCAATCAATCAATTAATTAATTAAATAATTAAAAAAGATATTTATTCATCACATATAATAAATTACATAGATATTTTATAGACAACCAGTTTGATTGATATAAATCCGCATAGATAGCAAAGTTAATTATTAAATAATAAAAAATTCAAAACAAATATATTAATTAATAATCTAAAAGCAAAAGATATAAATAATAAAAATGACCTCCGTCTTCAAGAGATTAGTTCCCACCTTCAACAGAATCCTCGTTAAGAAGTTCGAAGCTGAAACCAAGACTAGAACTGGTATCATCCTCTAAGACCCTGCTGATAAGACTGCCTATGGTGAAATTGTTTCTGCTGGTCCTGGTAATTAATTATCATTAGAATTTAGTTTTATAACAACAAACAAATATAGCACTTAAGAAACTTAAGAAGCAGCAAAATATGAATCAAACTCAAGATTAAATCAATATCATTTTTAATTATTAACATTTTAATATAATAGGTAACTTTGACAACAATGGTAAGGTTATTCCTTTGGGCGTTAAAGTTGGTGATATAGTTGTCTTACCCGACTACGGTGGTTCCAAGATTAATTTAAAGGATGGTGAATTCTTTGTTTACAGAGATACTGATATCCTCGGTGTTCTCCACAAGAATTGATTTTCTTCAAATATACAAAGAAATTATTTTAAATCTAAATAGTTGATTAAAATATTAAAAAGTTCTTAAATATATTCTTTAATTGCATGCATATTAACTATTTATTTGTATTCGTATCAATCACCATTAGCGTTTTATTTTAATGATATCAACTACAACAAATCAATCAATTAATAATTCATTTTGATCTTTTTCTGTTTTCATTCAAGCAATAAGCTTACTAAAACAATTTAGGACAATTCAAAAATAAAATAGATTAAAAAGCCATCTCTTTTTTAAAATAAGAATCAAAATTATAAGTAGAATCTTGTTTTTCTTTAATTTCTTCTACATATTTGACTTAAATAATCTTCAAACGGTTAAATATTATTATATCTGTCTTCTTTAAAATAAATATCTAGATTTTTCTCGAAAATTTCATCTTCATTTATATCCATTTTTACATAAAACATAGGTATTCATATGCTAAATATTACTTTCGATAGAAATGCACATTCATCCAATTATTCTAATCGAATGAAATATTTTATCTTGTATCTATAACTCAAGCTTCTAAGTGGAAGTCAATCAATCATAGTTAGTCTTAATTTATCAAAAAAGCATTATTTAAAAGAAATTTCTATAGAAAATATTTATAATCATCAAAATCTTCCAAATAAAAGAATGATATGTAAGATTCTAGCAAGTCAGTCCTGATTAATTACATTTATTTTTTTTATTTTAAATTACTTATTTTACTTTAGTTACACATTCAATTAACAAACCAACCAGCATTATATTATATAGTAGTATTTAAACAAACTAAATTTTCATTGAATGATAAGGCTTTTTGCAAAAAAATCTTCCAAATAAATTCTAATAAATGAGACACTTTTTATAAATAAATAAAATCTCAATTTTTAATGATTTTCTTTCCACATTTTAACAAAATAAATTTTTAATTAAAATATTTTATTGAATTAACTCACTTTAAATATTTTAGTTTATAAAAAACAAACAAACAAAAAATAGAATATAATTTAATGTTTAGTTATTATTTTAATCTTGGATTTTTAATGATTAATTTCTAGAAAATTAAATGTTTATCAATAGATTACAATTAAATTTATCTTATAATTTTATTTTTTGATTTTCTTACCACATTTTAACAAAATAAATTTTTAATTAAAATATTTTATTGAATTAACTCACTTTAAATATTTTAGTTTATAAAAAACAAACAAACAAAAAATAGAAATATAATTTAATGCTTAGTTATTATTTTAATCTTGGATTTTTAATGATTAATTTCTAGAAAATTAAATGTTTATCAATAGATTATAATTAAATTAATCTTATTATTTTATATTTTCAAAATTATTCTTTATTTTATTATATTATTTATTCAATTCTTTCTATCTTAGACTAATGAGACCAAAAATGAGTAAAGCATAGGATTCTATTCTTATGAATATATAAATCTCTTTCCGATTTCTAACTTACTCATACTACCATTAAATGACGATGCAAATAAGTTATCAATGATAGGGTCAATTTTCTTTTAATCTTCACAAGTTTAAAGGAAACTGGTATAAAATATTTTCTTAATTTCATCTTTATCAATTTCTTAGCTATCGTCCTCGTCTATAAAATCTAAAAGTAAGATAAACTTTTGCTCAGAATAGCCTTCCTATTTGAATAATTGATTGGTTTTGTTGAATTAAATGTCATGGATAATTAATTAATTTACTTGAAGTATTTTGCAAAGACTATAAAAGTTTTTAAAGGTGACCTTTTATCTGTATCTTTTAAAAACAAGGAAAGCAATTCTATTTAAAAATAATTTTTCCTCTATATTGAACTCTGTCATGTTTAAAATTGTCCTGAATTATCTGCTTTCTTACAATATGAATTTTCCTTTAGATTCAGGCTTTTCTTTTAGTTTAAATACCTTTGTAAAATCTATTGTTTCATTAGTACCATCAATTCCGTTATTATCAATGTATTCAGATTTAAACAAATCAAAAATCTCCTTAAGCTACGAAAATTATGGACTTTTCTCATAAGTTGGTAAAACAAAATATTCAAGTTTCCTCCAATTCTCATCTCCTAAGGTCTTGTTTACATTATTTTTTCCTTATTATTGTGATTTAACCTTACTTATCAATTATTTTTATCTGGTTTAACTCTAATTTAAAATATTTATTAAAATTTAAATAAAATGCTAAATTAGCTTTAATTATTAATTAAATGCCTAAAGTTTAATAAAATCATGTTTTCTCTTAAAATGATTTAGAATTTATTCTCTAAAAATTGTTATATTTAAAAATTTTGTTCTTTCATTTTTTAAAATTATTATATTAATTATTTGTTTTTTCTGTCTTATTTTATTCATAAAAAAAGTATTCTTTTAAATCTAATTAATAAAATTTTTCAATTTTACCATTCAAAATTTGTAAATCATTTTTAATAAATTATTTCAATAAAACTATTTAATATACTTTTAATATAAAATATCAAAAGAATAAAATATCTTTAGAAATTTTAGATTTAAATAAATAAACAAAAAAATCTAAATAAAAAAATTTACTTCTAATCTATTTTCTTCTAAAAGGTAACTATTTTCACCATTTATATGTAATATGTTGTATTTTGAATAGAGTTGCTAATCTTCATGTTTTATATTTAGAAGGTGTATTTGATGGTCATTTTTTTGAATAAAGTTATGGTATTCGTCAAAACAAGATTTACAGAAGGTTAAATCGCATTCTATGCATTCGAAAACAGATAATTTTTTACCACATTCATTGCATATCATGATTGTTCCTACATTTAAGCTTTCAATTTATTTCATTCTTTGAATGAGCAACTCTCTTTCAATTTTAATATAAGTACTTCTAAAAACTCCAAATTCCTTTAATTCATACTCAGATTTTGCCTTAAAGAGATTACTTTTACCAATTTGACTTTGATTACCATTCAATTTTTAATCCTTATTCAGTCTCTTTTGTATTGCTTCTGGAGGACATGCCTCTTTATAGTATTTAACTTCATCCTATAAATCTAATAAAGCTTCATCTTTTTCAGCTATTTTATCTTCATATCTTTTTTTAATCTGATTTATTTCAATTTTTTTCTTTTTATCTTCTTCATCTTTTATTTTCTTATGATTTTGAAGTAATTTTTCATCTTACCTTTTTAATAAAATAAATTAAAATTAAAATGGAATTAATTAAAAGAAAATATTATCAAAAATAAATAAATAAATAAATAAATAAATAAATACTCTTTTTGGATTTATTCTAAGTAAGCCCATCTCTCTTCTTCTCTCATAATCCATTCTGGCTTATCTTAAATAAGCTCTTGGAATATATACTTCAATATTACTATGGCAATACCAAGACAAATATATAACCAAACTTTAATGGTTTAGAATTCTGATGTACTATATTAATTAGGATCCAAAAATAAATCTATCAGTTTCTAATCTTTATAGTAGAGCAAGCCTATATTTGTAATCTTTAATTTTAAAATTATTGATTATTTTTTTTTTTAAATTATAGTTGATTTATACAGGGATTTAATTTTAAAAAATAAAATAAATATCAAAAAACATTTTTAATATAAATGAATTAAAGAATGTTTTTTGAAAAAGTCTTGGAGAGAACTCCTCACCCCATTTTTTATCTTTCAAAGATAGATTGAATTAATAATTTATTAGTAAATTATTAAATCAGATAAAAATTTAAAATTGTAATACTAAAAATAAAAAAATGCTAATTTATCAAAATTTAAATTTAAAATGTTTGATAAGATATATTTTGATAAAATAAAGAAATTTGAATTTATAATCATACCACTGAGACGAATGAAAATGTTTCCCAAATAAAGAGCCAATCACCAATTCCAGCACATCTTTAACATGTAGGACGCTTGAGGATATACATAAATACATTTAATTTATTTCTAATTTCTAAAGAATTCATGATTAATGCAACGAAAGGACCTATTGGGAACGCTGAAGCAAATAAAGTAATATAGCCTAAATCAATAAACCCATCAGCATAGAAATTAACGGTATCTAAGAATTCTTGCCTTAGAGAATTTAACTCGATTGAATCTACGTCAATGTATTTAATTAATTTAATTGTAGGATTAGGATCGTTTTTATCACCTTTTACTTCTTCACCTTCCTGCAAAGAAATGACTGCTCTTGAAAGGTTTTTCATATCTTCTTTTGAAATATCGTTCCAGTATTGCTCAATTATATCCTAATTTTCTTTTCTTTTTTCTGGCATAACTTAACCTTAAATATTTTCGTGATCCATAATTTTTTTGTTTACTTGCTTAAAATAATTCTTTTCTGCTCTATTATACAAGAAAATAGGTAGCCACACATTTAATATGGTGTAATTAATCTTTTTTGATTTAATAAATAAATAAATAAATAATTTATCAATTTTATTTTTATATTTATTTACTTATTTGATGAGCATAATTGGTAGGAGCATATAAAAAAGAGTCTAAAAATTAGAATCTTTTTAAATATAAGCAATGTAAAATAGTGCAAAATAACTATTCAGTACTTTAAATGACATAAGCTTATAAATAATTGATCTTTCATATTGGAAAATATATTTATGATTTTCTTATTGAGCAAAATATCTTGCCAAATATGTATAAATAAAGTTTAAAACTTAAATTCCAACACCTTGTAAAGCACCGGCTATAGCTTTGTACAAATTATTTTAAAAATCTGTTGAATCAGGAGATGTGTATTTTTGTTTAAAATCATCGATAGCAATAAATATATAGACAACCAAAGCCATTAAGCCAAACAAAATAGGCATTGAGATTAAAAATTTAATTATCTAAGTGTTTATTTATAATGAAAATTAAATTTAAATATATTCTTTAAAAATCTACTTACTGTTCTTGATTTCTTTTAGTATTTAGTTAAACCTCCTGTGACAGTAGATATGCATTCATCACCAATAAAATCTTCTTTTAGAGTTTTATTTAGAATGTCAGGATTGTTCATCATATCCAAAGTACCCCATCTATAATTTATTTCAGATGTTTTTCTTTTCCAAAACTCGACAATAATAGTTGACCAAATCATAACATAAAGTACATAAAAAGAAACTAAATAGTTATTGTAGTCGTCAGAATCTTGTAGTATTACATAAATTTAAAGGGCTAGACCAGGAACAGCAATTAAAGTCATAAAGCAGGTGATAAAACTTTTCCATCCAAAAAAGAAAGCTATTTTTTCTCCAAAGTATTGTCTTAGAAGCGTTACCGAAGTAAAGTTTTAAGTTTTGTCTTCAAGCAAATAGTCATCCATCTAATTTAAAGGCTGAGGCCAGTACCAATTAGTGTCATCAACCCATTAGTGTTTAATTCTAGATATACCTAAAATATTAAGATTAAAATTATTATAGACACTTTGACCTTCATTAAATTGATTGATTATTTGATTTACCTCCATATGTGTGCATTTTATAATATTATGTTATTAATCCTTGAGATTTTAAGTCTTAAAGGTTTATAATTTTATTGAGTTGCATTTCTATAATTTCTTGTCTCTGCTTTGAACGAAAAGGCTCAAATTTTGTAACTTGATCCAAGCTATATGGTTCATAATCATATGAGTCTATTAGTTTCATTTGCATCTGTTTTGTTAATAAAATGTAGAAAAAATTTTTTTTTAAATTATTGTAAAAATCACCAATTTATATTAAATAAAATAATGTTTAAAGTGATTTTAATAAAAAAATACTTTATTTTCTTTACAAGCCTGTTACAAATATCTTTCTGGCATTCCTATTAATAAATAATATCTGTCAGGATAGACGGACTCTAAGAGATAAACATTAAACTTTGATCTTCTCAAAATACCAATTTAGAAGTTCATTCTATTTTAGTTATTTTTGGCTTTTTAAGGATCTGATCCTAATGAGAAAACAATTACAAAATCTGGTAAAAAGAGCTTAGTGCCATATGCAAATAGATCTTTCTCTCTTTTTTTATTAGCATTATCAATTTAATCTTCTACAATTACTTTATATTTTTTAATCGTTTGCTGAAGCTATTTATTCATGTTTTTAAGCTGAAGGGATAAACCTTAATTTTTTTCTAAAGCTTAGTAATAAATTTGCCTAATAGTTTAAAACTATACTAATTCTCTTGGTCTCCACCCCTCTTTGTTACCAGTTTCCATATCTGCTCCACAATTAAGAAGTTTTACAACTCCTTCATCAAATCCGTTAATAGAAGCTAGATGCAAAGCTGTATTTCCAAAGGCATCTTTCCTTTTAATTAATTTAAAATAAAATTATCAATAATACAATTTACAAAAAAACTATTATTTACTAATCAATATATGTATATTTTGTTTCATCCTACTCATACTTACGGTAGCTCATTATAAATTCATGTTCCCACTAGGCAAATTTTTTTATTTAATTAACAAACGAAGGTTTGTATAAACGATCTTCTTCTGGAATCATTTAAAGCACAGAATTTTAGTATTTAGAGAAGAAAAACTCTTATGGTAATCTTTTTTCATACTCTCTTTTTATCCAATCCTTTAGTTCCCTAATATTTTGATATCTAATATTATCAGCAAGAATATTTAAAGCATCTAAATTTTTATTCTTTGCAGCTGCATGTAAAGGTGTCATTAATGATTAATGAGGTCTAATTAATTAAAAGAAATAAAATTAATAATATATTGAAATAAATTAGTTTGTTTATATTTACAGCCTTGCCATTACGTAGATTTAAGTGAAACCAAAAGCAGCAGTGATAAATGCTTTAGACTTTTATCCCGGATAATAGGCTGCCCAGTACAAAAAGCGAGATTTCAAGAGAGGCGACTTCAAATATTTAACTCTTTACTGTCTCATAAACTTTTAATCAAGATTGCTTTGATAAAATAACATTTCATCTTCTAAGAGAATTTAATTTTGTTGAATTTTCTCTACTTCTTTCATATCCTAAACGAGATTTTCAAGCAAAATATTTACAGCATCTTAGTTACCCTATTTTATTTCAAAAAAATAATGTTAAATGAATTTAAACCAAACAAATCACTAAAAATTAATGTTTTATTTACTCTCAAATATTTGTAATTTTATCATAAATCATATTAAATATATAAAATTTTGAATTACTGATATTCCAGCTAAGTCTAGAGGGAAAAGACCTTGCTAATCTGGAAAACACTGGTATGTTTTATTAAATTAGTAGTTTTAATTTAAATTGAGTGGTTGCAATAAAGGAGTCTGGATTTTTAAATCCTTACTTTAGAAAGTCAAAAGAAGCTAAATACTTTTGTCATCACCATAATGAGCAGACCAATGTAGGGCAGACCAAAGTGTTCTGGGGTTACGATGATTAACATCTGCACCAGCTTCTAAAAGTAGTTTAAGACATTCATACCTATAGTTAACTTCATCATCAAATTATTGTATACAACATAAGATTAGAGGAGAATTCCCAAAATTATCTAATTGATTTATATATTCTTAAAGAGCTTAATCTGGTGACAATTCTATAACATCAAATTATTATTATTGTTATTTCTATTATTTCAAATATTCTAATTCTTTAAGTTTTTTATATTAAACTAACAAATCTTAGATCATTTCCACATTCTATTTGAGACACTACCTATGAAGTATATTTCTACCAACCTAATTAGTTAAAGTAAAATCATCATCTTAATAGTCTTATTTCTATTTATTTGATTTCTTATTGTTTTTTTTCAAGGGTTTACTCTTTGTATTTGTTGAGTCTTTTTTTTGTTTTAAACTTTTTTTACTTTATTCTTTCTTCAAAACTAGCTCTTAAACTCCTTAATCATGACTTTATTTTTCTTTTTCAATGCTTTATTTTTAATCTGAGTCTAATTTAAGTTCAGGTGGCATACTAAAGTCTTTTTTTAAATCATTTTGTTCAGGTGTACCAAATAAACTATTTTCATCACCACTATCTTTATCGCTATCACTATTTGCTTCGCTATCAATAAAACTCTCTGACATTTTTGAATCAATTGAATCTCTTCTAATATCTTTATGTGGAGAACTTATACCCTTTTGTATAAGAATTTGCTCTTGTTGTTTCATGACATCAATATATTCTTATGAATTAGCTTAATAATTAGCATTTATTTACTAATCTTATTGATTTTAAATTATAGAAGCTGCAGAATTAGAGTCGGACTTGATTGAAGATTGCTATTTAAGAATATTTTATCTTTCATCGTCATGATCTTTTTAGCTTTATTAAGCAAACTAAGAAACTTTTTTATTTTATGGAACTACAGAAGACTTTTTCATTAAATATTTTTGATCTAAACCTGAGCGTATTGTAATGTTATATAATATAAAAATTATTGAGGATAAATTCTAAAATTCTAGGAAGCCTTTGAGTTTTACAAAATTGCTATTCCTAACTCTTAAAAGGATTTTGATAAAACTTTTAAAAAAATCTTTGACTGTTTAATTGTTTATGGTTTTTGAATGAAAAATTAAGTTAAACTTTAACTTATATATTAAATATTGAAAGATAGTAGGGTTAATGTACTTTTATCAGAACTAAAAACATAATCAATTAATTAATTCTAAATAAGAAGGTATTAATACGGTAATACTTTATTGAGATATTATAAATCTATTAAGAAAATGTTTCAAAAAAATTTATCTATATTTTTGATTAATTTATATCAATAATAAACAAACAAACAATCATGCAAAAAAAAATTAAATTAAATTAATTATTCAGATAATAAAAAAAACATAACAATAATAAATATATTTACAAGTACTTTAATTAATTATTAGTTAATAATAAATATATATAACTTCAATCAATTCTTTATTTAAGTATTTCAATAAATCTAATAAATCAATCAAGTCAATAATTACCTAGTAAAATTAGCAAAATATGAGTAGTTATACAGTAGCTGGATCAGCTGATAATGAAGATACAGCATTTGTAAAATATAAAAATTGTTCCTCAATTCATTATTAAAAAACAAAAAAGAAAAACAATAAAGTTTATAAAATCAAATAGCATGGACTGATAATTTCTTAATTACTCTTATGGATAATCTAATGACATTAAATTTAATTTATTTTTTTATTAAACTAGTGCGAAACCATAGCTAATGAAATTAAGAAGTTTTACAAAAATATAGATTTTAGAATAATTATTAAGCACCCTAAAGAATGGGAAGAATATATCCATGAAGTATATCATTTACTTTTGTATTTTGAACTAAACATTTAAGAAAATATTCTTCTTCAATAATTATAGATATTATGATTTAAAAATATATGTTTTCTTTGTTTAATCATTCCAATATAAATATAAAATAAAGATATGCAGAACTTATGGATTTAAGAGAAAAATAAATCCTATTATCTTTACTTTAGATGGTAAATTAATTGGCGGAATCGATCAGTTTAAAGAAATGGCTGAATATAAATTTGGTATTGATACTACCTCTCTTAAGAGTGTTATCACAACTAAGGTGAGAACTTATCTTTATTATTTTAAATGAGTCTTTTAACAGACAGAGAGATAAAGGAATTAAAAACACAAAATATTAATAAAGTTTTTATGAAATCTTAAACATATCATTTTTATTAGATAAATATGAACCAAGTAGAAAAAGAAGTAGCAGCAAAGAAAAAACTTAAAAAGGGTAAAAGAACTCTTCAAGAAAAAATTTAAGACTCTCTTAAGTAAAAATATGAAGATTCTACACTTCATCCAGTAAAGGGAATTTTCTTATCAGATATAAATGAAGGTCTTTAGGTATCAATCAAAAATTGAGGATTTAATTTTTTTAAATAGATCTGTTAATTATTAAATATAGTTTTATGTCAAATACGAAGAGAGATTGTGCCCTGAAGTTAAGATAGATCCTGAATAAATTTCTCATGTTATCAAAGAAGAAATTCACCCAGGTATATATTTTTGGCAAATTACAAATCAATATGAATATTTCTTTGTTAATCAATAGCTGTTGTCGATATTTAGCAAATAGCAGCTAATGATAATTATCCTCCAGAGGTAAATGAAGAAGAAGTAGAAAAGAGCTTAGCTGGTTCAAAAAAACATTAAACAGACAATTCGTAGATTGGTATCACTCCTAGAGATATAAAGACTATTAATACTCCTCGAGATATTAAATCCAGAGAAACTGAAGCAGTAAAAACTAAATCTGATTTTGGTGTCAATCCCAATAAAGAAAGCTAAAGTTAAATTGAAGAGTAACCTTAATAGAGTAATGCAGAAATTTAAAACCCTACTCAACAAAATATTCCATCAACTGTCATGGAAGGAGAAGAATAAAACCAACCCTCACTTGTTGATGCTACTTAACCTGCTATATAAGAGACTAATAATTAGATTCAAGAAGAAGTAGTTGAAGTCAAGAAAGAAAAGCAAAATAAAAATGTTATTATTGAAGAAGTAATGAGTGTTGATTCTGAAATTGCACCTGAAATATTTAATCTTGCTCCTTACATTATAAAAAAAGTAATTCAAATTTTTTAATTTAATTTTAAAAATAATCAACTTTTTTATAGATGAAAGACACCAACTATTATCTGTCATTCCATCCCTACCCTTTATTTGATGGTTAGGTCATTTTATTTGAAAAATATCCTAACCTAAACCCTGACGACTATAAGATAGAAAGTAATGTTGAAGAAGCTAAAGTAGAACAAGTTTAAAGTCACTTAAACCAACATAGCAATGTGAGCAACAATCACATTAATAGTAACAATAATCATTAAAACCATGATAGTCGAGTTCACTAAACTCATCACAGTGAAGATTAGTAAAATAATAACAATAGTTAAGGTGCTGATATTCATCATGATGAGCAGCCATCTCAACAGTAAAACTTTAGCGTTGAACAAGAATACATAGAGTATGAATAAACTTCTATTGATATCTTATTTGAGAATAATAAAAAGTTACTCTTAGATCCATAAGCTATAAATGTTATAGATTTTAGTAGAACTTAAAGAGATAGAAAACTAAGAGAGAATGGCAAAAAACAAAGAGAACTTTACAATGAGCAGTAAAAAAAAATATAAGATGGTGCTGATAAAGAGAAAGAGTTAAATGCAGATGATCAAAATAATTAAAATATTGGAAATATTTTAGATGAAGAGGAATTATTAATTGCCCCTATTGATTATGAATTTAAAAGTAGATGCAGCAGAGATTGGATAGACATTAACAAGCCCTTGTCCAAATTAGATTGGAAAATGATCAGCAAAGTTATGAAAAAAATATGCTGCATTATTACATATCAAGTACTCCCATTTGGTTTCAAAACTCATCTACCTCTCTCTACAGGCATAGTGAACCTCTTTTTGAGAAAATTTATGAATTCAATTCATACAAATTAAAGCATTATTCCTCACCTCTCAGATTAATTAAATGAATAAGAGCCTCATATAACAAACCTTCCATTTGAATAATCTATTTTATTTGATAAACCTAAAGCAAGAAAAGTTAAATGCTACCACACAAGTAAGAATATTTTTTATATTTTATCTGCAATTATAATTTATAATATTTAAATATAGTCCCGTCATTGTAATTTGAGCATGCTATCTACTATTTTAAGGATCTAAAAATCAAAAAGAAAAAATTAATTAAAAAGTATAGAAAAATTGTTGATGCTCTATGTGTGCATCCTGAAGGTAAATTTTATTTATATTATGAAATATGCAAGATATATTTAAAATAATAAATAGATAAGCTAAAAATGGGTTTTAACTTAATTATTACTAGACAATTTATGCTTGTTGTTCCATTAAGGAAACCTTACTCTTATTTCAATAACACACCTCTTTTCTTACATCCTTTAGCTTATCTTGGATATCTCCATCTTCCAAAATTGGTTCAAAAGTGGCCTACTACAGCTTACTAAATAGAGGATTTAACTTCCTCATTAGAGAGATTGGCCATCTCAACTAAATCTTATTGAAGGGGCCTAATAATTTATTATTTTATAATTTTTTCTTTCCAACTTGTTAATTCGTAAATGTATTTAGCATATTTTAAAATATAAGTCATATTCTTCTATTTTAATCTATTTAGTACACTAAATAAAATAATATGAATATTGTCATAATTCAGTTTAAACTAATTTTGATTTTATATTATAAATGATGGAGAGTATTTTTTTTGATGATTATTAAATCATCAAATTAATGCATATTTGTTAAATTACATCAATTTATTAATGGATTTTAATCATTATCATGCGATCAAAAAGTAATCAGATTTAAATCATATAAAAAATAGAATTTGGTTAGCTCTATCATAATTTGTTCTATAATCGACTTAATAATTTACTAATATTTATTCATTTATTTAACAAAAATTGATAAATTAGGAGTTTATAGAAAAAATTTATTGATTAAATTATTTTGTTAATGAGTATTTTAGATTCTTCTTTATCAAGTTAAAGCTCTATAATTGTAAATTAGATACCATTATTCGGTTAGCTAGATATTAATGATTCTTAGAATTAGAAAAATGATGAAAATAATGTAGTTGGTTAAGAAGCAGAGCAATCAAAAGATGTTTAATATAATTCATCTTTATTTTAGGATTAATAAACACTATCTGAGGATAAGTTAGCAATTCCTAAATATAAATAACTTTTAAAAAAGAAAGTCAGCAGAAAAAAAGTGAATAAAATGAAAAAAGTTGATTACTCTATAATTAATGTAGCTGATTCATATTTATTTAATTAGATTTTCTAATTTCAAAAACATTACATACTGCCTGGTGGGATTATAATTGAATTAGAATGGTAAAAGGATCAAATAGATCATTAAGTAGTTGGATCACTGAAAACTATAGAACATGTAAATAAATTTAATGATGGAGTTATTTCTATCTATGTAAATAATACAGCAATCGTATCACATTACGAATATGTAATAAGTTTGCTAGAAAGATCATAAGACTAAGACAAATACTATATTTCTAAGCTAATAAGACTATATTAGGCACCAATTAGTCTACTAACTCATCAGATAATATAGATTATAGATAGATATGAAGAAAAATAACTTATTGATATTGTTTAGAAAAGAAAGTAGTTCATTGAATAAAAAGCCTAGGAATTATCTTAAACTTACTTGTAAGGAGATGAATTTACCACGCTTGTTACATTCTAAATTAATTGGGAATAGAAAACTACACAATTAACTAGCTTTTATTTTTCTAAAGCAATATTAGCTTTGCTAGGAACAGTAAATGAGGATTATATTATATATGTAATGAGAAATGGACTTTTTTAAATGTTTAATGGGTATAGCAGAAGAAAAATTATGGAATGCTCTATTAAATATTATATAGATCAACATAGAGTATTTGAAGAAATACCCGATTTTGAGTTGATGACCTTGGATAATATTGTAATTAAGTGTTGCACTTAGTTACATACATTTAGAGTTTAATTCCCAGAAGAGTTGCAGTTTTTTAATGAAAATTAGAGCTAAATAAATGGAATTGAAAGTGTTGTCCTTTTTAAATTTATTTTAACTTAGGAGCATCTAGAAAGAATAATAAAATTAAGATAATAAATTATTGACTAAAACTCTGAAATTTACTCTCAAAATGGCTAATCAGAGGATCAAGAAAGCAAATAAATTGCATAAAACTTTGAATATTATATGTAATCTGAGCTATTTTTGCAAAAATTTTATAATGAAAAATACGAAAGCATAATTAACACAAAAAAAAAATAGCAATAAGTGTGTTCATATAAACCCATTGTTGTATGAAAATTAATTAAGAAAATCAATTTTTAGTTAATATATTTCATATATCAAAAATGAGCATTCAATATAATTTAAAAATTTATATTTTTCGTATAATATCTTTTTATCAAAACCAAATAATTTTAATTAAAATATTAAAAGTTTACTCTAAAATTGGTTTTAAAATTTAATTTTAAGGAAGTTTTCATTTTTGGTTTTTTGAATATTTATTATTGGTTCATCATCTATCTTCAACTAAATATCTATTAAAAAAATATCAGCTAATTGGAATTGATGATGTTATTTATTATATTTAAGTAATTAAAAGACATTATTAGTTTTTTAATTAGAATATCATAATTTTAGATTTCTAATGAAAATAATTGTAGGTAATTGAATATAATATTTTTTTATGAGATTTTTGATATGAATATAATTTATGTATCAATTTGCGAAAATACATTCTTTTTTTTAATATATTTCAATTATTAATGCAATTAATAAATTTCTGGTGAATATTATGTAAAAATCATTTATGTAGGATTAATTACATTTACTTTTTTGTATATGTGAATATTTAATATATTTAGCAATCTAAATTGATTAAAATAATTGATATTAACTAATTCAAACTTTTTCTTACTAATAAATCATAAAGAAGGTAATTTTCTTCAATCACTACAAATAATATGGAAATAGAATTAGTTAATAGAGATTAGCAAATAATATTGTCATAGCCAGAAAATCGTGGTGCATCAAAATTTTTCTAAGGATTTATTGAAATTATTGTAGATAGTAAACGCCATTAAAAATTTGATAAAAAAAATGATTATAGAGATAAATTTGTTGGGATGTGTAATTACAAAAATATAAATAATTTGACAATAGAAAGATGCCTAAAAAGTTAAAGATTATTTCATTTAGGAGGTGGATATTTGATAGAAATTTATAGTTCTGATGAAGAAATTGAAAACTCAGTGTTTAATCACTGCAAAATGGTTTAGCTTAGTTAAAGATATAATGATGGTTCAGTGAAATTTGAAATGGGATGCAATGAAATTACTTTTGATTATGAGAGAATAGCAGAAATACTTTATTCTACTTAGAATAATGAAAATTACACAATTGCTAACAAATTATTGAAAGTAAAGCCTATGATTATGAATTTGAAAAATACTATTGAAAGGTTATTTTTAAAGTAAGAAACCTCATAGATAGAGCAAATAATATGCAAGAGAAAGGAATACTAAGAAATATACAAAAAATAGAGCCTTTAAATGTATGTAAATGACGAAGATTTTTATTAGACGGTTACTTATTGTTTGGATATGAGTTTGTAATCTAATATTTTAACTGATTATACATTTTCCAATCCGATGATTGCATTGAATGGTGTAGAAACAGAAGATTTAATAAATTATGTAATGAAAAACACTCTTTTTTGGATGTTTTCTAAGCATTCTAGAAGAGAGTTTTTACTAAGCTCTCTAGAAATAATAAATTCTTAACTTAATCAAACATTCACTTACTTAAATCCAAATATCAATATACTAACAATTGATGAAATACCACTCACTACTCCTTGCTAAATAACAGCAATTCCTTTAAATTATCCAAGCGATTTGCTATTTAAAGGTGAAGAATTTGATTTGATCAATAAATTTGACTATCTTTTTATCATTAAATATAATATTTCAATAGAAAACATAAAATATGTTATACAAACTAGAGAGGCTAAAATCTCAAACTTAAACATTAAATAAAGCTACATGCATCGTGAATTAGATCAATACATAGCTGAGAATTTCGAAACATACATGTAAAACTTGGTATTTCTTGAGAAATATTATGAAAAATAGATTTAATAAAAAAAATCAAAAAATTAATAAATATTTTAGAAGAAAAGATTACTTTAAACATGCTCATACAAATATATATGAAAAAGTAAGCTGAAAAAACAAGAAATTCGTGTACTTTTAAATAAGTTGTTCTAAAGCTTTAATAATAATTTAAAAATTAAATAAATTGATAAGTATAAAAAGAATTAATAAATAAACTCATCAAAATAATTTAATCTAGAAATTTCAAAAAATACTTTGAGAGCTCATACAAATATAAATTATTTCCCCATTTAAGCACCTCAAAATTAATAATTTAGGAGTTTACTTTAGTAGATTAAGTTAAAATAATTTACTGAAATATTATTTATTTGCAAATATGGAAATGAAATATTATTTATTTGCAAATATGAAAAAAATTAAAGGAAATATTAAACAAAATTTGGTAATATAGAAATGAAATGAAAAAATAATTATCTTATCATCTTTTAAATTATATAAAAATTAGGTTACATACCTATCTTCATTCATTCATCAGTGTTTTTGTTTAATATAATTTACTTTTTATTTAATTATTATTTTATGCGTATTTAATATGGATGTTTGTTTACTGATAAACAAAAATTAACTTTGATTATTGAATGTTATGTTTGTTTTTTTTGAATAAATCTTTATTATTTCTGTAGATCTTGAGGTGGTAAATTAAAAATCGATCGGCTAACTAGAAATTAATTAATAATAAAACAAAAGATTAAAGTTTAAAAAATATGATTTTTTATTTTGAAGAACCTGAAAGCTCTTCTAAACAGAGTTAAGTAGTTTCAATAAATATCGCAGAAGACAACTTTTCATCATAAAACAACAGCGATGAATGTATGTAGACGTATTAATGCAAAAAAAGAAAATAAATTTAAAAAGAAGAAAGTAATGTTTTAAAAAAATATAAACATTAGAATAAAAATATGAAGAAAGTGATTTATGGAATATATCATATTAATTAGTAGTTTTGCCAAGATGATTTTTATAAGAATTGTAATAATTTGTCTATTTAGAAGATGCTTGGTTCATAAAAATTGTTTTTTTTAGCTGGAGATGTATATGTAGAGTTATAAAAGGGAGAAAATGAAAACAAAAAGCAATTCTATAACCAAAGTAGGAATATATTATATGTAGAAAAAACAGAATATGGAATATAAAAAGAATTAGATAGCTTAAACGCTTAAAAGGACTTTAAACCTGTCATATACTACTTAGAAAATTCGTAAGATCTTGATAGCTATAACCTAGCATAGTATTTAAAGATGTAATCCTAATTGTTGAGCATGATAAGTTAATCAATATAAGAAGTTTAAAACTATTATTTGAATGGTATGAGTGACATTGAAGATATAATAATACAAAGAAATATTTATTTAAAAAACATGAGAAAGAAGCTAATTGAAAAATATTCTCACGATGATAAGTTTTTATCGATTTCAACAATAAGTTTATCATTTAAAAAATAGGCTTTTACAATGTCTAATATATTTTTTTCAAACTCTTTAATGGCTCTTTTAGGAGGAGATAATGATACTTCAAATGAATATTTTAAATAAGGAATATCTAACATTTTTACCAGTGAATCAAGGAAAAAAATAATGGAAATAGGGATGAAGGTGTAATAATAAAATTTAGAAGAATTAGAAATTACCACTGAAGATTTTGAGCTTTAGACATTTGATAATTTTAAAATAAGTTCTGAAAGAAAAGCGACAATTATTCCAATTAATTATCCAGCTCATTTATAATTTTAAAATTTTCCTCTACTAAATTAAAAAGAAAAATTTATTGTATCTTATTATGAGTTTAGTTCAGAGAGTATTTAAAACATTCTGCTTAAAAGAGAGAGCTAATTTGAAGACTTACCTTACTGCAAAGTATTTCCTGAAAATTATTAGTATTACAGTTAAGTTAGTACTGATGAGGATTAAAAAAGCAGCTCAGAAAGTTAGAAATTCCTCAAAAAATATTATGAGAAATAATTTAACAAAATCTAAAAATAAAATATTTTAATTTGAAAAATAACTTTTTTTAATTAATTATCGAAAATGGTGTGATTATCAATTTTTTCACTATTGTTTGGTTCTTTGTTTAAAGTTTTACTTAAGCTTTTAATTTATATAAATACCAAATAAATTTTTAAACAAAATTAATAAATTAATTTTTTTATTATTTTATTTATTAAATGTTAAAATTTATTGAATATGATTGATTGAATATTTATTTATATTTTAGCAAATTTTTTTAAAAAATAAAAATTAATTTTTACCAGAAAAGTGATTAGATGGATGGATTTCATTTAAATTTTTTATATTTAACACAAGAATAATTTAAAAAACTAATCAAAATTAGAATGATATTTATAATTGAAATAGAAGCAAACACATTGTTCATTTTATAAGAAAAATTGTTTGAAGAATGTAATTAAAATAAGCTATAATTTTTAATAATAAATTATTATTCATTTAAGTTTTAAGAACATGAAATTTAAATTAGCTAATTCTATAGATTTAAATTTTTTAAATCAAAAGAAATCCTCAAATGTTGAAGAAGAAGAGAGCATTTATCAAGGTTCAAGCTCAAATAGTTCGAGTCAAATATAGAAAAAGTCTCTAATTAAAAATCCTTAAATTTAGAATACATCTTTAAATAAAAATTAAGATATGAAATCAGCAACTTATGGAGTTGTTCCAGCTAATTATTTTTAACAAAAAAAATAATAACTAGATTTCAATACTTAAATTTTAAAATAAATTCCTGACTAGAAGATTTTTTTTTTAGCAGGAGATATTATCGTTGAATTAAAAGGAGCTGATCAACTAGAAAGATGCTGGACATATTCATAATATAGAAATATAGTGTATATGGAGAAATATTCCAAAGGAATATCATTAGAATTAGAAAGCGTTTATCCTTAAAAAGACTTAGCATATATAATATAATGCTTGGAAAGCTTGTAAGACAAAGATAGCTATGAATTCTCAGAATATTTAAAAATACATCAAAGAATCATTCATATGATAAACTGTTAAATGTTAGAAATATAGAAGTTCTACTCGAATGGAGCAGATGATATGCAAATTTTATTTAATAAAAGATCTGCTTACAGAAATGCATAGAGAAAATAAATAATTAGTTAGCGTTGCAGCGATAATTAATTCTAAATGCTTGTGTCTATCAGTCTTTCTTTTTAAAATTCAACAAGCACAGCATCAAATATTTTTATGACGCACCCACTCATTTCTATTTTAGGAATAGAAAGTGAGACTTCAACTTCTCTTAATTATTTAAAATTCGCAATAACTAAAGTTTTTAATAATAACTCAACAAAGCAAGTTATGTTTTCAAGTTAAAAGGCTCACTCATAAAATAAAGCAGCATTTGTAGTAAAAATAGAAAATTTTGAGATTGAATCTTTTGATGAAATTAAAATAATATGCAATAAAACAGTAGAAGCTATTCCACTTATTTATCCTAGTGAACTATAGTTTCCTATTTTTACACATTTAAATAATAGAGAGATGTTTCTTCTAGTTAATTATCATATCGATTTGTAAAATATTTAAAATGTAATGCAAATCAGAAGGAGCTAAGTATTTAAATCACCTCAATAATAAATATTTCCTTAAAATTATTAGTACTAGAATTTTATAGATTATGAATCATTTAATAATACAAACTAAAATTTGAAATTTTTAGAGGCTTACTATCAATAGGAATTATTTAATTTGTTAAATTGATTTATAACTAAATATTTAATCTTTTTAATATCAGTCAGTCATTTATTAGCTCTAAAAAAATTATTTTTTATAATCAAACAAACAATATAAAAGAAAATAATGCAAATTGATAGAAAATAGATTTTTTCAAATTAAAATTCATTTTAAAAATAAAAATAAAATTTATTCTAAATTTATAAATTAAAAATCTTAAGAATATAATTGACTTTTATTGCTTTTTAAAAATAGAACAACATAGTCAATTTTTAATAGCATCACATATATCAGTTTTTGCTTTTTGATTCATTTAATACTCATTATATTTCATTTTTTAGTCTTATCTTTATGAGTTGTATGAAAAATCTATTGTTGATGACACTATTTACTGATTTTCACAGTGTAGCTATTTAAAAAGTTAATTAAAACAAGAACAAAAAAAATAATTTTTATAAAAATTAATATAAATTATTTAAAAATATTTATCTACCTCACATTATACAATATAGAATAAAGATATATTACTTTCTTTTATTTGTAACTAATGATAAATAACAAACTTAATTTGAATTATTTAATTTATAATTTTAATTCACTATTTGATTGTAATGCTTAAGTTTAATTGATTAAAGGCTAAAGTAAGTATAAGGTTTGAAAAATATCATTTTATTTTATTTATTTAGTTTTGTTAAGAAAATACATATTTTTTATATAAATTTATTGCAAACAATAAATATTTTATTTATGATAATTTCTTGAAAGTTAATTTGAAAATTAAAAAGTGATAGCTATCGAATTAGTAAGAAGCGCATAAATTTAAATAAAACATGAAAAATACTGTAATAATTATGTGTAAATATTAGCATTTAACATATTTAATTTCAAATAATAATTTTTAATTCATCAGAAATTTGTTAATGCATAAAAATTATCTTCAGGTACATGAATATTAAATTACTATATAAGTGAAATAAAAAAAAATGTAATTTACAACTAAAAGAGTTATTTAATTTATTGTATTTTTGTTAATTATATGAACTAGAAAGATAATTTTTAGCAGCGATTTACCTCAAATAAATTAAAGTTATATTTAACAAAGAATTTTATCTACGATCATAGAAAAAAGAATTTCTATAGAATAAAAGAACAACATAATTTAATCTCGAAAGCTTCTATTTCTTTTCTCAAAAATTTAAATTTAAATTTAGATTAGATTAGAATTTTACTTCTATAAAATAGTATTTATTTTATCATTAAGTTTAAATATCTTATCTGCAGTAAAATATTTTTAGCACTTAGTATTAATTAATTATTAAGTAAGATGAAGCAATGAGTGCAGCAAGAACAGAAAATTTGTGATTAATTTAGATTTAATAAAAATCCTATTATTGATAATTGAATTGTAGTCATAAAAATAAATAGCTAGTCATTGGTTAGTTTTGATCATATTACAGACAAAAACAAGAGAAGAAGTTTGTACTTCTTATTTCTTTACTTATATATTTATTGATTATTATTAGAATTTATCTTTTGTAAAAAATTGTACCTTTCGTTTATTTATTTGTTTGTTTGTTAGCAAAAACACAAAAATTATAAATCAAAAAAAAAGCTATAAAACAGAAAAATGAGTGCTTTAGCTTAAGATAATCTAAGTATTTCTCCAAAAAGTTTATAATAATTCAATGAAGAAACTCTTTAAGATGAAGATAGTAACAGCGAAATGTATCCAGCTGCTCCCATTTCTTTAATCAAAAAAAAGATTTCAAAACCAGATTCATAGAAGCAAAAAAAATCTGAAAGACAAAATAACCAAATAAAAAGGGTTATTTTTGGGGTTAATTCAATCAATAACTATCTAAGCATTGAATAATATACAAGCTTTTTTGATCTGTCGATATAAAAATTGGTCCCTTCTCAAAAATTGTTTTTTTTAGCAGGCGACATGATAGCTGAAATGAAAGGAGTTGAAAATGAAGATAGAATTTAGCTTTATAAATATCATAGAAACCACATATACATTGAAAAGACTAAAAAAGGAGTTTCGTTTGAAATTGAAAGCTTTCGCCCTTTAAAAGATTTCTCACAACCTATTTATTACTTAGAAAATCTCTAAGATAAAGATTCATATGAGTTTGCTTAATACTTAAAAAAACATTAATAAGTAATTTTTAAAATTAGCTCATAACTTTAAGAAATTTAGAACTTTTATCTGAATGGGATAGAGGATTTGCAATATATCATAAAAGAAAGATCTGAATTTATTAAAGAATAAAGAAGAAAGCTCATTGAAGAGTTTTGTTCTGATGATGACTTTTGCCTTGTTACAACTGAGAGCTTATCATTTGAAAACTAAACAAAATCTATTTCAAACCGCTTTATGTCTAAGCCATTAATTGCACTAGTAGGAGGTAATTATGATGACACTTGTTATGAATTTCTTAAATATGGAAGTTTGAAGGTTTTAGATGAAAATACAAGGAATAAAATGGATGAGTTTTGTATTAAAGCTACTTAAGAAGGATTTGATCAATATGAACTTTAAATTGATGACTTTCAGCTTAATACTATTGATAATATAAAAATTACTTGCAAAACTCGAATTAGGCGCTTTAATATTAATTATCCTAAGCATTTATAATTTTAATATTTCCCTGACTTAAATAAAATTGAAAAATTCATCCTTGTTCACCATGAAATTAATTTTAAAATAATTTAAGATGTACTAAAAATAAGATAGTAAATGGCTGCAAATGCTCCATAAAATCAACCATTTCCTCATAACTATGATTATAATGGGTTTATTGATTATGATAAATTTTAGCAAAGTATGCAAAGTTAAATTTTTCTAGAAAAATTTTATTAGAAGGAAATGGATGATTTAAATAAATAAATAGATTAACCCTAACAAAGTAGTTCATCATAATAAACCATTTAACTTAATACTTAATGAAGTACCAAAACAACTAATCATTATTTAAATTTTTTGTATCTATTAACTTATATTTTATATTCAAATATTAAATAAACTTTCTATTGTATATTTTATTAAATTATTATAATTAAAAAAAACTAAAAATTTATTTGATTTTTGATAATTTTTAAGATCTAATTTCTCTTACGAAAATTTAATTTGGCATAGTTTTTAGTTTTATTACAAATAACCAAAAATTTAAATCGCTATAATGGTATATTTTGGTCCACATTTTAGAAACTATGGACTCTAAATAAATTAGAGAAAACACTAAATTTACCTTTTTTAATTCTATTAAAATAGAAGAATTATGTTGGGTGTTAAATCTCAATTGGTTATTTTTCGATATAGACTATGAAATAAAAATAATGTATGATCGATCACTTACATTGATGAATTAAAAAATATGAATTAATATTTTACAATATGTACAATATCAAATATTATTTATAGAGTATTATATTTTTTAGAGATTTGATCTATAATTAATTTCTATAATATTTTGTATTGCTTTTAGAGTTAAGACCTGAATTTTTCTTCGCTGAAAACAATTATCATAAGTATTAAATAAAGATTTATGATATTACATCTCATGTACTAATTTTTTTTAGTAGACTATAAAGTAAAAATTATTTATGGTCACTTACATTGATGAAGCCAAGCCTAGGAATTAATTTTGAAAATATCAAATATTAATTAAAAAGTAGAGTATTTTTTAAGAGATTTGATATTTAATTAATATAATATTTTTGATTATTTTACAAACAGGAATACAAATTGAAGTTTGAGTAGTCTTTACAAAATAATCATAATAAGTAACATATATAGATAGATTAATTTTTTTTAAAAGATTAATTAAGGTAATTTATTGAAGAAATGAGTTAAATTGAAAGTGAGAAGATACCAAAGGATAAAGATTAATTTTCGAAAAGTGAGGAAGTAATGGATTAGTCGTAAGACAATCTGAGCAGTGCAAGTAGCATGAAGGATGAATCTTGGTCTTTACAGTCATTTTAATTTAAAAAAAAGATTAGCAAATGTAGCGATGGCAAAAAAACATATAAAAGAGGGAGAAAACCTAAGCTGCAAATGAAGAAAATAGCTTATACATACAGTTCTACAAATTTATAAGAGTTAACTTAGATACAGTCAAAACTTCAATACGAAACAAGCATTATTAAATAAATCCCTTCTTAAAAAGTATTTTTTTTAGCAGGAGACATTTTAGCTGAATTGAAAGATGCGACAAACGATATGGGAATAGATATCTTTAGAGAGTAGAGAAATGCTCTTTTTATAGAAAGAGATAATTATGGAACTTAATTTGAACTCACAAGCGTTAGTCCTCTTAAAAATTTCTAATCTGTGATATATTATTAGGAAAATTCTTAAGACTAAGAGCTATACTAATTCTCTAAGTTTTTGAAAAAACATTAAGAATTAATTTACATGCTTAGTGCTTAAATCTAAGACCTACAAAATTCTTTTTTGTGTGGTGACTAAAAATTGGAAGAAATTATAAATAAAAGGTAAAATATCAAAAATTAATAAAGAAAGTAGATTTTAGAGTAGATCTACAACTAAGATCGATTCTGTTAAATAGCGACTGTAAGTTTATCCTTAACAAACTAAACAACTACTGTTTCTAATATTTCATTTTCTTAATCGATGATTGCTCTTCTCGGATTTGAAAGTGATAATGTCTTGTGTAATGTTTCAAAGATAGCATTTTTAAAAGTTTTAACCCAAAACTCAAGAAGATAAATTATGAAATGTAACATATAAGCTCAGCAGAAATAGCAATCTGGACTAATATTAGAAATCGAAGATTTTGAGCTATTGACGTTTGATTAAATTAAAATAGTTTGTAAAGGTAGATTTTAAACTATCCCAATCATATATCCACCTGAGTTGTAATTTGAATAGTACCCTCTATTAAATACAATAGAATAATTTTGTTTAGTTGAATATGATATAACTCCTTGGCATATTGAATAGCTGCTGAAAATTAGATAAGAATTTATTAAAAAAGCCCCCTAAAATGAGATTTTTCCTAACAATTATAAATATTCAAATTTAATTGAAATAGAAAATTTCGAATACAGTATTTAAAGTTAAATTTTTCTTGAAAAATATTATTAAAAAGAGCTCAAGAAGATTAACGAAAATAACTAAAAATAAATAGAGTAATAATTACAAATCGAGTAAATAGTTTAAAATCCTTTGCCTTGTGGTTTTAGGTATATATGAATAAAAAATAACACATTAATTTTTCATTATAATAAAATGTCTTCTTTATTAAATTTATAACTCAACTTATTTTATTTTATTAATAAATTTCTCATTTATTCATACTCAAATAAATTATATAAATGGATGAATAAATTTAACTATTTAAATATAAGTTTAATTTAAAAAAATAGATTTTTTGAATTGATAAAGTTTTATATTTTGAAAATACAAATAAATATTTTTAGTAGTTTTTGCTGAGATATTTTTAATTCATTAATTATTATTTAATTATAAAAAAAATATACTTTTTATTAGAATATAAATATTATTAATTCTCTTTATAACTTATTTCTTTTTAAAAAATTGAGAATATGATATCAGAAATTTTTGATTAGTATTACAGCAAAATATTTTAGAAAATACTGTTAATTTAAAAGCAATCAATATTATAATACACTTAATGCTATTGAGTAACCAATAAATATAATGATTATATAGACTGTTATTATTACTGGTGTGTTCAGAAATATAATGACTATCTATTTTAATTAAATAAAGATAATATTAACCAAAACAATAACTCAATAAATACAATAAATTTGAGACCTTTATATTTAACAAGTAAAAAATTATTGAAAAACATATATGAGTATTTAATGTAGTGAAAATAATTCTCAAAGAACTTCATCAGAAGATATTTTATAAAATAAATATAATCCATATGAAGGTAATATAGAGATAATTATAAACAGTAAAGCTATTACTAAAAAGAAGAAGAAAAAATAGTAAGAGATCAACAGTAAAAATTTTGGAGGTTAATGCTAATTTAAGATGATAAATTATTACTCAATACAAAGATCTTTAAACTTAAAAAAACTGTTTCATCTTGCTGGTGGATTGTTAATAGATATCAGTGATCCTATTTAATAGATACCTGACTATTCTTATTATAACGTTTGTAAAATTGTTTAGTCTTCAAATAAGTTTAGAGACGGGTCTGTCTAGTTTTAGATGGGTTGTTTAGATATAACATTTGATTATGGATTGGTTACAAATATTCTTTACTCCACTTAAAATGAAGATAATTTTACTCTTGCTAATATATTAGACGAAGCCTAACCAAAAATAATACTAATAAAAGAAAAAATTGACATGCTTTATCTTAAATATAATATTTAGGATATTGAATCAATTACTAATCAAAGAAAATTGTATTTAGAATAATATAAGTAGCAATACTTGGAATAAAATCAAAACGAAGATGATTTTTATTCAGTCACATGTTATAGTTTGGACGTTCATTTAAAGTCAATATTTTCTAGTTTTCATTAATTTTCTAAATCTCTAATTGCACTCCTTGGAGCTGAAACAGAGGAAATGATAAGTTATGTAATGAAAAAATCTATTTTTTGGATGTTCTCCAAAAATACAAGAAAACAAATGATGAAAGGATTTGCTTTAATTCTAATTAAATAATTAAATCAAATTTATCATACAAGCCTTCAAAAAGCTGAAATACTGACTATTGATTAAATTTTAATTTCGTGTTCTAGCGATATTACAATTATTCCTATCAATTATCCAATTGAGTTATAATTTAAAGATGAAGAATTTACTTATATTAATTAATTGGATTACCTGATCATCCTTAACTATGAAATCCCTCCAAATAATATTAAGAATGTAATTAAAATAAGAGAAGCCAAAATCTAAAGTTAAAGTTCAAAAGCTTAAAATATTTATCTTTGGTCAGACTTAGATGAATACGTAGTAAATAATTTTGAATCCTACATGGAAAATTTAATATTTATGGAGAAGTTTTATACTAATTAAAATAACGAATAAAAGTAGCAACATTGTAAAGAAAAATTATTATAGCAAGAAATAAGGGATCTCCCTGAAACAATAAATAAAGATCCAAAAATATGTAGTTATAGGCCTATCAAAAACCTTTAAGTTTAATGAATTTTATCTAAAAATATATTCTAAAATAAAAATGCTTAATTTATTAATTATTTACATATTAATTTATTATGTTCTCTTTTATAATAAGTTAAAATATACTTTAAATATTGCATATTTTAATAATTTATTAAAGATGAATAAAAAGTCATCCCTTTTTATTTTAAAATAATAATTGATTTTGAACCCAATTATTAAATAAATAGATTGGTAGAAGAAAAGAGGTTTATTAGAAATAGGAATCAATTTAAAAACTTTGATGAATAATCTATATAAATTATTTAATTTAAAGGCAATATAATTTCAACAGAAAAATAGAAAAATAGAGAAGTAGGTATAACAAATATAAAAATATAAATTAGGCAGAAAATTAAATTATAAATGGTTTTACAAATTTTTGTTGTTCTTTTAATACTTTGTCAAATAGCTTAAGGATAGATAACATACAATTACAAATCTGGAGGATCTGATTGGACAGGAACTTGTTCTACTGGTTAAAGTTAATCTCCAATTGATATTTCAAACATTTAAGGAACATGCGATAATAGTGTAATAATCTTTAATGAAATAAATTCTTTTTAGTCATTTAAATATTTAGTAAAATGAAATAAACCAATGAGTTTCAATTATATTTGTTTTAAAATACCTGAGATATTTAAAAATAGCTATTTCAAACTAGGATGATCTGCAAAAACCTTGTAGAAAGAAAAAATTACATTTAAAAATTCAAAATTTTATCAAAAGTAAAAATAAAACTCAAAAAATAGTAAAATGATCAAAGTTGTTGAATATTAAAATTTTTTATTGGTTTCAAATATAAATTATTTATAAAAACAGAGGTTGTTTTGCATTCAATTAATAATTTGAATTGAAAATAAAACATATTTATTTTTATTAAAAAAGATGACCATAGATGTCAGTTTGTATAATCAAAATGTGTAAACCTCAGTTGTAAAAGATTAATCTGGTTTATCCTCTGCAGGTGATTTCGGTTCCTTATATGCAAAAGATATAAATGGAATATTGGTAGGTTATGAAGCCAACTAAATATAAGTCCATATTCCATCAGAACATTCAATAGATGGCAGTGGTTATGATATTGAACTATAAATTTATTTCTCTATTAAAAAGGAGTTCTAAGCAACTTTATCTGGTTAAACTCCAGCAGTTCTTAACAATGCAGTTGTTAGTATATTTTATACAATTGATTCTACTTAATCGAGTAATTTCTTTAACGTTTGGACTCCTTCAAGTATTGGCACTAATTTTAGTTTTAATCCTGCTACTGTATTTAATGGCACAATAGACTCTACTAATCAATATTATTCTTACTAAGGATCATTAACACAACCAGGTTGTGATGAGAGTGTTAATTGGTATATATTCCCTCAATCTTAGCCCATCTCTTAGATTTAATATAACGACATAAAAAAGTATATACAAGGTGATCTTACTTTTGCTGGCGGACACGGTAATAACAGAAACATTTAAAGTGTAAATGGAAGAACTATTAAACTTGGTAATGTGCAATGCGAAGAATAGTTTATCTATTTCTTCTCCTTCTTTATATTGTACATCTTTATCAATTATTTTATCTTCAAATTACTTTGATTGTTTTAGCTACCTCAAATATATTAATTAACTCACAAATGCAAGCAATCTAACTGATAACTATAATAATTAATTATTTAGTAATTTTCCATATGTATTTATGCGAAATAAAATTTCTTTTGTTTATTTTTAATTGCTTCTACAAAATTAATTCTTGAATGCAAATTTTTTTTTTTTAATACTCACAAAAACCTAAAAAAATATGGTTTAAGCAAAATATTCTTTTAATAATTAAATCTGTTTAAAATGTTAAAATTTATTTTGTGCTTTATTTTTAATAAATTATTTGCATATTTAAAAAAAATATAAAGATGAAAGTAAAAATGAAATTAAGAATATCTGTTCAAATATGAATGTATAATGATCATGCTGTTATTATTCAAATTTATATAGCCGGTTTATCCAATCAAATTCAACCATTTGAAAATGAAATCTAATGAAAATCAATAGAAATTTGATTTTTTATTGTTTGTTTATTTATTATGTTTAACCTTAAAGATTTTTGAAATTTTTAATTTTGTAAAGAAATAAGAATTGTTTGTGAATTCAAAAAGTAATTTGAAATGAAAAATTAAGAAGAAATCAATGAATAATAATAATTTCATTATTTTTATTACTATTATTTAAAATCAACCTTAATTAATTTCGCAATATTTTGATAGTAAAAATACCAATTGTATTTCACCATTTCTTTGGTTCAAAATAATAATTAGCACAAAAAAAAGAATAAAAAAAGACATAATTCTTTCTTTTAGTTACATTTAATATCTGTATTGAATTGAAAAAGACTTAATATTTTAGTTAAATTCATGAGACATAGCAGTTTTTAGTATAGTTCAACTCCCGACCATTATGCAAATTCATATCATACATAGAGTCAGCAAAATTTTGCTTTAAAATAAAATACATCCAAAGGTGGTGGTCGCTCCTCTTAGATTATACAAACGAGCTACTCAAATTAATAATATACAGCTCCCTCTTAGTAATAAATTAATAGCAATTACTAAAATTCATAAACAACTTAGAATAGCTTACCTCCTACAAGTTCAATATCAATGAAACTCAAAAATTCTTTAATAATTCAAAAAGAAGCATAGAAAAATGTAAATAATTATTGAATAAGTGAAATTAATAATAATTTTATTAATGCAATTTAAAAATAGAAAGAAAATGTATTTCGCTTGAAAGAAAGAGTCGAAGAGGTAAAAAAACTTTTAATCATTTAAAATAAATGATAATTTTTTTTATCTTAAAAAAATAATTTTAAACTTAAATAATAAAATTCTAGGCTTAGAAGAGAGTAGACAATCTGGAAAAATATGAAAAGAGTTTTAGTGAAATGACTCATTTACTCAATGGCATAGCAAAAGATTTTAAATAGTCGTATGTTGTAAGCAGGACAAGCTATTCACCCTCAGGATAATAAAAATCTTAAGTCGTTTCAAGGCATATGGCAGAAGATTTAGAATTAAACAGAGGTAAAGGAGAAAACTCTTAGATTTTTAGTGGAGGCTTTTCGAATAATCCAACAATTGATTATGAATCTTAACAATTAAGCAATTATTAAAATCATTACTAGAGCAGTTCAAAGAGTTAAATTAATAACCAAAGATAATCTTCTTACGATATTATAGCATAAAATCAATAAATTAATAGCAGTAGCAATTAAAATATTAATTAGAATTTCCAAAGAAGATTTGGTAGCTATACAGAGATAGAGGATGATGCTGCTTCCTCTTCGTAACATAAAGTTTCTACAATGTATTAAAATAGTAGCAGTGGTTTAGGTAATAATGCAAATAGGAAAATATCTCTTTTTCAAGATATAAAAAATAGAATGGAGCTGTTTAAAACATAGAATAGGGAAAGTATAACGAAGCATTTAAAGTATATAGCAAATAAAATAAATGATAACAAATAAATTTATTACAATTTTTTTGACGAAGAAAATAAAGTTGCTCTTAAATTTTTAGTTCAAGTACTTTATGATGAAGTAGAGAAACTTATCGTACTTGATACAGGTAATTCTCTTCCTTTAAAGTTAAAGATGGAGGATTTATAAAGAGAAATTAACGAAAAAAATAAAAAAATCCATTAATTGGAAGAAGAATTAATAGAAAAAAACCTTTAGATAAATTCTATGACATCTAAAGTAACTAGATACACTCAACGTTTCAATGACTTGAGATGGATATTAGAGGAAAGTAAAAGGATATATGAAGACTTTATTTCTTACTAATAAGATTTATTATAGAATGATATGTATGCCTACGATGAATCAAGAAAACTTAAATTTATTTAAATTACAAATATTTAAAAAGAGTTTAATCGTTTAAAAGATAATTTTGATGAGTTAAAAATTGGTAATTCTAACTAAAAAAGTCATATTAATCCTAATTAAGCTAACTTTTTTATGAATTAATTGACTCCTATCAACTAGCATTAAGGTGCTAATATTCCACATAATTCATAATTAAAGCACTAATAAAATAATTTAGATCATTCAGCTTCATCGTCGTCCAATATAGGTCTGCCTACGACTGATCTGATGGTAAAAAAGCAGCTTGAATTTGATGAAGATTATGCAAATTAAAATCTTAACACTTAAAATGCCTCCTGCAACCAGTTTACAAATGGAAATGATTAGCAATTATAAAATTAAGCTTTTTTAAGCAACAATATAAATTCTAACAGTTAGACAACTCTTAGCAAAAGAATAAATAGACATAATTCTGTTTCTTCGACATCTCATTCAATTATGGTTCTTAATAAAATGCACTAGCCTCAAGGCACTAATCGCTCTATGACTCCTAGTGGCTATGCAAATAATAAGTGTGAGGCTATGTATTAAAGTAATGTTGTTACATCTGATCATTCAAATTAATAAATGGCTAATTCTTAACTATTTAATGCTCCTCTCCCTTAAAGAGCCAACCAAAGTGTAATAATATAGAACTCAAATACAAGTAATAGCTAAATATTTGCAAAGAGTGGAAATAAGTTCTTAGATATCAGATAATAGATTGAAGCCTTAGAAAACGAATACAATGAGCTAGATAATATCTAATAATCATTAGAAGACTAAGTTGCTAAATACAAGCATTGTTTTGTTGAGCAATTGAAATTATGCTAATTGCTACAGAAAAATGTACATAGTTTAGAAGAAGAAGTTAATTAACTTAGACAGTAAAATAAAAATTCCAATAACAATATGTAAGCAAGCCAGCTACTCATAGCAGCTAATCAATAATAAGCAGATTTAGAAAAAGATCTCTAAAAAATCACTTAATAATTAAAATCAACTCAAAAGGAATGTGAAACACTTTAAAATGAAAATAAAAAAATTTTAAAGGAGCACAATGAAATTTAACAAAAATATAATCAACAAATTAAGCAAATTTAAGATATCGAAGAGCAAAGACAACATGACAAATAAGTTGTATAAAGGCTCAATTCATAGTTCCAATCTATGAAGAGAGAAGTTGAAGAGAAGTAAAGTCTTGAAGATAAGATAAAATCGTTAACAAATGATAATAATCATTTAAATAAGGAATTAGATGAATGTTTAGGGCTTCTAGAATCAGGAAAAATAAATATTGAGCAACTTAAAATTACCCTGCAATAAAAAGAGGATTCTTCATCAGACTTAATCAAAAAAAACGCAAATCTAGAAGTAAAAAAATTAACTATTAAAACAAAAATTACAAAATGAAATACAAAATTTGCATGTTATGATTATTTATATTTAACAATTATTTTTAAAAAATCAGAATCAAGTATTTTTGAAATAGAAAGAAATCGATTAGTTATCTGTAGACCTAAAGAAACAAAATGAATAACTTTAAGACTTACAAATAAATAAAGGTAAAGAGGCAGTAAAGTGCTTAATAGATCAATAACATTAGACTCTTCCATAAATAGAGTTCTTAATTTATGAAGAAAATATGAATGAAGATATTTAAAAGGAAACTAAATAGCTAATAATATAATTGTTTGGATGCGATTTCTTGCAGTTTATTGAAAAAATATAAGAAAGACATCAATATTCTATCTAATTCAACTAAAATCTCTATGAAAAGCTACAAATTCACGTAAAATTAAAATCAAATATTTTCAAAAATTAATTTATTCAATTTATTATTCAATAATTTATAGTGCAATGGAAGAATATAATCATGTGAAGATTTAAAAGTCATGGGTTAAATGATTCTACAGGCTTATGAAGTACTCTCTCGTCATTCTCATGTCTAATTACCAACTCCATTGATGATGCTAAGAGAAGAGTTTGAAATGAAAAGACCTGCCATTCAAGACAAACTACAAGAATGCATTTACGAATAGTAAGCTGTCTTTGAAGAGTTTAACTCCCTTTCGTTGATGAATTCATAATTAGCAAGTAATTATATAAATATATTCAAAAAAATATTTCAATTTTTAAATATTTAAAAAAAATTCATTTCTTTTAATACTTCTTACTAATTCTTTAAAGATGATAGATAGCTCAAATATACATTTATTGAATTATTTTTTATTATAATATCTATCTTTCCTCCTCAACTCATTATCAGATCTCTATATCAAAAATCATTAATATAAATAATAAAATTCGTTTTTTAAATATTAAAGTTTATCATTTATTTTTTTTTAAATATAGAAGGTAAAAATATGAGCTCAAGTTTGATAATACAAGAGCAGTAGCAAAAGCAAAATGAAATAGTAAGTTTAAAATAGAGGATAGAAAATCTTTCAGCTGAAAATATTATGCTTTAATAAAATTTAAAGAATTATGAAAGCTAGCTACTACAAATATAAAACAGCAGTACTGTTAGTAGCAATAAATTGCCTCGTCCATCGATTGAACATAACAGATAAAGTGATATCCAATCTTGCAGATCTTCTAAAAGACCGTCTCGTTTAAAACAAGGTAAATTAATTGATAAAATTAATTTCAATAATATTATAAAATAAATAATAAAATTAAAACACTCTTTTAATTATATAGATCAAGATGATTACTAAAGTACATGTTCAATAAGTGGATTAAACAGTGTAAAGAATGCATACTCTCCTTAAAAATTAGCTCACTAACTTTTAGATGTAAATGAAGACTTTTTGTAATTAATCTTATCGTAAGCATCTTCCATTGAATAACTCTTAAATTAATGACTTTATTTATGACTATATTATTATGTTTATATATTATTATAATTCTGTATTTATTTATTATGCCTTAAATTACAATTATTGATATTAGTTAACTCTTTAACTTGGGGGAAAGAACTTTTGAGGGTTATTTTGAATAAGGCTATTTGCTTGTGAAAAAAATTTTTTTGCAAATGACTATCAAAAATTTTATATTATACAAACTCCCCCAATGGAAAGAGTTAATTTTAATAATTTTTTGTGTTCCGTATGATAAAATTTTTAATTTAATTATTTTATTACTACTTGTAAATAAAATCTAAATACACATCATATTTGAATGAAAAATCTAATCAAAAACTTAATTTACCTATTTAATTTAATTAGAAATATTTCAATAAAATTTTTTAGATCCAAAAAAATAATCTTATATTTCTACATAAATTGATTAAATATAAATATTTAATTTGTTAATATAATTCTGTATTTATTTTAATTATGCTTTAAATTGCAATTTTTGATATTAGTTAATTTTAATAATTTTTTGTGTTCCATCTGATAAGATTTTAAATTTAATTATTTTATTACAATTTGTCAATAAAATCTAAATAAAAAAATCATATGCATATTTGAATGAAAAATCTAATCAAAAACTTAATTTACTTATTTAATTAAATTAGAAATATTTCAATAAAATTTTTTAGATCCAAAAAATTAATCTTAATTTTTCTACAAAAATTGATTTAAAAAAAAATATTATGAGGTAAAATGTTAATATTTGAATAAATAGATATTATGTATGATTATTGAAGAAAGATTTTAAGAAATAAATTTGTTTGAAAATTCTATGAGAAAAAAATATTTCTATGTATTTTTAATACTAAATATTCTTTCAACTTAACTTTAAATGATGCAAGTTATTAGAATATTTAACTAAGGGAAAAAATATTTAGATCTATTTGATTCAAACACTTTTTTCAAGAAAAAAACAAAAAGAAATTATTCATTTAATAAAATAATTAGAAAAATAAAATATACTAAATTCAATTATAAGCGCAAATAAAGCAGAAAGAATACTTTTTTAGTACAAACAAATATACGCTTTAAATCTCAAAAGAAAAAACATTTTAATTAAAAATGAATTAAATAAGTTAAAATAAGCAATATTAAAGGTATTTTAGTAAATTTAAGTTCGATATATTAATTTAACTCATCATTAATATCAAAAAAGCTAAATAAATTATAATTTCAAGTAAGGAGTGCAAAATAATAGATTTTAGACAGACTTCAATTAAAATGCTTATTAAGCTAATTAATTCAACTTTTAGCAACAAAATCAGAACATGATGTATGTGTTTAATTTATTTTTAAAAATAGTTTTGACATCTCTTTTTTGAATATTTATTTTAGGGATTACAATTAAAATGTATAATACTAATAACCTGATCAACAAATGTATTAACAAAATTAATAGTACTATAGTTAACAAAATCAAAATTAGCAACTAGGAAATAATGGAATGGAAAACTATCAGATGTAACCTAATGACATGCAAGTGAATTCAATGAATATGCAATATTAAAATTAATATGATTATAATTAGATGTAATAATATTAGCAAAATGGTGAATTTTACAATCAATAAAATCCAAATAATTTAAATAATCCAAATGGTTAAATGATTGATAATAACTAAAACCAATAATATAATCAATAAGCTTATTATAACTAAAATATGTAGTAATTTGATTAGCAGCAAATGTAATATATCAACTAAGTCTAATAATAAAAAAAAGGTATAATAGATATGACTAATTACTAAATACCTTCCTTCTAGAAAGCTTAACAAATTGACCCAGATTTAACATAAGAACAATACAATTTATACACACAGATTATCTAAAAAGAAGAAGCTTTAAATAGTACATTTCAAAAATTAGTTAGCAAAGATTTAATTTTTTGCATGGATAAAATACATATTTATCCCTTCTTAACAAGAATATGTAAAAAGCTAGCTTAGGAACAAAAAAATGATACAAGTGTTCTTGAATGTGGTAGGAGAATATGCATTAACTGTTTGGTTGTCTATCTAATTAAAAAGACCAGTTATAACTATGTCTAAAAGCTTATAACAAAACAAAATTAGTAAGACAAAACATATTTATAATACCTTGATGATTTTAAATACTTTAAAATAAAATGCCCTAGCTAAGATTGCTAAGAAGAATAAGGTAATTGCTATCTTCAAAGAAAGTAAGTCGAAGATATGATAAATTGTAGACAAGGTTTTATAAATAAATGAAAAAAATTATAAAACTATAACTAAAACTAATTTATTATGCTTTCATGTCACTGCATTTACTCTAAATCTTTGTATAAGTGCAAAAAATAAATATAAATAAGTAATTGAAATTTTTGTATCTCTTTAAAAAAATTTTTCTTCTTAAAATAAAACATTCTTAATAAATCTATAAATTAAACCACTTTGTTATAAAATAATACTTTTTCCAGAATATAAACACTTAGGATCAATTCAGTTTTCTCTAAAAATATTTTTATTTATTTTAAACACCTTTATTTGAAGTAAATAAGCTTGATTTTATTTAATTAATGAATTTATTTATGTTTTGAAATTTATTAAATTTGTATAAATTCCAAAAGAAAAAAATAAAAAATATTTACTTATAAATATATACAAAGAGCAATATGCCAATAAAAAAAATAATAAATAAATATATAAAAGATTTAAAATTATTATTTTTACAAAAACATTAATATAGATAAGAAATTTTATTTAATTGAAAGTATTTTTATTCAATTTATAAATAAATATTTAAAAAACTAGATTTCTATTTTATAGCTTTCTTAAAAGTTGTTAAAATTAATATTTAAAAATACAAATAACATAAAAAGACATGAAAATATTTAATTTATTAGAACATTTCACTATTGTAATAGCTGTTTAATGATTTACAAAGTAGATTCTTCTTGCATTTTAGAATAAGGTATTAAGGTTAACCCAAATGTTAAGCATCTTAATTAATTATAAAATACTCCTTTTATATAAAAAATTGCTAATATTTAAATAAGAAAGATAAAAGGCCCTAAAATTATAAAATAAAGCTAAATTTGTTGACTTAAAAGTGAAGTAAAATCTAAACAGATTTTTGATATTGTGCTTATAAAATTATTTAAAATAGCATCAATTTATTAAGACAGATCAATAAAAAGGTTAAAATAGTCAGTACTATTTAGGTATTACTGTAACTATAAAGTGTGCCTTTTTAATTCAAGATCGTTTTTGAATAAACTCGAATATTGGTTAAATATATATATGTACCTATTTACAATCCCTAAAGCTCCACCTTAAAAAAGTTAAATTTCTGATTCTGAAAATTTAGAGCAGTCCAAAGTTAGTTGTTAATTATTTTCTAACTAATCACATAAATTTTATTTAAAAATATTGCTTAAATAATTCGTTTGAGACTCAGAATATGCACTAAGCTTTTCGAAATCCTTAAGGAAATAAGGTATAAATTATTGAACTTGATAATTTTATTATTTAAAAAGTTCAAAGGTTTAATTCAACTTAACAATAGGAAAATCCGTTTAGAACTGAGTTATATATCTATAGTTAGAGAGAATTTAAGAAAAGGCTTTCAACTATAAGAAGTTCTAAACAGCTAAGGAGGATTAATAGAAAATAAGAGAGGGTTAATTAAAAATATCATTAAAATTTTTAATTATTAAGTTACTAATACTAAAAAATCCGATTGATAGAAAGCAAATCAAACTTATGGTAATTAATTTTTTCCACTTAGTCAAATTTTAATGAGTGAAAGAAGTTGAAATCATTTGACTTCTTTTTAATTTTTTTGATCTTTTTGTATATTCTGCTAAACTACTTTCAAAATTAATAAAAGATTGCTTTTTTTCTAACTACTTAATCTTTTTTGGACTATTTTAAGAAGATTAGCGTTTTCCTTTATCTTCATTAGTAATTTGTAAGAAAAAGTTAGTTGAAACAAAATCAGTTTGTAGCCAAGATGATGATGGATCTTTAAGAATTTAAACAAACTTTTTATAAATAGATGAGTTATTTTCACACTCAAAAACTTATATTCTTGCTATAGTCATTAAAACTTTTTCTTAGTATTTCTGAATAAGCATTATTAAATAAATAGAGAGTGAAAAAATAATAAAATAAATGAATATAGTCAAGCTAATAGTTAAAATATTAAAATGTTTGAGATTATTTTGATTTTGAATATCTTGTTAATGAACATTTTCCATATTTTTTTATTGATTTTCTCTAAAAAGTATCATATTTTAAATTAAATAGAACAGTCCATCAATTTGATTTTGTTAATTTTTTAAATTAATAATATTTTTAAAATTTAACATATCGAATTCAAAATTATTTCTTAATACTTAAGTGTATCCTTTCCTAATTATTTTAAAAATGAAATTAATTTCTAAATAAAATTTGAATTTTATATTATCTCTAATTAATTGTTGTGCTTAAAAAAAGATGATTGAAACAATAATAAAAATTTTATATCTTTTTTATTTTAAAAATTATTTGGAAAAAATTTAATAAAATTTTGTTTGAAAATCTTTGCTTTTTATGAGGATGAAAATTAATTAATGGTGTTTATTTACTTATTATTAAAGATCGTTACTTAAATGTTTTATTACTAGAACAGGTCATAAGAGATATAGTTAGACATAAACTAAATATAACTCTTCTTAAAGCTGTAAACTGACTAATTTAGCTATTGGTTTAATTAATTATATTTGCTCATAATTGGTTCAATATTGAAGAATAACCCGTTATTTACTTGGTATAACTACAAACTAGATAAAAGGGCTCTAAAATATTGCTGGTTAATTTCAGAAATCGAATTACTTACAGAAAAAGTATCAGTCGCTATGTTAAATTTAGTATTAATTACTATACTATAAATTATAATCAGAGAAATAAACGCTATTATGATGAATACTTTTAATTATTTAAATAAAAATATAATTTAGTTTTTTTATAAAAATAGCTAATAATTTACATGATATTAAATTGAATATCTTAACAGTAATATGTGATTTAGATTTATCTTAAATTTGATTAATTAGTCGGCCTTTAGTTTTTAATAGTAATGAGCTGAGAGAGTGTTAGGAGGAGTTTTTTGTTTACAAATTTTGAATAAGCTAAAATACTTGGTTTTCACTCTTAAAATATTTATTAATATTTTATTCATTTACATCTTAAATTTTATTTTCTAATTAATGTTAACTTTATTAGTTGAATTAAATTTCATCACTTTATTTCTTTGTTTTTGTATTTTAAGGAGAACTATCACTTATGTTTTACTCTATTAATACTCTTGATGTTGAAACTGTTTAATTAAACTTCTATTCTCTATTAAAAAACTCATCTTGCTAAGTATTAAAACTAATTTCTTAATAGATAGTTTTATCCATATTAACTTTGCTGATATTTATTTTACTTGTGTGCATTATTAGATCTAACTTACTTATATCTTTTTATTATTCTAAATTTTTTATATCAGATGATATTTTTATCAAATCTTCATCATCAGTAGATTTCTTTTATAAAATAGGAAAACCATTCATTTTTAACTTTTTTGGATCTGATTCAACTATATTTTGAGTATTCTATTAAATAAAAATGATCAATTAAATTTATTATTGTTTTAAATGTAATTTTACTTTTTGAATCATATTAAAAATTGTGTTTTCTTGTATATTGTTTTTTTGCTAATCAAAAGTATATTATTTGTAGATACTGTAGTTCTAAGAAAAGCCACTATCGGCATTTTCTTTTTCTGAAATTTAAGCGCTTGTAGAAGACTATTATAAGGGAACAGATTAAATTTAGTTATCTGTTTACCCTTAAAAATAAGGCGAAGCAAACAAAGAAGGATCATTTGTTTAAACATTTAAATTTTAAACACTATTATCATAGTCGTTAAATTTTTAAATTAACTCAATTTAATTCAAGTTAGAAGGATAAAGTTTATCAACAAACTCAATATCTTCTTCTTACTATATTTAATTTTTTTATTATTCAGATGAAAGAGTGCTATTCTCTTTAATAAAATTCTATGTATTAGTTAGAGATATAAAATCTATTTACTTTTTTTAATCTAAAAATAATTTATCTTTAATTTCACTATTTTCTTTTTGATCTTGTGACATATTTGTTTAAAATTTTTAAGAATAATGACTAGATTCTATAGTGTTCTCTATTGTGGTAACATTCTCTTGATCTTCTTAAAGATGATTCATTCTTAAAAAAGGATTAAATTTTGCGTCATTCTTATTTTAAAAGGTATCTATTAGTTCTAAACAATAGAAGGACCTGATTTTTTTAACATGATTTTATTCATAGAAGTAAGAAATAAGTTATAAGTTAAAAGAAATATCTAATTCCCTATACAGATTGTTACTATTTTCATAAAACTTTTTAAAAAGTGTTTAATATTTTGAATTTAACTAATTAAAATTATGAATTGCTCTTTATTTTATGATATGTAATATTTTTTTTATTTGTAAATAATAATAATTATTTAATAAAGCTTTATTACATTAGAATTTCTCTTCTAGAACTGTGATATCTATCTGTAGTAAGAAACGAAATCGATCCCAGATTAAAATAAATTTCTATCTTTTGAGCTAGTGAATTAACTTAAAAATTGATTGAGCTTAGTGCTAAGATCTTGAAAATTATATGGTATCTTAATCTTATAAATTTTATTTTGACACAAATTTGTACATTATTTATTTTAATTAAGATTATTGCTTTCAGTTATTTAACTTGTTTATTCATTTTCTTCATAGTGCTTTCTAATAACTCTTAAGATCTATGGTATTATCAAAAATATAGAAAAATTATTATAAACTTAAGATGGTGATATATCTTTGAAATATTCTTCAATCTATTTTATTTAATTTAAAAAAAATATAAATAGGAAAACTTATAAAAAGTAAATATTTGAAAAATTTTTTTAAAATGTAATAAATTTTCAAAAATTTTTTATTAAATTACCTGCTACTTTTGAGAAAAGAATTATGATACTTATTTATCTCTTTAAAAATTAGTGAGCTTATCATTTTCCTCTTTGTCAATTTTACTTTTAAAAAGCTAAGAAAATGCTTTATATGAGGTTCCTAAAATTTTTCCAAAGTGATCAAATAAAATATAAGAATTATTTGTATCTCTTTTAAGCAAAGTACTATAAATACAACAGTCATTTTAGTTTTCAAATGAAAAAGTAAAAAAAAGGTTTATAGGAATTAAAAAACATTAAGAGTCTGCTGCAAATACTTGCATCTTTTATCCAAATAGATAAGAAAATCCTTTTTATATTGAACTTTGCATAAAAAAATCATGTATGTCACTTATAAAGCTTGGCATGAGTGATTTTATATTTTTAATTTTATAGACATCCTTATCAGTGTACCCAAAATAATTTGCTATTTTAGACAAATTGTTGCTAATTATTTCTCCTTAGTTTTTAGCAAAACTCACTTTCATTGAGATTACATCTCCTCTTAAAACTGCTGTATTGCTTACTTAATCAAAATATTTATTTTAATCATTCCTTAAAATTTCATTCAAGTAAATTTCATCTTAGATAGAAGCAAATAAATCATTCAATACTATGACTTTGTAAACTTGCCTTAACTATATCATTTACATAAAATGTTTTAGTGAGAGAAAAATATTTAAATAATTTTAAAAATGATTATTAAATTTACCTTAGATACTCTATAAGATTTTCTGAAGAAAGGGTAATCTAAATTTTTAACAAATAATTAAGAGTAAATCTTTTAGATTTTTAGGGCTTTTGAAGAAACAGAAAGAGTTAAGTCTAAGAAATTTTATAAAGAAATATTTTATTCTTTTAGAATGTAGTAATACTCATACTTTTTTTATGCAAATTCTATCAACAATGGCATAAATTTTCTCTCAATTTTATCTGCTTCTATTACTAATTTAATTTAGTTGACTTAAGTGATGAATTAAGTTTCATTTGATTTTTTTTTAAGATTATTTTGTTATTAATGCAGTATTTCTTCTTCTATTTTAGATGATAGAATATTTGAAAGAGTCTTAAAATATAAGCTTAAATTTTGGTGTTTGGCTAGAATACTTTTAAGATTGTAATAAGCTTGGAAAGAATTATTTCTATATTTAGTTAAATATGTTATATACTTTAAAGATATGTATTCAATATTGCTAATATTCTTTTAGGTTATAGGATGCTTTAAGCTCCAAATGAAAATACTATCTATTAATTTAAAAAGATCATCTTTTATTAAATTATCCTTTTCATCTTTGAATGTTGTCACTTTACAAATACACTCTAAATCTTTGCAATTATTCTGGTGATAGATGAGCTATTCAAATAAATAAAATTTATCTTATTCGTTTGTAGAAGAATTTTGCCCCAAAAGGTAGAGTTACTCAAGGTAGAAATCTAAATGACCATAGTGTCTATAAAAATTATTAAAATGGAATGGTTTATTTTAAAATTAGTTTGAAAAAAAGAAAATAAGGATTTGTGGGAAATTTATCTGTTTTAATTTTACTATATTTACCACAAAATAAATACTAATTTAATGAAGATATTGAAGAATAAGTGGTTATCTTTTAATATTTATTGATCACCTTAAAATATCATTATATTAAATTGAATAAAAAAATAAAAAACTAGTGGTATTACTTCTCAAAATTTATTGAATTTATACGCATCACCTGAGAATATCTAATTTACCAAATAGAAGAAGAAAAGCCATAGAGTATGCATGAAATAATTAGATTTGTGTAAAAAAGGTCTTTGAAAAGAAAGAAAATATTTTTTTACCATAAAATAAAAACCAAACTTAAATAAAGAAATAAGATCGAAATGCAAATATAAAATTTTGCAAGTTTCTTATGTCTAAATGGTATATTTACTATTGAATCATATACATATAGTATTGATATAGCTTCAATAGTTATATATTAGAAATTGTTTGGAAATAAATTGATGAAATAGTTAAATATAGCAGCAAAGTATAGTGACATTTAAACTACTTAAATATGTTTAAATTTTCTTTTAAGCAGAATTGTATCATTAAATTCATAAGTTCTGTAGAAAAAAAGCAATGTTATTGTTGTGCATATTGTGAAGAATAAACCTAGGTATGAAGTAACTACATAAATAACAGGCTTTTTATAGCATTTGCTACCATTATACTAGCTCAAATATCCAAATTATCCACAGCTTGAAACTCCAGAATTAATTTCAAGATTAGGTATGGATAGTAACCATATATAAATTAGAAAGTATATTGTGAGTCTTTTGTTAATTGAATTTCTAATCTTTCTAGTCTTAAGCAACCATGATTTTAATTTAAAATATTTTGCTAAAGTAATCAATATCAGGTAAATAATATATGCATACATAAGAACTTAAGCTATGAAAAATGTCCAAATGATCATTCTTTCTTAGCCATCTAGAAATAAAAAATAGGTTCCTGTAGCTTATTCTGATATTTAACCTAAAGTTTTCATTTTTTATTCTTTTTAAGAATCAAGAATATTAGATTAAAAGACATATCCTAGTATTTGTACCATGTAGATCAAAATCAAAAAACAAAAGAAATTCGTATGGATGCTGTATGTGTACTTGTCTTCAATTATTTCTAAAACTGTCTCAAAAAACAAATCTAGCATGCCTTTTTTATTTTTAGTTTGTATTTCGTCATTTTTATTTTGGTTTTTTACTTCTACTTTTTTAGTACCCATCACTCACTATATTACTAAAACTGTTTACTTTATACTTATTTTTGCTAATTTTTTGTTGATTGAATTACTAATTAGATAGCTTTTTTTGTTTTTTTTTTAAATTAATTAATAAATTGTGTGTATGATGATAATAAATAAGTAATCTGTATTTCTATCTCATTTTTTATCAATCAATCAATAAATATATTTCATAAATTAAATACTTTCTTTAGATCCACAAATTTCATTCTAATTAGTTTTTCATAGAATAGCCAAATTTCCTATTAATTCTATTAACTGCTATTGATTATATTTCAAATTTCAATTGAATCAAAGAAATTAATTTTCAAGTAATATTTTGAGGTAAATAATAATTTTATAAATACTTATTGTTCATATTAATATGTTATTTAAAAAAAACATATTTTATTTAGGATATGAAATTTTATTAATTATTTAATCAAAAATATTAATAAAATGGTAATGGTTTTTTAAAATTTAGAGCTTTTGATATTAAAAATGAAATATTAAATATGCTCTACTCATAAATATGCAAGCAAATTATGCAAATAAATATCGTTCTATTGGTTAATCAGCACTAAAAATGTAAGTTTAGAGTTTTTAATAATATTAAATTAAAAGTTTTAAGAAAAGGTATTATGTTTGAAAACCAATAATATATTAGAAATATGCTTATTATTTTTAAATTTCAAGCATTTTTGTTTTTGAATTTTAAGGAGGGAGAAAAAAATTTATAATTAACAATATAAATTCAATATTTAGTTTTCAAAATTTTTTGAAATAAGAAATTTGCAAATATTCAATTATTAATGATTGCTCCTTTAAGGTTTTATTCTAATTTAAAAAATTATTTTTACAAAAATATAGATAGATAAGAAATTTTATTATTAATAAAAGTATTTTGATTTAATTTATAAATAAATGTTTAAAAAACTAGTTTTTTATTTTATCGTATGCTAAAAGTTGTTAAAATTAATATTTAAAAATACAAATTACATAAAAAACAAGAAAATATTTAATTTATTAGAACATTTCACTATTGTAATAGCTGTTTAATGATTTATAAAGTAGATTCTTCTTGCATTTTAGAATAAGGTATTAAGGTTAGTCCAAATATTAAACATCTTAATTCATTATAAAATACTCCTTTTATATAAAAAATTGCTAATATTTAAGTAATAAAGATAATAGGTCCTAAAATTATAAGATAAAGCTAAATTTGTTGACTTAAAAGTGAAGTAAAATCTAAACAGATTTTTGATATTGTGCTTATAAAATTATTTAAAATAGCATCAATTTATTAAGACAGATCAATAAAAAGGTCAAAATAGTCAGTACTATTTAGGTATTACTGTAACTATAAAATGTGAGTTTTTAATTCAAGGTCGTTTTTGAATAAACTTGAATATTGGTTAAATATATATATATACCTATTTACAATCCCTAAAGCTCCACCTTAAAAAAGTTAAATTTCTGATTCTGAAAATTTAGAGCAGTCCAAAGTTAGCTGTTAATTATTTTCTAATTAATCACATAAATGTTGCTATAAAATATTGCTTAAATAATTAGTTTAAGACTCAGAATATAAACTAAGCTTTTCGAAATCCTTAAGGAATTAAGGTATAAATTATTGAACTTGATAATTTTATTAGTTAAAATGTTCAAAGGTTTAATTCAATTTAACTATAGGAAAATCCGTTTAGAATTGAGTTATATATCTATAATTAGAGAGAATTTAAGAAAAGGCTTTCATTTATAAGAAGTTCTAAACAGCTAAGGAGGATTAATAGAAAATAAGAGAGGGTTAATTAAAAGTATCAGTAAAATTTTTAATTAGCAAGTTACTTACACTAAAAAATCCGATTGATAGAAAGCAAATCAAACTTATGGTAATTAATTTTTTCCACTTAGTCAAATTTTAACGAGTAAAAGAAGTTGAAATCATTTGACTTCTTTTTAATTTTTTTGATCTTTTTGAATATGCTTCTAAACTACTTTCAAAATTAATAAAAGATTGCTTTTTTTCTAACTACTTCATCTTTTTTGGGCTATTTTAAGAATTTTAGTGGTTTTCTTTATCTTCGTTAGTAATTTGTAAAAAAAATTTAGTTGAAATAAAATCAGTTTGTAGCCAAGATGATGATGGATCTTTAAGAGTTTGAACAAACTTTTTATAAATAGCTGAGTTATTTTCACACTCAAAAACTTATATTCTTGCTATAGTCATCAAAATTTTTTCTTAGTATTTCTAAATTAGCAATATTAAATAAATAGCTAGTGAAAAAATAATAAAATAAATGAATAAAGTTAAGCTGATAGTTAAAATATTAAAATCTTTGAAATTATTTTGATTTTGCGTATCTTATTAATAAACATTTTCCATATTTATTTATTGATTTTCTCTAAAAAGTATCATATTTTAAATTAAGTAGAACAGTCCATCAATTTAATTTTGTTAATTTTTTAAATTTATTATATTTTTAAAATTTAACATATCAAATTCAAAATTATTTCTTAGTAATTAAGAGTATCCTTCCTAA